TTTTCACGCACACAGATTCCCTTCCAGTTATTCAAACATTGATTTTACTTTGTTTCCAACATTTTTACACCTGGTAGACTTGGTTTTTAGTAAAAAAATTCCCCTCAAAATTTGATCATTTTCCAAGGCTATAGGCTTGGCTTTTTCTTCAAAAATTGCAGTGATATTTTTGGGTTTTCCACGCACACAGATTCCCTTCCAGTTATTTAAACATTGATTTTACTTTGTTTCCAACATTTTTACACCTGGTAGACTTGGTTTTTAGTAAAAAAAATTCCCCTCAAAATTTGATCATTTTCTAAGGCTATAGGCTTGGCTTTTTCTTCAAAAATTGCAGTGATATTTTTGGGGTTTCCACGCACACAGATTCCCTTCCAGTTATTTAAACATTGATTTTACTTTGTTTCCAACATTTTTACACCTATTAGACTTGGTTTTTAGTAAAAAAAATTCCCCTCAAAATTTGATCATTTTCTAAGGCTATAGGCTTGGCTTTTTCTTCAAAAATTGCAGTCATGTTTTTGGGCTTTTCACGCACACAGATTCCCTTCCAGTTATTTTAAAATTGATTTTATTTTGTTTCCAACATTTTTACACCTATTAAACTTGGTTTTTAGTAAAAAAAATTCCCCTCAAAATTTGATCATTTTCTAAGGCTATAGGCTTGGCTTTTTCTTCAATAATTGCAGTCATGTTTTGGGCTTTTCACGCACACAGATTCCCTTCCAGTTATTTTAACATTGATTTTACTTTGTTTCCAACATTTTTACACCTGGTAGGCGTGGTTTTTAGTAAAAAAAATTCCCCTCAAAATTTGATCATTTTCCAAGGGTATAGGCTTGGCTTTTTCTTCAATAATTGCAGTCATGTTTTGGGTTTTCCACGCACACAGATTCCCTTCCAGTTATTCAAACATTGATTTTACTTTGTTTCCAACATTTTTACACCTGGTAGACTTGGTTTTTAGTAAAAGAAATTCCCCTCAAAATTTGATCATTTTCTAAGGCTATAGGCTTGGCTTTTTCTTCAAAAATTGCAGTGATATTTTTGGGTTTTCCACGCACACAGATTCCCTTCCAGTTATTTAAACATTGATTTTACTTTGTTTCCAACATTTTTACACTTGGTAGACGTGGTTTTTAGTAAAAAAAATTCCCCTCAAAATTTGATCATTTTCTAAGGCTATAGGCTTGGCTTTTTCTTCAAAAATTCCAGTCATGTTTTTGGCTTATCACGCACACAGATTCCCTTCCAGTTATTTTAACATTGATTTTACTTTGTTTCCAACATTTTTACACCTGGTAGGCGTGGTTTTTAGTAAAAAAAATTCCCCTCAAAATTTGATCATTTTCCAAGGGTATAGGCTTGGCTTTTTCTTCAATAATTGCAGTCATGTTTTGGGTTTTCCACGCACACAGATTCCCTTCCAGTTATTCAAACATTGATTTTACTTTGTTTCCAACATTTTTACACCTGGTAGACTTGGTTTTTAGTAAAAGAAATTCCCCTCAAAATTTGATCATTTTCTAAGGCTATAGGCTTGGCTTTTTCTTCAAAAATTGCAGTGATATTTTTGGGTTTTCCACGCACACAGATTCCCTTCCAGTTATTTAAACATTGATTTTACTTTGTTTCCAACATTTTTACACTTGGTAGACGTGGTTTTTAGTAAAAAAAATTCCCCTCAAAATTTGATCATTTTCTAAGGCTATAGGCTTGGCTTTTTCTTCAAAAATTGCAGTTATGTTTTTGGGCTTTTCACGCACACAGATCCCCTTCCAGTTATTTAAACATTGATTTTACTTTGTTTCCAACATTTTTACACCTGGTAGACGTGGTTTTTAGTAAAAAAATTCCCCTCAAAATTTGATCATTTTCCAAGGCTATAGGCTTGGCTTTTTCTTCAAAAATTGCAGTGATATTTTTGGGTTTTCACGCACACAGATTCCCTTCCAGTTATTTAAACATTGATTTTACTTTGTTTCCAACATTTTTACACCTGGTAGACGTGGTTTTTAGTAAAAAAAATTCCCCTCAAAATTTGATCATTTTCCAAGGCTATAGGCTTGGCTTTTTCTTCAAAAATTGCAGTGATATTTTTGGGTTTTCCACGCACACAGATTCCCTTCCAGTTATTTAAACATTGATTTTACTTTGTTTCCAACATTTTTACACCTGGTAGACTTGGTTTTTAGTAAAAAAAATTCCCCTCAAAATTTGATCATTTTCTAAGGCTATAGGCTTGGCTTTTTCTTCAAAAATTGCAGTGATATTTTTGGGTTTTCCACGCACACAGATTCCCTTCCAGTTATTTAAACATTGATTTTACTTTGTTTCCAACATTTTTACACCTGGTAGACGTTGGTTTTTAGTAAAAAAAATTCCCCTCAAAATTTGATCATTTTCTAAGGCTATAGGCTTGGCTTTTTCTTCAAAAATTGCAGTGATATTTTTGGGTTTTCCACGCACACAGATTCCCTTCCAGTTATTCAAACATTGATTTTACTTTGTTTCCAACATTTTTAAACCTGGTAGACATGGTTTTTAGTAAAAAAAATTCCCCTCAAAATTTGATCATTTTCCAAGGCTATAGGCTTGACGTTTTTCTCAAAAAAGGTCTATTCTTCTTGGTATTTTTAAGTACGCTACCTTGGCTCCAGATGTTTTATCAATGATTTTACTTTGCTTCCAACATCTTTAGATCTGGTAGACCTGGTTTCCAGGAATAAAATTATGGTTAGAATTTCATCATACATCAAATTTCAGGCTATTGGCTTGACTTCTTTCTCGAAAATGGTTGATCGTGGAGCGTTCAATTCAAGGTCAATGGGGACAGATCGGGAAAAAGATGGTAGAAATGCAGAATGTTTTCCAGTATAACATACTTAAAATCGCACAAAATCGACCGTGGGGAAAAATATGATATACGGCACCACATTCGATAATCAAATAATTGTAACACAACTGAGGGGATCTGTTTAGAAAAGGAAGAAATTTGTTTTTCCTTTAAAATTGTAGATTTACGAAAGGAAAAATTTTGCTCTTCTTGGCCTGAAAAATAAACGGGCTTATAAAGGAAGTAGTCAGTTTTTTCTGATTTCCCGAAAACATGAGTTGTAATTTGAAATAACCGACAGGCAGTTTTTTGATGTCAAAAAACAAAATTCGTTAACGCACCGTAAGCGAGGGTCAATTATCAACATTTCGGGGTGCACAAAGTTATACAATGCCTTAGTAATTTACTCTGGGTGGGGCTATTTTGTGTATTGGGGGCATGCCAGCCAATGAGGCAATGTCCTTTTGTGATTTCGATATCAACACAGGACATTATTTCCTGATAATTTATACAAATGAACGGCTCACTTTCTGGAAACTGGTACTCTCTGGACACAATATGGCAGAATCGCTAAGCAATTTAGTGGATTAAAACTTTGTGATATGCGAGCTAGTTTTTAAAATGGAATAGCAGTGCACGTTATGAAAAAGGCGTCTCAAACATTATAAAGCACAAAGAAATCCACTATAAGACTTGATTCAAACAACTATTCAGCAGAGAGAGTTAAAAAACTCCAATTGGTAACATTTTTGTTCGTCAAAACTGTCGTCCATACTTTCTTTACCCAAGACAGGTACCTGAGGAAAGTGAAGATGTTGGTGCAACACCTTGTTCTAAAAGACTGCAATAACGCTCTACTGAGTTCAGGTGGAAAAATATTGCTTCCTTTGTGGTAATGCTGCTACAAATGACAATTTAACATTGATGCGTCGTTCAAGGTAAGACTGTCTCCCGTTAAAGCCCGAAAATTCCTGAAATTAGATATTAAAGTATTTGAAATTAATTCTGCTTTTTTATGTTTAAAGCGTCTTCTCAACGGTCTTGAACTAAGGCTAGCAAAGTGGGCCATAAGTTGACTCATTTTTATTTGCCATGTAACACTGCATTCATACCCATTTTGTTTCGAAAACCCTAACGGCCTTTTTGTACTGTCAACAATATGTGGATTCACAGCAAAGAAACAATTTGTAATGGCCTGTTTTATCTGGCTTTCAAAACGCAAAGAACTGTTACTGATCCAGGGTAGATTTAGACCGGGCACTTTTGCGGACCAAATTTCAAGTCAACCGAGAAATTTGCTATCTTTCCCTAATGTAAACTGAAATGACATCCTCTGAATAGCCGTTCTCCAGAAATCTTTTTTATTTGTTCAAGTTCCGAGTCGAGTTTAGACTTAGAACATCAGCGCCCTATGAGTAAGCGTTTTGAAGAGGCTGATTTTTCTTTGTTTTGGGCAAAATGAACTCCATCGAGTATATAACCCCGAAAATGTGGGTTTACGGTATACACTAGTAAGAAATCCAGCGTCAGACTTTTCAACCTAAACATCTCGAAATGGCAAGGAGTTATTTTCTTTCTTTTCAAATGTAAACTGTAGGGCTGGGTGAAGGCCATTAAGGCGTTTTAGGAAAGTATCAAACTCAGCCTATGTTTTGAAAATGGTATATTTGTCATCCACATACCGAAAATAGACACCTGGCTTTTGGTCGCAGTCAAACAAACGCTCTTCATGAAAGCCAACAAAGATATTGGCCAAGGTAGGTCCCATAGCGACATCATCCTTTTTTGGTACATTTCATTGTTAAAGCTGAATTGAACTGAAGATTTTAGATTGAAACCTGGTTATTTTTGCCACCTCACAGGTGTTTCCTTAGTTGCATTACTTCGCAAGGAAAACAATCTCGTATTGAGAAACATTGAACTCTTTACAAACAAGGATGCTAAGATAGCCTAATGCAACATTGCATATATTCTTCTGAATGAAAAAAATTGTTTGGATAAAATTTCGTAAAGCTCCAATCATAACAAGCCTCGATTGTATAACACACATTTAAACATTCAGAAACATGAAATTTTACAAGGGGAAAGAATCAAGCACAAAAGAAATTCAAATAGCTCTCATCTATTGTCTAGGAATTTAGTGTTCTAGGGCAAGCTTTTCGGCTTTTGCAACGGCTTCATCAATATTTCCAACCATGTAAAAAGCTACTTCTGGCAAATGGTCGAGCTCTCCTGCAAGCAAAATGAATTTCTCAGCATTTGAAGGTCATTCACAAAATAATTACAAGTACATTATTTAAAGAGGACTGTGATCATTCATATATTTGATTTGGAAATTTTGCTGTTTGTTTTTCCACTTTTTCACCTGTGAAGTGGGTAAAGGTGCCTCAATATGGCAGAAATATTGCATAAGAAGGACAGGATGTTGACAAGGTGCAATTGCTAAAGAATAGGATGGCAGTCCAAATTTGGGTATAACAGATACATAACATTTTGAAAACTAAATATGCAAAATTTTGAAAAGAAATTATTACAAGAGAATATATTACAAGATACAGTTTGGATTGTCCTGAAATTTTGTTGAGTTGGCTAGCAAAGTATATGATTGGGCATTACAAAGAGTTTAATACCTACCTTGAGTTTACAATATTCAGGTCAAAGTTAATGTTTAAGTCCTCAAAAACCATGGAAAAATACATGCTGCTGATAAGAAGTCAATTTGAGATATTGTTTCCTTCGACAGGATCCAAGCATTGCCATAGGTCATACAATGTTGGGTTTTAAGAAGGAATTTGGTATGGCCGACAGACAACCCAGCTATCATGCAATTTCCACTGGGGGCATAGATGTTGGCATTTGAAAACTATACATACAAAGAGTGATGAAGACAAAAAACTGCTTACCTGAAAGAATCTTCTTGAATCCAGAAATACATTCCTGAAGAAAGCAAATAACATTTTTAGAAAAACTTTGGATCAGTAAATATAGAAGCTAAATGTCATGCAAGAAAACTTCAATAGGCAACTGAGCAATCGCATCTAAAACATAAAACATTTGTTTCCTTTGACAGGTTCCAATGAGTGCATAATAAACAGACTTGGGGTTTTAAAAAGGAAACTACTATAGCCAACAGACAACCCAGCAGTCATGCAAAATCCTGTGGGGGCATAGATGTTGGCAAAATGCTAGTATCTTGAAATAAGGAGGTGGATAGCAGACTTGAGTTCACATTGCTGAGAATTAGACAAGCTTTACTGATAAAAGCAAAGTCAATTCTGGACTGTCTGGTCTGAAAATATTTTCTTATATCTAACTAGTATATATATATAAATATTATAATACTTTAATGCTCCCAATACCTAGTTATATATCAAACTAGTAAATATCATTTTAATACTGCCAATATCTAAATCATGGCAGCAATTTCTTAATGATGGAATGTTGACTGCTTGATATTCCACTTTGACTTGGCAGTATTTTTCTTCCTGATGACTCTCAAAAAGACTTCTGAACCAAATAAAACTTTATCAGCAAACACATGAGCTATCTTAACGGCTCAAGACATCAACTGAGTTATGTTAAACTTAAACATGTCTTAGCTAGGTCTATTCTGCTCATTAATAAGGTGCCCCATTCACTTCCTGTAACAGTGTGACCGAACAGCAAATCAATATGATAAACCAAACTGACAAAGATTCTAAGAAAGAATATACATAATCAAGACCTTCTAATTAACTATAAAATAAAAAGAGTACATACAGACAATGGGACAAGTTTTCCCAAATGACCCGTGAATACTTCTGCGACCTGGAATGGTTGTGACAGGAACCTTTGGATCTTCCTGGCCCTTGCAACAGTTAGCTTGTCGTCTTCTGACAATTCATCCATACCAAGAATAGCAATGATGTCTTGAAGTGATTTGTAGTCCTTGAATAACAAAAAATTAGAATTAATTATAGCTTCCATTATCAAGACTCTATGTTAAAAGGCAAAGTAGAAAGATTAGTATACTAAAGCACTGCTTTGCCTGATACTTCTCAGAGTAAAAAACATCCCAATGTATGAAAACAGACATTCCTTATAAATTTGTTACTTAAAATAAACCAAACAAACACAAAACGTTTTAACTTACAGTGAGTTACGCTAATCTCTATTTTCTTTACATAACACTTTAATGAGACCTTAAACTATAGCAACAAATAAGACAGGTATACAAAATCATACGTACATCCAGAGACACATAGCAACATTAAATCCCACCTAGTGCATACAATAAGCATATATAGAGAAGCAGCTAGATATAAGCTTCTTTAAAAAAAAGTTATAAATTTGTGGCATTTTCATACCTGTAGAATTTTCTGTGTTGACCTTGCTACATCATAGTGTTCCATTCCAACAACATTGGGGTCCATGATACGTGATGTTGAATCAAGTGGATCTACAGCTGGGTAAATACCCAACTCAGAGATACCACGAGACAAGACAGTGGTGGCATCCAAGTGAGCGAAGGTTGTGGCTGGAGCAGGATCAGTCAAGTCATCAGCTGGCACATAAATAGCCTGTAAAAGCAAGTAATTAATGAAAAATTACTTGCCATTCTTTCTAGGTTGAGCAAAATTTGTTTGCTGAGTTTAAGCTTGAAAAATAGCTTGAAAACGCTAGCTATTAAACAAAGGTAGAATACCTGTACTGAAGTAATAGATCCTTTCTTTGTTGTGGTAATCCTTTCCTGCATAGTACCCATATCAGTTGCCAAGGTTGGTTGGTAGCCTACAGCTGATGGGATACGTCCAAGCAAGGCAGATACCTCTGAACCTGCCTGTGTAAATCTGAAAATGTTATCAATAAAAAGCAACACATCTTGTCCTTCTTGATCTCTGAAATACTCTGCAACTGTAAGTCCTGTAAGAGCAACACGAGCTCTTGCACCTGGTGGTTCATTCATTTGACCATACACAAGGGACACCTAGAAAGGGAGTTTGTGATTTAACATACAGTTCAAGGAAAAATTTTAGGTAGACAAAAATATAATGTAGGTTGATTGTCAAAATTTACATAAGTGGCTCACAGGCAATTTGTAGGATGCAACTTAAAGATGGTATGCAGTGGCAAATGACTCAAAGCAGGTAGGTCAAGGAAACACACACTGCCATTGCCTAAACACACAGCTTGTCGCCATTTCACAATATTTACCAATAATTGTCTACAGTGGCAATTTATGAAAACTACTGTTTAACCCAGTCCTGGTAATATGAAATTTGACAGCATGCTGGTAATCGCACGCTTTGAATAGTTTAGGCGTGCAATGGGGTGCAATCCATAAAATGGAGACCTTACGGTTTTTATGAAGACCTGATGTCATCTCTGTATTAGAAGGTGTGTTTCACTGTTTGAAAAAGTGTATGAGGTTTTCACAAAACAAACAAGATTTTATGGAATTTTAGAAGAGGTTTCTTGAAAGAATAATTTAACAAAAAAGATACAAGTTTTTTAGGCCCTGTTGCCATTACTCTGTTTTGGTATGAGAATGGATTCGAGTGAATCTGTTTGAGATTTTGAGTATCATTAATACGCTCAAAAACGGTGTCAATTGATACGAAACTGAAGTTATTCATAAACACTGTTCAAGGTGGAGTCATCCGAATCGGAATCATTTGAATACACATTGTTTTATTGGGAACAGCGAAGACAGGCATTCAAAAGTGGAGTCATTCAATCTCAGTTTCAAAAGAGAGTGAGCAAAGGATATGTGAATGGACAAATATGGAGTAATGGAAACACCCACATTATCATTTTGAGCGAGAACAGAGACACACAAAGACGGAGTAATGGAAACCGGGCCTAATTGAAATGAAGAAAAGAGTTAAAATGCCTCTGGGACTGCCATCAATATAACCCGCACAAATGAAATTTGAAAATTACTTTAGAGAAAATAAAAAAGAAATTAAAAGAAAACAAGAAAAGTTATTCAAAACGTGGAACTGCACTTGCAATAGAAAGCATGCCTAATATTACCAGGACTGGTTTAACCAGTCTGCCACATACCGTAAATCCGTATATTCCCCCCCCCCCCTGAATAGGCCCCAATCCTAGAACTACAAATTGTCAATAAGACCCCTTGGAATAAGCCTCAATTGCATACTTTTGGTAACAATTCATTAAATGCTCATTGAGGAATTCCTCCTAAAATATATGCCGCCTTTTATGAGTGAATTCTTAATGGCTACTATAATTTCATAAGCCAGACCTCTTGTATAAGTCCCCCTCAAATAACCCCTTATCAAAAAATACTAAAAATAAATATACCCCCAGGGGGTAATTTGAGGATTTAAGGTAGTGCTTGGAGCTGTATAAGCATACAGTAAAAAACCCGCATAAAAGAACCTGTTTTTATAAGAACCTTGAGGCTGAAATTTAATATTTTAAACTCTATAATCAAGAACCCCCAAAAGGCTGAAATTTGGAAAAGTTCTAATATATAAATGTAAAAAAAGGGTTTTTAGAATGATATTTTTATATACCCTATTCACTCTGGCAAATAAAACCGGCTCAGCGTAAATCAGGTTATGGTTGGTTATGGTATGTTGCATTCTAATTGGACAATCTAACAACACAAATTCATTTGGTTGGTTGAATTTTTACATGAAAAATAAAGCTGGTGTAAGTGTGTTTGTTAAAGTTTTGTGGTGGAAAACATTGTTTATGTGTGCAAGGCCTGTACATATATAAGAACTTGTTAAGAACCTTTTTGACTGGAATTTAGAATAGCAGCCTGTTAATTGAGAACCTATTCAGGCTGCCAGAAAAAACCTAGGTTCTTTTTTGCGGGTTTCTACTGTAGGCATTAAAAAGGACAATAATTGTCTGATGATCACAAAAAGCTTGAAACTTGAGAGTTGTAACTTGAAACCATTTTGTTCTATATACCAAACCTAGTAGCAATAACAAACAGACAAACTGTAAAAACAAACTGTCTGAATGAAAACCAATGGCCTCCACTGTTCAAACACATAAAAAGACAAGTAGAATCGAAAGGCACCATGGCTCAGCAATTTCATGTAGAAGGCAATGGCATAGTTGATAAAGAAATGTAATCCAATAATAAAAGTAGGATGGTTGTGTCCTTTGACAGGATCCAATCTATGTATTTAGTAACATGAGATTGGGTTTTTAAAAGGACTGTATATACTTTTGCCAACAGACATCCCAGCAATCATGTAATATCCTGTGGGGGCATAATGTCGGCATTTGACACATTTTGACACATAGCATGAAGTTTATCATTAATGTACTTCAGGGAATGGTGACAAAAAGATTTTAAATTACTTATAGTAGCAAAAATTATTTGAAAAAAAAGAATTACATATAGATGCACACATGAAATAACAATGCATCAATTTATTTAGCTTATCAGTGAATATTTTCACATGCTAGAGCTTCAGTCTATAATTAGACAGCATACAAGCTTTTTTTGCATTGTATATATCTATCTTGTGAGTGGGCCAAGTGATGGATTTTCAGTAGACAAATACCAAGCCAAATTCTTTTCAGAGAAACACACCCTCAGAAATGGAAAAAAATTGGCACAATTGGCATAAACAGTTGCAATTGACATTAAAAAGTTGTTAATTTGACTAAGACATGAAGTATATAAAGTGAATATGAAATTCTTTCTAGAAACATTCCATTTAATTCTCATTTTAGTGCAGCTTTTCAGCATTTTATGAAAATGTGAGAAATTAAGAGGAAAGCTATATATAACAAATCTTGAATTAAATGTTGCTCTTCCACCTTGCAACGTAATGAATCATACATATATATCTATATAACTAAAACCTTCTTAGAGCACTGGAACCATCAATAGGGAATTTAATTAACAGTGCAGAAACACCTAAATGTGGGGGCAAAAAATAGTGGGTTGCATTTAAAAGAGCAGGGACATTAAATAGAGAATATTCTGAGCATAAACATTGTTTGCTGTCCTGTGCAAGTTTTGAGCACTTTAAAGAAGCTAAAGGCACTTAATTTACAAAGAATAAGGATAGATAGCTACAAAAAACAGACCTTTGATCCATCTCCTTTGAGGTCAATGACTCCAGACTCAATCATTTCATGATACAAATCATTTCCTTCACGTGTTCTCTCTCCTACGCCAGCAAACACTGAATAACCACCATGGGCTTTGGCAACATTGTTAATAAGTTCCATAATCAATACAGTTTTGCCTACACCAGCACCACCGAACAGACCTAATGAGTAATTTTAAGATTCACATATCTTCTCAAAACTTTCCAAACCAAAAAACAAAATATATGATCTTTCATGATTATATATATGTATGTATAAATAAGAAAATCTTTACTAGTCACAAAACATCAATACAAATACAAAAGTAAATGATATATAATAATCCACACAGAAGAATTCTCACCAATTTTTCCTCCTTTCGCATAAGGTGCTAATAAATCTACAACTTTGATTCCAGTCTCCAGAATCTCTTGATTGACATTCATTTCAATAAATTCTGGTGCTTCAGCATGAATAGGTGCTCGCTTGTCAGTTAAGATGGGGCCCCTTTCATCTATGGGCTCTCCAATTACATTGATAATTCTGCCTAAAGTCTCTGGGCCAACCGGAATTTTGATTGGATCACCGGTATCTAAAACTCCTTGGCCACGAATAAGACCTTCAGTACCATCCATAGCGATTGTTCGAACAACATTTTCTCCTGTAATGTCAAAGAACGGTATAGATAAAAATGCATGCATACAGAGACTCAAATACAAGCAAGTTTTTAAAACTTGTACAAAAAGAACTAAAAATTACTTTTCTTTATTATGGAGCTTAACAGAAAACTGATAGCCATACCAAGGGTTTTAAATTTTTTTCAAGGCATCACTTCAAAATATATGGTAATTACCTAAATGCTGGGCAACCTCTAATACCAATCTTGAGGTTCTTCCTTGAACTTCAAGGGCATTCAAAATTGGAGGCAGTTCTCCTTCAAACTGTACATCTACAACAGCACCAATGACAGCAACAATGCTTCCCAAGTTGCCGGCTCCTGCTGCTTTTGGGAGCTCAGCTTTCCCTGATGGTGCAGCTGCAGCCTTATTCTTTGTTGTGTCTGTGGTGACATTTCTGCTTTTTACTGAAATGAGAGATAGAGTAGCAAAAACTTAATAAACATTTTCTTCTGCAAAGAAAGATCTTTGAAATACAAAGAAATCATTACCCTAAGAGGAAAGTTGATACTAATTCTATTCTGTTCATGGTAATTATCTGCACATCAGATACCCATTATTTGTAAGAATTCAAGGTTTGACACAAAAAAAAGTTACAGCGATACAGGAAATGTCTTTAAATTTCTCAAAAGTGCTTTTTGATTTTTAAATTTTATTACTTTTGACAGCATACAATGTAAAAATTATGCTGTTTTTAAGCTGTAAAAATTTTGTTTGTTTTGCTATTATGTTTTATTTTATTATTGAATATGAGAGCCTTTAGAAATTGCTTGTAAATTTTTGAAAGTTTAGAAGAATTTGTTTAATTTCATTTTAATTTCATCTTAATCTTATCTAAATGCCCTCTTATCAATCAAAAAAATTGTGGGGTTCCTCATTTTACAAAATTGCTTGTTTCTTTTAACATTAATTCTGTTTCTTCTTCTAGAATAAAAAACCTTTTTCTAAGAAAACGTTTTTGTATCCTTTCTCGTCTAACTGCCATCCCTTCTAAACAGAGTCACATCACTGGAATATTTCAGAGTGTATATAAAATTATTTTATGAATTTTGGCACATAAAAAATATTCATTACAAAGTTTGTTAAATTATATTTGGGTGACTGGATTGTATCCTGCTCATATCACGACCTCGACCTTTATATTTAGTAGACTTGTAAATTTAGTGAAAAACAAAGTAAGAGAAAGTTACCATCATTTATTAGGAGCAAGAGCGCAAATTTGATAACAACTATATGGTCTGTAAAATCATGAATTCCATTTCATATTACCATAGAGGATTGGATCTTGGCGTGCAAACTCCAACTTAGGCCGCCAAATGACATGTGGCAAAGCTGCTACAGTTGGGCTTAAATAACAGCTATTGCAAAAGATATTACACAAAAAATACAACTGCAAAACTAACTTACAGCTTTCAACACATGCTGGCAGTAACCTTTGGTGTGCTGTCGGAACCGAGCGCTGCAATAGCGCTGGTTTTACAACACCATTCGCAAGCCTTCTCAATCCCTGTCTCAACATGGCCGTGGAGGAAAGCGAGGGATGGGACGACGCATGCTTCAACTTATGAAAGACAGGTCACGTGATAGATTCACATCACGTGGACGTTATGGACGAATTTGGAAAAGGATCAATTCTCATACATACAGACATACATACACACATACATAATATGTACATACATTTTTATTTTTCAATGCAGGTTAAAAGATCTGGCATTTCAAAAGAGCTGATGTGGACCTGTTATGAATTAAAGGCTAAAGGAAACAATTATTACATCATGTAAATTCTCTATGATCACTAAACTCAATCTGCGGGGCTCCTGAAAATATTTTCTGCAAAATAAAAACAACACTTTCAGCAACCTTAGAATTATATTACATATATTGTGAACGACACGAGCTCAATAGAGACCGGGCAAAGTGGCAAAGGGGCCGGGGCACCACTGGTTGAAAAGTGTCAGAATTTTTTTTTTCAAAAACGACCTGCTTTAATTTAAGTTCTATCAAAATGTAGAGAGAAGAGAAATCCTTTTGATTTTCCTGAACAAAATAGCATGAGTATATATCGGTACATATAGTTCCTTGCTTGTTGTGCTTAAGATGCTTGACACTCTTTTTTATACGAGCCAGTAAGTTTAAGTTCAAGCTGACTTATTTGGCTTTTTAATTTGGCTGGCTTTTTCGGCGAATATTAAAACTTAATTTTTTCGAAAATATGAGGCTGGATTGTTCTTAATTTGTTCTTATATTAATAGGATGTAAGCAGTGTGATTGCTAGTCTTTCTCGATCTAGGGTGGTGTTCAGGCCTCATTTGCCAACAAAGTGAGCGAGACAACCTTTATTTGCCGACAAGTTTGAATATTCGCCGAAAAAGCATCCTACGTGGCTAAAAATCCTCATTTTTGAGATAAAACGTTGTTCAAAATTACATTTTGCAGAAGCTCAGCCTCAGCTTGCTCTTAATTTGTTATTAACTTTTGACCAGTTTTGAGGCTCGTGTTCTTCTTATAAAAAGAAGGAGAGTAGCTTGTGGTTACTAGCACAACAACAGCAACAGGTAAGGAGACGCACAGAATGTGAGACTAGAGCAAGAGAGAGAAGACATGTCCGTTAAGTGGGGTGTAGGAAGAGTTTGTTTTAACCCCCACTTTGCGACTGCCAATTCAGTGGAATAAAAGATTTGAAATTGCAAAAAAGAAAATGTTGTTTACTGGTCTTGTTTGCAAGAGAATGCAATGGTGAGCCACGATGCGACAACGAATAGGCTAGGTCATCATGTCGATTTGTTATTTGTATTGGAGACTGTAGAGAGGAATGCCTTTTGATTTTGCTATAAGTTTGAGTTAAAACTTTGAACAAAAAGCTTGAAAATTTGTCATAAAAGGAGTCTGGTATATTCTGAGGGACCTGTTTGAAATTATTGAACATGATATTAAGGCTTCCGAGGAATGGCCTGAAACAAGTCTTTGTTGGGTTTTGTATAGCAACAATTTTCTGGTTAGCAGTAATATCGTATTTACTAAAGGAACAACGAAGGACATTTGAAATAGCAGACACACGTGATAGAGAGAAATATGCCCCGGAAAGTGTTATAGATGGAAACCAAGTTCCAATTGGTATAGTGAGAAATGATCAAGACTTGAAAAAACGTCACAAAGGCTACGAGAAGTTCTCTTTCAATCTTCTCGTTAGTGATAGAATTGGATATCAGCGGATACTCCCTGACACAAGACATCATCTGTATGTATTCTGCAGACCATTCATCCTTTTGCAAAAGGGACAATTGGGAATTAAGTGTCTCCATATGGGGGGGGGGGGGTAAGCACCAGAGACAACAAGGCTCAGATAGCTAAGAAGCTCTGGCTGAGGTTAGAGCTCTCTCTAAAAGTGTAGTAGAGCTTTCCTGAAATGTCTGAAAAACTTCAATGAAGGCGAAGAGTATTCCTGAAATTGATATTTTCAGTCAGTTTTAAAGACAAAACTGTAGAATATTTTCCAGTACATTCCACTTCCCAAGACTACACAGTGCCAACAGAGCGAAATTCATATTAGGGGGCTGCCCATTGTATTCCTTCTCATTCAGTACACTGTTATAAAGGAAACATACTACAGCTTCAGCCCCCCATAGGGCTTCAGCCCCCCCCCCATACCCTGTGGTTCTGACAGGCCTGCTACATGGCTTGTTTTTAGTTCTATCATCACTTTTTCTCCATTCTTAAAAAACCCATACAATACCATTGAAATTCCACAGCTTGTTAAGTTTTACATATAATTTATTTTAATACTTGATTTCTCCTGGTTTCTTGTTATTATTGGAAATGCTTTGTTTCTGTTTATTACTTATTCCGATTTCCTTACTTTTTAAGATGCAATTTTATTAAAACAATCTCCTAGAGCGAGAATGCCACATTGCCTTCTGCAAGCTTTTGATTTCGTTCATATTTCAAGGGAGCATCTACTTAACACATTTCACCCACAGACCTACAAAGTTTAATATTTCCTGATGACCTCACTAAGCATGAAACTCTGAGATGAAACTTACCTACCTCTTTTCTACTTACCGGAGCCTATACACCTCTCTCTATACAGCATGAAGCACTTTATGACAGATAGATATTTTCATTAAAAAAATTCTTGTGTTGTTTCACTTAACTTCCTTGACAAACCAAGTTTTTCAAATTTTGTCAGTTTAAGCTTTAATCATTTCTTATTCAGTTGTCAACAAAATGAGAAGAGCTACAAAGAGCAATCACTACCTACAGCTAGTGTCATTATCTGTTTTCATAATGAGGCAATGTCAACCCTTCTGCGTACAGTTCATAGTGTACTAGACAGAACACCAGATAATCTTATACAAGAAATTATTCTTCTGGATGACAAGAGTGACAAGGGTTAGTTTTTAGGTGTGCATATAATTGCAATGTGCCAAATCGGTCTTTCCAAATTTTTGATCACCCAATGGCATTTCACTGCCTGTGACATTTGTTAATATGTTTAATCAAAGACTAAATACCAACCAGTGTATTGGCAGAGAAAGTTCCTGTACAATTATTTTTACATAATAACCTCATGTAGATTTCGTTTTATTTGTGTCTCTCAAAATATTTTTATTACTAGCAGTACCTGAATAATCTCTGACATGCTTTGCTGATCATTCTGTGAATTTGTTATGCTTCTTTGTGATTATGCTTCCTTGTTTAGTGGTTATATAAATCATGTTGAAGATCTAACTTTCGATATAAATTTGCCTTAGGGATAAGTTTTGACCAATTGATGCAGTATGTAGCCCAAAAAAACCTGCATAAAGTTCACGTATTTAAAACAACAAGAAGAGAGGGTCTAATCAGGGGAAGGCTTATTGCAGCAAAAAAAGCTTCTGGAAAGGTAAGATAAAACTCAAGCTCTAAAATAAAAAGGTACTGGTGACTACAATCACTGCCAAAATTACTTGAAACACCCAACACTTTGCACTGTGCTTTTCTATTTTTCATTCATTTTCCCGATTACAACTACTTCCGCCCCTCTTTCCCCCCAAAACAATGTTGAAAGTAAAGAAAAGTATCATATAAGGCACACAAAAAAGTGTACTCGATAAGCCTTCCTTTTTTATAGTGAATCAACATTGTTCCTTGGGGGGGGGGGGGGGGGAGAGGTGGTGGCTGAATTTGCCTTTGAAAACTGATGTTAGTGTTCCAAGACTTTTGGCAGTGATTGTAGGTTAATGAAGCCTCTTGGCTCACTTAGCTTTTTATCAAATTTTATCTTTTTAATCTGCATGCAGTTAAATATTTAAAGTTGACCTGCCCAGAATGGAATATTTTTTCATTTACCTCATGGCACAATATATATAAATAAATATTTAGAATTATATTTTTTAGAAGTGACATCATGAAATCAAGATCTTGTTATATTATATTAATACTTGTATTTATTGTTATGAATTTCATTTGCAATTCACTGGATATTTTAGGCTACATTTATTTTTTTAGACTATTTTAAGTAGAATTAACTATTAAAAATTTTGCATTTTTTTTAAAAAGATATAAATCTTTTTGCCTTCGTGAACATTTTATTCCTGTAATCTTCACCTTTTGATCATGTCAATGAGGTTGATATCTAAATGTATAGATTTAGTGTGTTTGTAGTTTGCCAATTAAATGTTTTTTCTAACTGTGTACAGTACTTTGATAAATTAACCACAATTAAACATATCTAATGGCCTTTCCTTATATCAGGTGCTGGTATTTCTTGATAGCCATTGTGAAGTAAACAAAAACTGGTTGCCTCCTTTGCTGACAAGAATACATCAAGATAGGACCAGGGTAGTGTGCCCAATGATAGACATCATAAATGCAGATACATTTGAGTACACATCATCACCAATGGTTAAAGGTGGATTCAACTGGGGACTCCATTTTTCATGGGAGCCTCTTCAGGAAAACCAGCTAGCAAGTGAAGAGGAATTTGCAAAGCCATTTAGGTACAATCACTTCAATTTTACTTAATTGTACAATAAAATTGTCTTAGCTCCATTTTTTATTATTATTTAATTCAGCTGCTATTGTTTTGCATGTGTATGTGTAGAAAAGCCTACCCGCCTGTTATTTTTAGACAGGATGTGCTCTCTCCACCATTAGAATAGCTACCAAGAGGTCCTCCTTGAGAAATTCCCTAGCATACATATCACTTGAATTGCATGTTTAAGATAATAAGTATTGTTGACATTTTGTTTTGATGTTGTTGTTTATTATGTTCCAATTTCAATAGAACAATGTTGAACGATTGCTTTATGATAAGGACAATAGCATTATTCACAGATAAGCGCACATCTTTAGAAAGTGTGCACGCTGTTGATTTGATTTAAAGTATTAAAGATTTAAAGTAGTCAGGGGTTGTTTTTCGAAATGCGAGTAGTATTAACATTGATTAAGTTTCGAAGAACCATAATTAGGTTATCTGTATAAGATGCTCCTTAATACAATTAAATTAGATGCTCTATAATACTACAGAAATGTATTAATCTATTTTCGATATTGTATGTAGTGGGGTTTTCAAAAATGAAGAAACTGAGCTGAACTGAACTGAGTTTTGACTCCTTTGTTTGTTTGATGTCATTTTATCCCATCTAAGGTCACCAACAATGGCAGGTGGATTGTTTGCTATGGACCGAAAATACTTCTTTAGATTGGGTGGATATGATGAAGGGATGGACATTTGGGGTGGAGAAAATCTTGAAATTTCTTTTCGTGTAAGTACACAAGTTCTTCCTGTTTGCTTTTTCTATTTCTCTGGAGTTTTCATATTCCAAACTTTAAGAAAAAAATGAATGATGATGTATACATAAGAGTGTTATACTCGAATGATGATGTAACCTGGTTTTGTATACAAATTTTTTACCAAGAAACAAGATACTATAATCAAATTATATGCTTATTATAAAAGTAGTCAAATTCTTTAATTGAGGAAGAACTTCTAAAAATATCAATAGGCAACAAAGACCAATTTTATTGAATTGCCTGGAAAATGATACCTTCTTATCCACAATAAATGTCAGGTGTTTAAAGAGATACAATACCTACTGTTTATTTTGTTGTTTTAGATATGGATGTGTGGTGGCTCTTTAGAAATACATCCTTGCTCACGAGTAGGACATGTGTTTCGGGATCGAAGACCATATGGGAATGCAGGGAAAGGGGATACAATGGGTTTTAATTCCAAACGAGTAGCTGAAGTTTGGCTAGACAGATATAAAGTTCATTTCTACAATGTACGAACAGATTTGAAAAACACAAAATTTGGGGATATATCAAGCAGACAGAAATTACGTGAAAATCTAAAGTGTAAAAAATTTCAATGGTACTTGGAAAATGTCTATCCTGACCTTTACATTCCATTAGAGAGATCCGGGGCACCATTTAGAAATTCTTGGATCAATAAGAAAAAGTCCAAAGTTCTTTTCCATGCTAAGGTAAGTTTTCAACAACTTCATTAGTTAGTGAAAAGACTATATTTCGTCTGATATAGTAATGTCAGATATACTCGTGAGCTATGCAAGATTTCACAGGAAGCATAACCTTGCATGAGTATATCCTACTGGTTTTTTTAATTCTTGATTCACTTATGTAGGGCGTAGAGATTATTTTATCAAGTATCACACTGGATGGAACTTTTCAAAATATTGTACCAACAATTTTTATGATTGTCTTTTATTATTGCTTGCTTGATACCTTTGAACTATGCATAATTTGCTGATCTATAGAATCATATATTTACCAAAGTCTACACTCATAAAAAAATAACTGTATCCTCATTTAGCTGAAGAATCATGGGGCAGGATTATGTCTCGACTCAAGTGGTCTGGCATATGACAAAAAGATGAATGTCATGCTAAAATCGTGCAACAAGCTCAATGTTAAGGTATGCAACTAATTGTATTAATACTGAAGCTCAATACTTTGTTTCCATATGAAAACAGATAAAATCTATATTTTCTCGTATTTGCATTGCAGTGGTGTAATGATATTTAGCAAAAAATCGAAATGGTAACAATAGAAGTTGTTGAAGCTAAGTAACACGAATATGTAGATCAGGCATCTACATCAATGTTTATTTTTTATAGTTTTGGGCTTATAATGAACAAAAGGAGCTAAAAACAGAAGGAATTTTGTGCTTAGATGTTGTGCACAAGATGGGTGCATCTAAACTAAAGATAATGAAGTGTCATGGTGAAAATGCTGGACAAGAGTGGAGACTATCAAAGGTAACTCACAGCACTATAATTTTCTAATAGTTCTAAAGTACACATTTGGACAGATCAAGTAGTACTTTATAAGAATTCTACATGTAACTCTGTCATCTCCTTTTTTCTTTTAAAACAATTTACAATTAATTGCCAATCAGGTGTAATTATTATGAAGCAGGATACCCAAATACCCTCTTCACATCATCCAGTTTATTTAAAGAGTTTGCTTGGCACTTTTTTCATTGCCAGCTATTTCACTTGCAAAATAAATCCGTTCAAGTTATACACCATTTTGAAATTTTCTGAGGCAAGATAAATGTCAAATAACCTTCTTGGTCTGAAAACAATTTTGTTTTGAACTTGATAGGAGTTTGGCCTCAAAAACTTCCAGTTGAAACTCCCCCCTCCACACCCTTGTCTGGAATAATGGTAAAATATCTCAAAATGTTTGACTTAATGTCATCATCCATTCAATATCAGAAGAACTTGGCATTTCAGAATTTTTTCGATATTCTTTTCCTCAAAATGTAGGCAAAAATTGGCAAAAAAGCTTGAAGCACGTTTGTGTTGTTTCTGAGTGGTAAACAGGCCTGGAAATTTGGCAGAAATTTTGCTACATTCATTTTTTCAGAAACTCAAAATGGCAATTTTCAAAGAAGCATCAGTTTTTAATTGTTTTTGTTGTTCAGGCAATTTGTTCTGCAATTCAAAAATTACTGCAACAAATCATCCTGCCATCATTTCTGTAACTTGTCAATAACACTAACCATAACTCACTTCCTTAAATGCTAAAAATTTACAGGCCTGGGACAATAACTTTTTATGTCATGTAGGTGTTCCTCGGCAGGAAACTAGAATGTTTCATATCCTTAGAATATATGAAAATTGTTATACATACAGTTATGCACATGAAAACTATTAACTCATTGCCAACCTTTCTGCAGAAACACAAGACGTTTTATAATCCAGCAACAGGAATGTGCTTAGCAGCAGATTCAATAGAGCAAGTGGCTGTGTTGAAAATATGCAACCATGATGAAGATCAAAAATGGATGTTGGCTGCGAAAAATTTTGTATGAATTATTCTACAATAAAATACCATGAATTATATTTGAATGTTTCTTAATATTTGGCAAAATATATTAAGATTCAAATTTTTATGAAATCAACAAATTATGTGTACTTTTTTCTTCTTTCAGTTGAGCATGTATACTATTTCTCTACTTTCTGTTATGGACTGCCTACTTTCTTTCATAAACCTTAGTTTACAAGCAAATACTGAATATGAATTGACCTGAAGCATAAGTTAATTATTTTACATGCCAGTAACTGCATAATTGCAAAGTTACCTGCACTGAGCTGGAGTCTTCAGCATTTAGGGCTGAAAGAATAGAAAGAACAATAGGAAAAAAGAACAATAAGTTAGGACAATATATCTCCCCCATTTAAGTTAGCAAAAGTTTACAAGTGTTAACAAAATTAATTGGGTATGAATTTTGATATTGACCTGTCATCATCATTATCATTATCATCATCATCATCATCATTATTCCTTTACCATGATGTTTCCCCTTGAACGGGGTTGCACCAGAATACTGTTAGTTTTCAGTGATTTCCTCCCTGTCTGTTGGATCAATTTGTTTCAGTTGTTACAAAACGGATTCAGATGTCATATTTAAAAAAAGAACCAAATTCACTCTAGATATTTTCTAAAAATGAACATATTATACCATTTCTAGCACTCATACCTAGTCTCTATCCACACATAGCCGTTCAGCAAAATGATTTAAGGTAGTAACTCCTGGTTAATTTACAAATCTACTTTTAATTTAAATTTGCTACAACAAATATTAAAAATTATTTCATTCAATCATTCATCTCACTGGGTAGCATTCATTCACTCCAACTCCAGACTGGAAGTACATGCACTTTATTGTGCAATAAAGTACATTCTGGGGCGCCTGAAATCATGCACATATAGAAATCTGTAGAAGTAATAATGTAAAATTTTATCAAAGAGAGACTTTGCGCGGCCAAGATTCAAATGTGCACAGATGGAAAATTTGAGTGTGCAGGCAATAAACTGCAACAAGGTCTCCAGTATGCCTCCATCTATAAAGAAAGGGGTAGGCTTTGTCTTTCCAGGTAAAAAGCTGACAAGGAATAGTAGCAAGATTGCAACTACGCTAAAAGATAGACTGGAGCTAGTTTGTAAAAGATCCCTGAGTTCCATGTTATTTTAACCACTTCATAACTTTCTTTGAAAAAAATTATTTTTCAAGGTTCCTGAATACCCACTAGTGACTTAAAAATTTATAATCATCATTCATCTAAATAACCTGGATAGCTATTTGACTGTTGCAAATGATAACTAGTCAAAGAAGGCAAAAATCCCTCAACCATTACCAATGAATAGTTAATTCAACTAAGTTGCTTTTCTGTTATATTGTGTTAAATCCAGAATACATGCAACTAAATCTGGGAACTGAAGCTATAATTCTTGTGTCAAGAAGTGCTGTGATCTTAACACAGAATCAATAGCAGTACATACTATCAAAAATAAAAATGAAGCTAACAATACCAAATAAAAACTGTGCATGTTTTTCCATTACACATGGAAATGTCTAGGAAAAAAGTACATTCTATGGATGGTACAGTCTAAGGACTTTCCTAGCTAAATAAATACTCCTGGTAAAATCTTTAATATGGTGTTGGTGTTACATTATAGGATCACAATGCTGCATGAAAACAGCTCATTTAGCCAAGTGCATAACACATCACAGTGGCTGAGATGAAGAAACTTTCGAAGGAAATGATGTATTAAAATATGGCATTTTGATTGGCAATCTGGTCTTGTACTTCTAGGCCTGCTTAGCATCTCCTCACTGGGTTCTAGCCAGTTCGATAATAATCAATCTCATAAAATCAATACAAGTGAATTGAAGGGTAAATAATCTTAATAATTTTTTCAAGGGGTTCTTGCGTAATTAACATGTTAAATAATAAGTTTACAGAAAAATTGCTGATTGCTACAGAACACCAAATCAACATTCAAACATAGCCCTTCAATACAAATACAATTGACTCTTGTGCTAAAAATATAGGTCCAGTATCCTAAAAGCCCAGCTTGTTTGTCTATATTTTCTTGGTAATATGCAAATGATGAAAACTGCAGCATTAGATTTGAGGATGGTATATGATATTCAACAGTGAGGTAAATGCATTTAGAACTACTTTACACAATACATTTGATAGCACTAACTGTCCACAGCAAAACTGACATACCACTCCCGGTTCAGTTTACAGGAGCCTAGGACTCCATGTTACCAACAGCAGATTCCATAATGTAAGAAGGATCATTTCCTGAAAGTCCAATAGAACACTTTAAGTATGCTTCATAGATTGCAATGCAAGCGTATTCTTCAATACAAATTATAAAAAGGTGGTAAATAAGCATGTTATTTGTGGGTATGCTTGAAGCACAGTAGTCACGAGGCACAGAAAGTTGAGTATCACAGCCATATCCTTCATCATATACACCCATGGACATGTGGCCAAAACAATCTTGCAAACATCTTAAAGAAAACTAACTTCCCGAAAATAAGTATACTGGCAGCATGTGTCTTTGCCCTTTGCTTTTTATGATTCCATTTAAAGAAAGGCTTTTTCGGAGATGCCGTGGATGATAATTAGAAACAGGTTTCAAAATCAGGAAAGATGCATTCGAATTTCTGTAGCCCAAGCCAAATTCAAAAACAGTATGTGGCCCTATCTTTCCAAACCGACTCAAATCCAACTACGTTAATCAAGGATTATAATTGTGGATCCCAGTTAATTTCTAACAACATAACGCACGCTTATGGAACAAACTTGGTCTTTTGAAAAAAAGCTGCTAACTTTCAATAAGCCTAAAAACTTTTGAAAATAATGCTTTCTCTGCTGCAATTATTAAAATGAAAGACGTTTTGATCTGCTTAAAAACCGGGAAATAAACTTCCCTCAATCGACTAGAAAAACTATCATTCTTTTTTGAAAATTTCTTTTAAGAACTAATTAATGCATTATCCTCTAAGTTTTGAAATGAACATCCAGTTTTGTGTGTTTTGGAACAGTGATTTTTTCTTAATTGAGAAACAGGAACTTTGAAGCGAGTGTTTCATCTATAAGTTCTGAGGCAAAATCGGGTTTGTGAAAAAGAAGCTCTGACATATCTTTTTGTACTTCTTGTACATTTTCTTCTTATAATTGCTGTATTTCAATTTTCAAGATTTCGGTTGTGCAGAACGTGACAAAATGGCGAAACAAACAAAAGTATTTTAGCTATTCATTCTATTGCAAGGCGTTACCCTAGTAGCCACCATATGTTTCTTTTGAAACAAACATGTGTATAGGAAACAGAAGGATCAAACATCTGAGAATCTAATAAACACTGAAGGCTGAGAAAGACAAGAAACAAAATGCTCTGGAGGATCAAACTAAACAAAATCTATAAAAGAAATCATAATCAAACGTAAATTAACTTGAAATTGAAATGTCAAACGTTTAGAAGACTTGACAAGTGTAAATAGACATGCTATCATTGTCTGTAGCAGCGCTATATGATTGGATTATTGGTAGAAGTTCTATTACCTAATTATATAAAATTAAGGGTGTGACTTATAATGAAAGATTAATTAAGGATTTTGTCTAAGAAATTTTTTTTCAGTTACATTAATTAAGGAATTAAGGAATCTTGATTTTTAAGGATTGATCATACAGAGACTTTTTGATGAAAAAATCATATTTTTAATAACATTGATTTCGAAAAAGAGGAGAGATGAAGAACGTGAAAAAATATTTTAAGTTTAAAATGAGTTTACTTTATACCGTTTTTATCTTGATTACTTTGGGCTATATTTGCTGTAGATACCAACAAAAAATTGTAAATTCATGACTACCAAAAGGGAATGAAAAATATAGGTTGTTTTCTAAAGAATTTGTAACGCTTGTATTCCTTGATTAAGTCATGCCCATAATTTCGCGCAATAGGGTAGTTAAAACGTGAGGCTAAAATGGTCCAAAAGCTAAAGGCAACATTGCCAATAACAAAATGCTAGAATAGCCTTTTGTATAAAATAACCAATTGGCATTGGTTGACCAATGAAATTAATTGGGACATCTTTAAGAAACAACATACTTGAACTCAAATGTTTCTTCTGTATACATAAATTATCAGTGACAATTTGCATGACCTTATGCTTGAAAAAACAGCCAGATTCCAATAGTCTGACTGCCTGTGAGAGGTTCTTTACTTCATACAATCTTTCTTATTAGTTATTCCGGTTTAAGTTTACTTTCGGTAGTTCCAACTGTCCCTTGTTGGTACCGATAAACAGTCATTGGCTCAGTAAGTAATCGCTCTGTAAGAAGGCATTGCTGCTAAAGCTGATCAACCTTTGCAACTGTTGTCTTGTTCGAAAACCCAAGAAAACGTCTTCATCCATAGCCTCACCATTATTAGATACAGAGGATCCTTAACAAATTCTCTTATACACCTAGATAAAGGGAGCCTCCATTTAGGGGACCTCATTTCAATCAGTCTGTAATATCGCAAAGAGAACTTGTGAAATTCAACCTACCAGGATTTAAAATAAGGTAATTGAGAATATCTGACAAAGAAATGATTCCGCGTGCTATACGATCTCTGTCGACCACAACTAGTCTGTGAACCTACAAAAATATAAAACACTCTGGTTAGCTAGTTTACAACTGAAAGTAGGAACAACTAAGCAGATTGTATCTGGAGTTCCATCAAATCTCTATAACGACAAAAGCATGAAAAGGATATAGAAAACATCAAAACATTAAGAAAAAACGTTAACAACAGCAAGTGGTCTATACTAGAAGAAACTAGCTTCAACAAAAGATACAAAGCAAACTTGCCTTTTTCTTTACTATTCTGTCAATAATAGTATAGAATGTCTCATCCGTTCTGCATATTTGTACACCTTCAAAGCCATCTTGACGATGGGAGAGTGCTTCAGAGACGGTTATGTCCAGGTTATTATAAGTCCTTTCTGCTGCTAGATTCTAAGGAAAACAGAAAAAGATTTTAACATTCGATATAAAACAAAAATTGTCATATGCATAAAGCTATAATAAAAATATTACCAAGATGAAGAACCTTTTAAATTCAGAAGAACACAAACATGAAAAGAAAAGAAAGATTCAGTTCTGAAACTTGTTTATATGTTTCCAATAAAATCACATTAGAAGAAAAAGCACTAAACAGACCTACAAGGAATACCGTTTCTCTACATTTAGTAATGAAAATAAAAACTCATCAAACGACAAAGGTTACACTGAGCACACACACAACGTAACATGAGTAAATATTTGCATACCAAAACACACTTAAGTTACCTCGTTTAAGCACATTCTAAATAATCTCAATAACAAATACTATGTGCAATACATACAATGACGTCAAATCTAGCATAGATGTCCACAACTTTCCCACTTTGGTCGACGATTGGCAAAGCAGAGACGCCTCTTTCAGCAAAGATATTCAGCGCTTCTATCACTGACGTCTCGGATCGTATCTTGAGAAGACAGAAACAATTATTTGTCAAATAAAGCGAGGGGAAGCTAGATGGAAAAATGGAAATTTAGTGATAATGAAAATATAGTTGCCTGGGTTCAGAGTGACATTACTGATGTAAAACTAACCACATTCGGAGACTAGAAAAAGCATGAACACAAATGTTATTTGAGCAAGGCTTCTAAATTCAAATAGCGATTGTAGAGAAGGCAGATAAACAACAAACCGTTGCAATGTTCTGCAGGGTACCAATTCCTAGTTCTTCCAAGGTATCTCCCATGAAATCAGGCATAGGCACATCATCAAACTGTAAACAAATACATTTTGTCATCAAAAAAACGTTTTAAACAGCGATCATCAATCAAATACCCAGATCAAGATATTGAATTTACTGCTGCTGAATAGTTCTTGCAGCAATTTAAAAGCAGCACGTTAAAGATTTCCTTTGATTCATCCTTGATTAAAAATTCAACTAGGTTTGAGGAAAATGGTAATTGTACAACGGTGGACAAGGTAGACAATTAAATAAATAGGAAATTATTTCATATATATCAAAACATCTAAGGAACCTGCTGTTTACTTTGCTCACTCAGGTGGGTTTTCTTAGCTGAATTTGAATATCAAAAAAAAGGAATGCAAGTTTCAGTACTCGAATTGCTACATAGTTCAATTTAAGCTCAAATGAAAAAACGTTTATATGAAAAAATTGCTTGTGATTATGATAACAGAATTAAATCAGTTTTTAAATGAATATTTAAAAAACACTCCCAAATATTTGAAAACTGTAGACTTTAAAACTAGGACATATTTGTAAGGCCTATATCAAGAATTCTTTTTCATCAACAGTTCAAAATCTGTAGGTTACTAACATGATTATAGATATAGCGGAGTATTTTCTTGTGTGTCAGGATAAATAATGCATTTCCAGTTTCAGGGTCAATAACAGGCAGTCTGTGAATTTTATTTTCAATTAACATCTGAACAGCCTCATGTAAGCTGAAATAAGAAATGATATTATAACTTTTAAGGCCATGTGATAGAAATCACCTTAAAATTGGATTTATCATTGAATCTATTTATTCAAAGTTAACAATATTTAAGTCTTTAACAACACACAATTGCAGCTATAATCTAACCCAATTTTTGAGAGTCAAGTCAAAAGCACCTGACATGGTTTGTGTTGCTGAGGTCAAAGTCTGAGCATGAATAATGGAAGCTAGAATGAAAAAACTTCTAACGAGAAACACAAAAAACGGGTTTATTTTCTGAAAGACAAATTGCTATTTTGCTTAAATCGTTTGCAAACTTCTAAGAAACATAAAACAATATTGTATAACCTTTTTCAGTAAAACATTTGTAAGACCAAAAACAATAATAAACTAAAATCATACTTTTCTGTTGGTGATATCCGAATAAGCTTTGGCTTCAAGTCACTGTTTGATAGTTCTAAAAATACGGGGTAGAAATAACAGGGTAATGTCCAGTAACAAAAGTGCAGGCCTAAGTTAGGCCTTGATTCTTAAATATCTTTCATGGAACTTCAACGAACGAAAATTTTATTTGGCAACATTCTCACTCGACAACCCTTAGTGTGATAAAAAAAGCTCTGAATCATATAAGAAGCAGCATCATCTTTTGATTTAAAGGTCTTAGAATCTGTCTTGATCAAGACGAAAAGGATTTAACTGGTCAGAAACGTCAATGGGTGATTTCGCAATGCGAGGGTCTCTGGGCACCAATCAAAAAGGACCCAGTCAAATGAGTTTTTCATTCTCTTGTTTGAAATTCAATCCGTGCATGGATATAAACCTCTTTTCGCCTTTTGGCTTTACCTGATGCCTTGTAACCTGTGCAGTGTCAGAAGGACATCCCGTTCTAGCATAATAAAATCTATTGAGCAAATGAAGGTAATTTTGATAGTAAGCGATTCAACTCTTACCTTCATTAGTAATTAATAACGTAGAAACGAAACCACTTTTTTAGGATTCGAACATGAGAGCTGTTACAAAAATCTAAAGCCCGAACTGTTGGGAGGGTAAACTTTCTTACCTCGCCAAGTCTCAATCTTGTGTTCCTCTAATTCTGACATCCTTTCCTAAAAATTGAGTCACTAGTGTTACTACGGCTAAAAATTACAGTCGAACCTCTAATAGCGGCCACTTTGAGATCCAAGGCCTTGTTAATGGGAGGTGGCCGTAATACAGAGGTTTACTACAAACATTCACAAGAATTTGGGATTGAAGGTCTGTGGCCGCTATTGGGAGGTGGCCGGTAATCGGAGGTGGTCGCTTTTAGTGGTTTGACTGTATGTATTATCTGCTTCCTTGGCTGCATCAGCGACTGAAGTTATGGGAAAGAAGTGGAGAGGGTAAGATGGGGCATATTACGTCATTGAAAAAAACCCGTCAAATCTCGCAACAAACATAAAAATTTTCAGCTCACTTTATCAGTTTTTCCAAAGCAATAAAAATCATTACTTCATAGCCCCAACTATTTGTTAGACTTTGGTGTGCATAAATTCGACTATTTCAAAACAATTCCGTTGCGTGATGCCAAAATGAAACCAAATAGCAACCATAAAATACAATGACAAATCAAAACACAAAAGTAAATTGCTCGTAGAACTAAATATTAGCAGGCATTGTGTGAAATAGAAATAACGATCAATGTAAGTAAATTGTACCAGGAACAATTTTTTTAAAATAATTAACAACGTTTCGAGCATAGCCCGTTATCAAGTGGAATAGCTTGTTTGTCCCATCGTTTCAGAAATGTACTGTTACTAGCATTCACAAAATAAATAAAACTGCTGATGTAGGAACTACTCAAAGGCAATGGTTTAAGAATATGAATAATTTTTTTGGAATTCTCTAGATACCTTTCACTTGATGAAATACCATGCATCAAGATGAGATCGCTCAAGAAAGCAATTCAAATTTAATGAAGTTTTAAGGGAGGAGTAAGCTCCTTGACCTTTGACCTTTAATCTTTGCAAACTATGTCATGCAAACAGCTTGTGAAAGGTCAGGAATCGTTGCGATGTAGTGCTGAGATAAAAGTAGAAGTACAAAAACAAAGAAAATACGGCTATCTGAATTTCAAGAAAAATATAGTTCGTTATCAAGCTAAACTTACCAATGGCGACTTGTAATAGCATCTCAAGATGTTTATGAAATCCGTTATGGTTAACATTCCTGAAAGACAAATGATTCAAAGCTAAAAATTTCAAAAGTCAATCGAGACTGGGACTAACTGATTGGCCACATGGAAACATCGAGAAATACCTTGAGACATTCTTTCAAGAGACACCTTCAATAGATACCTACCCACAAACTCATGTCTTTGGGCATCCCATACAGGTGCAGCGCGAATGCCTAACAGAAAAAAGAATTGCGTTGAAAATATTGACGATAAGATTTTTTAACCATACTAAAGCATTTTTCGTACATATTCATGTCATATTTTGTCAGCGCTCAAGCCTTACGTCGAGAAATGGCCAAATAAAAAGGTCACAGACAAAATTTATGATTGAAAAAACACTCTACAGAACGCAAAGTTTTCAAAAAACTATTTGCAAATAAATTTGACAAGCATTCAAAATGCTCTGTTGGAGATGTATGCCAAAACGACAAACTGTCATATCAAGAATAACCAGAGCACAACCAGAGCACAATAACTGTAAAATGCACAAATACACAAAAAACACATTTTATGTCCCATAGAAAAGGAAGCAGTCCTAAGTACTATACAGACTTACCGTTATGGACCAGTGCAAAAAAAGCTTTTTTCACCTGGAAGAGCATTAAACGTGATAAAAGAATAATTCCAAAGCTAAAAGTTCATTGACAGTGCGCGTATATGTAGCTTAAACAGTTGATGGGCTTAAAAGTTTCTGAGTGATTTAATCTTGTGATTTGGAATTGTACAAAACATTAATACCCTTAATGTAAGACACCCGCTTTGCGACTTTGTACATCACCAAAAGGATTTCAAGCTCTAATACTGCCAATCTTTAACGGAAAAAGGTTATGTTTTCCATGTTAAAGTTGACACATCTAATGTTTACTTTGATGTTTGTTTATAAACATCTATATTGTCCATTAACACACTTTGTCAAGCTACAAACTTTATCAAATCCTATACTAAATATATTATCATCTGGGACCGTTTGATGACAAATAGAGAGATGGATTAAGGGTTGATGACAAGGGTTAAGTGGATTATTTTGCATTTTAATGAAAAAGGCATTTCAGGTATCAGATGGATGCAAGTGCACTTACCCTTAATCTTGTATCAAAAACAACAATCTTTGAACTGTTTGGTATGATGTCATAGCAAGCGTGTGCCTTTAGGAGATGTGAGTAGCTCCATGTATTTTTCTCATCTGAAAAGATTTGAATGAAAAAATTTCCATTACATTACATATAAAAAAAATAACAATGCTTACGGTTTAAATAGCTTTACTAATAAGGCAAAAGAATGCACAAAAACATCATAAATAACTCGATCTCTTCCCTTAATCAGTTCTCAGAACCTTTAAAAATGGATTAAACATTAGGATAGGCTTTACTGACAATTTAAACAGTGTATTGATAAATTATGTTCGCTGTAATCCACTTAGGATCGGATTTTTACTATGTCAACGAGTTACGATATCCAAGAAATTTAAGCCCGTGCAATGAATATATTAATATCAAGATATTGAATTGATTTAAAGTAATGTGAGCGATCTATAGAGCATTTGCGTAACATTAAACCAAGTTACCAAGCAGACAGCCACGAGAAAAAGCCACACTGACTTTGAGTCTCGTACAAAAGAAGTAAACACAAAGTTGCTACTCATACTGTTTCAAATTCTGTATAGATCGATTTTTTTTTGTGTAACATAAATAGCACCTTAGTGATAAGTACACATACCTGTTAGGTATTCATCAAGAAATTCGACGTTATCCTTCTCCATACCAAGATCAAGGCTCTGCAAAATTCAAACACAGCTCTGTATCTTAGGCATAATCTGCAAATCTTGAACAAAAAGTCTAAACTTCTCAAATTCCTTTCCAAATCATAAAAAATTAAACAATTGTGAAACACCGTTGACGTTGATAGGCCTTGTAGCATCCAGATAACTGGAGAAAGTTAAAATGCATCACAGCATATATGGGTACTTTGATGCAAATATTGAAATAAGAAAATACAAACATAACGTACTCAATAGAAAATGATGGATGACAAACAGACGCAAAGGGTCTCTTATTTCGAAGACTAGGAAGATCTGTCCTCGCAAATATTTCAGCAATGGTTCTAGAATATCCTTTGTCATCAACGCATCAATATTTTATGCGGACAACGTGAATGCACCAAAATTTAGGATGCAAAGTAAGTAAATCTGAAATATTCAGTAAATACGTTTCTACGCACACTGACAGAAACAAAGAATGCGCGGGCGCAATAACACAAGCTATCAGTTTGTTTCACGCCAGCTTCGCCAACATAGCCCCAAAGGACATCATCATTATAAAACTCGAATCATCACAATCATCGTAGTAATCACCGATAATAATACGAAAAGACGTTTATCATATTAATAAATAAATAAGACAATTCGGTTTGTTGCTTCAATTTTTGACTAACTATCCTAAAACACAATGGTTTTGCCTTGGAGCAGTGATACTCTAACATCATGCTCTTGCACTAAACTTAGATACAAGCAGTTGTGCTGAAACTATAACACATTTCATAACCTTCAAAGGAAATTCGGACCTTCAATCTTGAGGCAGAATAGAAACTTTTTTGAAGATAGAATAGATAATGGATTTAACCATCAATAGGATGCCAAGTAACAAATACAAATGGCAAAGTTACTTGAAACAGGAAATATCTTTCTTTTGATTGTATATTTTGCATAGAATGAAAACGAGTTAAGACTGTTCGCTTGCGGTTTGGCTCTTCATTTCACTGCAGAAAGTTGTGAACATACAGTTCTCTCCTCTATGTTTATAATGATCCTAATACAATGTAAAATGCTTTGCAAAAGGGGTGAACTATGCATCGCACTGTTCATATAATCGCACAGTTTGCTATTGTGTGTTTCAAATTACAAACATTCACATATATATGCTTGAGGTAAAAATGGACGTATAATACGCATGAAGCCTTTGCAAAATAATAAGCTATGAATTAATTATTTCATCTTCATGAGCTTTTTTCCTCGTTCTATTTCCTAAATTTTATTCAATTTAGTTTACTACGTTTTCAGGGAACCAGGTAGCTTCTTTTACTTTTGAATTTTCTGCTTTGCCATAGAAATTTCTGCTTTACAATCAAAATAAATGCACACATACACAATGTAAGATATATTAGAAGCTTTAGAAGTTATTCGCAAATTCTTGAAAATATCAGGCCTATCAGATATCCTAACTAACATCATTTTTGGGCTGATTGAGCATGTGTTGCAGATAGACAGATAGAAATAATCGGATGAGGCATGTTAGTAGTTTATAAGACAATACCTTAGAACTAAGAACCGTCGAGTTTCAAAATTACGGAACATTGTCTTTTGAAAAAACCGTCACTGTATGCACAATATAGCTTTTAGCTTGTACTCTGCTACATTTCCCTACATAGAAATTGGTGATTTTAATGTTGATTTAATTAATTCACTTCTCGAATTGACTTTCAAACAGCCTATCACATCTAATTTAATTTAATTACAGTTTATTTCTCAGGGTCTATAACTCCAGCTGGTCTGGTCAAAATATTGACGCACTTGTCACATTTCTTCAAATGAAAATTATTCATCACGGATCATGGGGTCTTGTCAAAATATAACAGAATGAAAAACAATGCTATCTATAAGTTCATAAAACGTTACCTGGAAGATATAAGCATTTGGTCGAAATTTCAGTTCTTAGGGCCATTTCAATTCGGCAATTAAATTTCTTATTCAAACCACAAATTCAATCCTTCAATTAGGCTGTTTTGATTCTGAAGGTGAAAATTTTTTACTGAAAGCTGTATGAAGGTATTGAGAAAATAAATCAACATTGTACGGGGGGAGGGTGTCAGAATTTTTGAAGCGGCAGTGATATTTTGGTAGGGTAGTTTTAGATTTGCTTTGATTATTTGCATGCTGCAATGGGAAGGCGTTCCAGTTGTTTTTGGCATGCATTGGCTTTTGGCTTTTGAAGCGGCAGTGATATTTAGGTAGGGTAGTTTTAGATTTGCTTTGATTATTTGCATTCTGCAATGGGAAGGCGTTCCAGTTGTTTTTGGCAAGCATTGTAGGTTATTACTGATTGGATAATCTCTTAAAAACATTTTTGGCCGCCCTAGACATTATTTGCCGCCATTTTCGGTTACCGATGCATATGTAAGTTGATCCCCCGTAAATCTTGAACGTAGACAGCAATATTCAAGATTCAGAAAAACAAACCTCGATATCATCATCTCGTTGAAAGTCGTTGGTTAGCTGATCCTGAGTTGCCAAACCGACAGTGTGCATTCGTCTAGCTCTTTCTGTTGGAGAAATAGACAAGTCTTTGATGACAAGAGGGGGCAAGGCATCACCCTGCTTGTCGTTGGTACCAGATCTTCTTCTCTTTTTTGAGTAATCATTTCCTTTCATGATGTCCTCCAGCTCAAGATGTTCATCGTTTCCGTCAGTAAAGGACATGGCTGAATCACAGTTATCCAGACTAAAACGCAGATATTCGAGACAGTTTAAGCTTCTATGTTCTACACCTGCTCGCAACCATAGTCTGATATAGACAGCTGTTCTAAGCAAGGTTAATTTAGTAATTTATTTACAATCAAATAAGAATTATTGAGTCCTACAAATGAGCTGGATTACTTGAGCTGGGCTAAGCATGCATACATTGGGAATTAAAAGAAAATATAATGAAGAATGTCAAAGAATTTAGCTGCTTTACAGAATTATTGTAAAAAAAAGATCAATATTGTTGTTTAAATGTTTCACATCAATTCTTTCAAAGCCTCCTGAACATAGAGGAATGTAGAATAATAGCGAGCGATTGTTGTGAAGAATTCTTATATGGATGCATTGTAGACATATCGTTATAAGAAGCCTGTAAAACATTGGATGCATAACCAGGGTACTAAAACGAAGAAATCAGGCCTGTTTTTTCGAATTTGATAGGAAAAATTTCGGCAGAAAAAAGATAATTTATAAGTAATGATATTATAGTGTAGCAGTTTCATGTTTTTCTCGCTTTTTGTTGCATGTGCTTTACTGCCTAGGCCTATAGCAAAATATGAATTGAATACACAGGCAAAAGTGCTTAGAGCGAGTAGATCACAATTTCAATTTGATAAAACTGGGTTTTTTATCAGATGGAGAGCAAATTCTCTAGAGAAAATCTACATCGAGTATAATATAAGATTCAATTCAATGCCCCCTCTCGTATAACAAGGAAATGATTCTGAGCCCAAATGCGATATAACTGGGGAACGCCTATACAACCTAGATTAAATTTCTTTCAATTGCTACAAAAAACAGGTATGTTAAGCAATAAAGAGAACCAACTGAATGAAGAGAGGTCAATTCTTACAATGGGATTGTAGGTTGCGAGGTGTGTCTGTTCTGTTCAGGGGCAACGCCAGCATTCATATGTGCTTCATGACTCCATTCCAGGCAATAGTCACTTATCTCTCTGGATTCTTTTGGTGGAGAAGCCATTGTGTGATCATTTGTAATGTGTGCATCCTTAATCAACCTTGATGCTTCGTTTACATGTCCATCATCATTATTCAGGCATGGCATTGCAAACTTTCCAAGATCAGGCTACGTAAGTTAATTTAGGCAATCAGCAATGAAATGAAAGAAGACACAAAAATACTCAGGCAATTATAAATTTTTGTATTTTAGTGAGGAAAAGTTTGAAGACAATTAAACATCTAAAGGGTTCAGAAACTACAAAAGTAAATCGAAGATTGCTTAATTAGCAAATCATGCAAATTAGTGCATTTATGCAGGTTTTGAGTGTCAAACTTACAAAACTTGCAACGAGGAGGGTACAATAAATCTTCTGCAATAAGAAATCTGACCTTCTCTTCTTAGCCAAATATTTCTCAAAAATCTAACATTATCACTCTCAGAACACCAACAACCTTGCGCACTCAACATTATGGAAGCGAAGATGCATTTTGGAAACATTAACTTTTAAAAACAGCTTTTTGTTGCACTTTTCTGTTCAAGGGATTTTATGACTACTGAAAATCTTCAAATTAACCCCCCGGAGGCTTATTGAATGAGTCAGTTTTAGTATGGGGACTAATTTGAGGGGGAGCCTGTACAAGAGAGGCTTATAGAAACAATCTACAAGTTGCAATACACATAGCTTGTTTTGTAGCTTTTTCATAATTTTCAAGCTAAATTCATTTGCAATTGTACTTAATAACATTTTCATTGTCTTTGGCAGTATCTTAATCAATAACTAAAATATTTTAGCTCCCTTCATTCTTCAATGAATGTGCTAGTTGAAATTGAATTCACTGCTAATTGGGGGCATATTTGAGCAAGGATTATTAACAATTCTTACTTTCACCGTGGAGGCTTGTTGACACTGCACTATCATTTGAACTTCTATCAATTTTTATAGAATCTATTGTAGTGTTCAGATTGCCAAAAACAACATGCTAGTTAATGCGATTTTGCTTGTGAGTTAGCTACAAGCTCTTGCAGGCAGTGAGTCACTCACTGCAATCATTAAACAACCAGCTTCTAGGGGCTTGTCCACAAAAATGGGGGATAGATCAGTTGAATGCTCCCTTTTCTACCTCATTCCATCATTGGTTATCTGCCTATGCATAATTGTCCACCCCATTTCTCAATTCTCAGATTTCAAATTTGGCAGTCTCCAAAAAACATGAACAATGCAATTGCACAAGCCTTTTAGGCCATATAAAATTAATTAGTTATTCTCATCAGCACCCGTATCCTAATTTGGTGCCGCCTTAACTTTTATTTAAATTTCATGTTTTCATATAAACGTCCTGCCCATCTTAGATTGATGGAAAGTCAAAAAATCTTATATTTAGTATTGCCTTATTTTAAGAAAATTAAATAATCCAACCTTTCCCAATTTGTTATTTACAACATAAAACAACACATAAGGCAAAGGAAAGCTCTCAGGGAGTTGATCTAACAATAATTTAGAAAAAGGTTTGCAACACTATCCTCCTTACTGCACTTGCTGCAAACAAGGGGGAAGAAATTGGTGCAACGCTGCACTAAAATATACAAGCAAAGAGCTGATACTTTTTATCTTCTTCTAGTGTCAGCGATGGTCTGTTACTGTCTGCCGCTGTCTCCCAGACTGTTGTCTACACTCTTATGATCTGACAATGGGAGCAAGGCTATACATTTCTTAATGATATCATGATCTTATGATTCTGTGTTTTCTTTTTAAAAGCTACAATGGAAAAAGAGAGGACCGAACAGCTGTTTAGGGTTGTATACAAAGCTTAAAAGATTTAGACCCATTCATATAAAATATAAAACCACCGCTGCCTGCCATTTCCAGATTCAAAATTCAATATCACCAGTTGATAAAGAACTCGAAACTGGTAATCGAAACCGAAACTGGTAATCGAAACTGATTATCTGCCCCAAAGTGGTACTCCCCGCCATTTCTGTCTGGTCTATCAGGAAAGTTATTCAATCCCCTTTTCGCCATACAATAAGTGTAACTCTGCCAAGTGAGCTCTTTGTCTTATGAAGGAAAAATTGGCTATCCTCAACAGGAAATCCTTCCAAGAACACAAAGGTGCATTTCATGTCGAAAAAGTGAGGGGGGGCAAGGAAAAAAATTAGCATCCACAACAAAAGATTTGGAAAAAGCTCTATTGTTTTGCAAAACCTCTGATGTATAGGATGCTGTGCCATGGCCCCTCAACCACCATTTCGACAAAGGCCCTGATGTGAGGGCATCTGTGCCAAGGAGGAACTTATCTCCATGCCAAAAATTATTGGGCCTACAAGAATGCATACTGGATGGCATGTGTTAAGCTTGGTTCCCACTAGGCGACTAAGTGCGTTCAAGTGCGTTCATCTCTGAGCGTTCAAGTTAAACGCCAAGTGGGAATGCTCCGGGCGCTCAGAAAAGTTAAACGCCAAGATCAAAAAATTTTGATCTGAGCATTTAAACATAAAAGAAGCCGAAAAATTTAAGGAATGTTTCATTCATCAACCAGCAAGTAAGATGCAAATGTTAAGCCGTAGCAACGCATGAAGTCGATTTTGTGACTCTTCCCAGAAGCCAAGAACCTTAAGCTAACCTTTCTTTGGCCTTAATTGGTTTTCTGAACGTGGTTTTGGATTTTTTGATTACCGGTTATACCAGATCTAGCTCTGGCTATATCTAGCTCTGGCTAGGCTAAATCTCTCTGGACTCATGCGCAAATACAGAAAAAAAAATACTCTCGGTCACTTAAAGTTCGCCGAAAAGTGTATTAAAAAGCCAAGTTCCTGTCGTTTTCTATAAATTTCACATACCCAGAACTTTCTTTTTGATTTTGTTTTCAAAACTTGAAGCCTTCTTAGACATGAAAGGTTCAACAAAATCGCCAATCTCTTTATCAAAGTTTCGCGGTTTATTTTGACTTGTCTTCATACAGCTAGTTGAGCGTTTAAGTTTTGCAAGTGGGAATGCCTCGGTAGTTTATCTGCTATCTTTAATTCAATTAAAGGATTACAGATGAACGCACTTGAACGCACTTAGTCGCCTAGTGGGAACCAAGCTTTAGAAACTTTACATTCACTGTCCTGCTCCTAGGGAAAGAAACTACTGGTCTAGAGGTATCAGACGAGAAATATTACAGCACATATGAACCCCATGCTACTCAAATCATGGGTTTGCTCTGGTAATCATATAAAGAAATTATCACACTCTTTTCTTTAATTAGCAAACAATGCCCTACAGTTTCCTTGAAAATGAGCTTCCAAAATGTTCTTGTTTTCTTTGAATTAATTCTAATCATTAGGGCCTTCCATGCACACAACACTAGTGGCTAAATGCTAGGCTGTTTCTGCCCGCAAAAACAGTAATAATTGAAAGTGTCAGTCTCTGGTAACTAAATCCAAATGCCGTTTGTCATCTTCAAACCAGAGACTATGGCTGCGTTCACACGGACTGCGGCTGCGTCCAGAGACTTGGTCGGTCAAATATTTGGTCACTTAGGCCTTGCGTTTACACGGGGCCGGCTAAACGACCTCAAATTAGGTTACTTAGGCGTGCAAATATTCAGCCACCTAGGAAAGCGTCCTTCTTGAAACTTGGCCAGCCGAATTCGCGAGCGGCCTCGTGTAAACGGTTATGGCCGGCCAAATATTTGCACGGTACCAAAAAGAGGGTGTCGATGCGTGCTAGGGAGGCAAACACAAAATGGGAAATTGAAATTTTGGGGCCGAAATTAATGTATTGTTGTTGGTTAGAGTTACTGGTTAGATTTTGCGATTGTAGTTCGTGCTTTGCTGAAAATATGAATGACTTCTGTCGAAAGACTCATTTTGAAATTAAAAAAATAAAAAGCATAGCAAACATCACAAATTTCCAATCATTGATAGCAGTTATGTCAGCCATCCTCTTTAAACATAATTTTGTGATAAGAGCACACAAGAACAGAGAATGAGAGAAGTTGTTTTGTTAGCTCTTTGTTCACAATGATTTTTGGCTTCAAGTTTTTGACACATTGCGCAAGTCATAAGAATTAGGTCACTTGAGCGGCCCCATGTAAACGCAACGCCTAAGTGACCTCATTTGTGGCCGGCTTCAAAAGCAGGCCAAATTTTTGGCTGACCAAATATCCGGCCGGCCCCGTGTAAACGCAGCCTATATTTCTAATCCGCCCTAAAAAACTATTTTTGTGACTAGTTTTGAACTATATTTCTGAGACTAAAGAATGGAGACTTTGGCACCTAGGGTACAATTTGTGTAGGATTTGCTTGGATTAATGATTATCATCAATAAATCATCCATAAATCATCCATCAATAAAACATCCAAACATTTGCTAATGCTTCATTTTGATCAATGCATTTGTGAACAAATTGGCCAAAAGTAATTTTACCGCCCTCAGGGTACAGGGAATATAAAAATACCAGTTTATAACATTAAATTTATAAATTATAAAAAGAATACAAAAATTTCAAATTATCACAATAAACATGCTTTATGCTCCCAATCACTTATCAATCTTCACAACTTTCACAAAAGTTTATGTTTTCTCGTCTCTTTAAGAAATAAATTTTCCTCTTCCTTGATTCAATGACGAATGCATGTTTGATTTGGGGGAAAGTTTGGATTCTAATTTACAGGGCAACTCAAAGTAGACAATTACCAAAATTTCACTTTTTCTCAAAAATTTTGCTGAGGGTTGTAGGTATGCTGCAGTCATATTTCACAAAAAAATTTTATTCTTTAACCACCTAATAAGTATGCTATAGCTGCTGTTCTGGAAGAAGTGAAGGGGTAAAGGAGCAAAAACATTTCAAACTCATTTTAGGAATATATTTTCTGTTGCTGTTAAAGACTTGTTTTAAACTGTTGTTTATGTCATATTCTTAACTTTTGTTGCTCTATTTCAAATATTCATATCTGATAAATTTCAGATTTAAAATCATAATGTATATACTGATTGAAAAAGAATTTACAGTTCTTGGTGTAATTAGGGGATAGTTGTTGACAATAATAAATCATAGAGCTATATTCTTATAAAAAGGAGTGTATATTGGTATCCTGAACTAATTACTTTTCAAAACTACACTCATCATAATATATTCACATATTCACATAACTTTAAGCCACAAATAATTTCATGATGATAACAAATTAAATGTGAGTGACACATTTTTCAGAAGATTGGCCATTTCAGTGCCTAAAACAGTAGACGGTTATCACTTCGGATAAAGCTGACAACCTCCCTATCAAACTCTAAAATATTTATAGAGGTCATCTTCGCCATCGTAAGAAATAATCACGACTCTTTGTGTGTTAAGTGAAAATACGTGCTTCTGTTTCTATCTTATGCAGTTTGACTCACTGCATTGCTCTTCGATTGAGCAACCCTCAACATTCTAGGTTTCTCGAGGCGAAATCATAGTGTTTGTTCGTCGCGCTGACACGACATCAGTGACCGTAGATAAGCGGCCTAGCTGATATTTAAAACCAATCACAATATACGTTTGTTGGATCGAAGAACTATCTTAGGGAAAACTTCGAAAATACCTTCTGCTTGAGAATATTAAGGATGTTTTATTAAACAAACATCATTTGTTTTGAAACATGCTGACGAATACCCACCTGAACCCAAGATAAGGGGTCGAACAAAGCCGTACTAACTTGAAACAATAAAAGAAAGCAACAAACCCGCTGCCTAAAATATTCTAAAATACTACATTGCATACCTCTCGCAGTGGATTGCTCTCTCCCATCTTTTTTGAACTAGTTATATATTAATATTCTAAACAGCCGGGATCTCTGGTTTCACTTGCAACTTTACAACGACGAAAACAGCGTAGCAGACGGCCTAGTCAAATGGTGACCTTCCGTCACAGAATATCGGGTTCCACGAAGCTCTAAAATCCTCACAAATGCTGAAATCTCCAAATCTTCAGTATTCGCCCCCGTTGATTTATGACTCCAAGAATGTTTTCATTGCAATTCGATGCTTCTGTAATAAGATACTACATGAGAATTACTTATGTTGGAAGTTTTTCGTCGGCCACAATTTACCAGCGACCTTTGCACCATATGATTGCACTTTCCATCCCAGAAACGAAAGAGAGGTCAGTTACAAGGGGTCAATTCGACACTAGGGAACAAATTACATCTCTCAGATCACCCCAACCCCCCCCCCCCCTCTCACATGAACAATTTCAGGCCGGTCAGAAAATCAGATTGGCTTGAAATTTGATGGTGCATGCTAATTTGACTGCTGCTGACATGAACATTTTCAAACCGGCTTGAAATTCAACAGGCTTTCGCCAGGCCCGTAGCCAAGGGGTGGCATGGGAAAGCAGCTGTTTGCCACCAAGGGGGAGCAAGAGAGTACCAGCTGTTTGCCACCACGAGAATTTTGTCTCTACATTTTTTAATGGGGTTTTTCTTCGTTTTTATTGGATTGCCTTGAGCATTTGAATCAAGCTAATATTGGTGGAAGAAAAATTGCGCAAAAAGTCTTTCGCTGCCAAACCAAAACCTGGCCCTACTTGGCACTACTCAGAAAAATTGCTAAAGCAATTTCCTGTAACAACGTGCCTGCATCAGGGCATTTCAAAATCACATATTATAGGAACAACATTTTTTTGGGCAATATACTATAGTACTAGACAGGGAATTTTGTAGAAAAAACTAGCAAACTGCCTAACCTCAAATTTTATTTCACATTCTTACTAAATCGACCATGGAGATTCCAAATCCAAGATGGGCCAAAAAAAATTATCACCGGAAGTTACTGTTTTTGATGACGTCATCAAAAAAATGATAAAAAATCTTTAAAAATCGGCCAAGGGCTCGAACTCAACTTTTTTTGCATTTTTGCACTAAATTAACTATGCAGATTTCAAATCTGAGATGAAATGAAAAATATCTTGAACGGAAGTCAAATTTTGTGATGACGTCATCAACTTGGAGAAAATTCACTTTGAACCTTTTTAATTGTTTTCTCGCAACTATCATTCTCAAATATGTTCCATATTCGAATTGCACACATTCAGTGCTTTTAAAAGATGTATTGAATTTCTATTATACTTACTTTTAAACGTTCTTTCATGACTTCATCATCATTTTATGACGTCATCGCCTTTTAAAGGTAATTGAATAACGCGTGAAAGGACGCCTAAAAATCTTTAGCTAGTTAAAAAAGTCATTCAAAATTAAAATTTCGTTGTATAGAAAATTATATGGATCCATTCATCCTTCATCACTGTCTCCTTTGCTGGAACTCCAGAAGAAAATGTAGTTCCACTCATCATCGTCTGCTTTAAGCTGATCACCTCACCATAATTTTTCCCATGGCCTAGTCCTCATTGGTTACGGAATTTTCTTCGATTTCATCACTAGAGCGCTGCAGATCTTGCAGTTTTTTAGCGGAGGGTGTGCGGGGCCCTGCACAAGATGAACATAATTTGTGTGAAAAAAATTTTAGAATTATTTTGCTGACTCCAGTATTTTCTGCAGATATTCACTCTATTAGTTGTCGAAAGGACACTAATGTAGTTTTCTGCTTATTGTGTGAAAAGCCTTCAAGGAAATATTCCTTAAAGATTGACAGCGAGAAGTAGGTTAATTTTGGAACGTCGTATCTTACCAGGGTTTAGATAGTTCCAAAAATCTACCGGCTGTTCATGCAGTTATTGGCTGCAAAACAACACCAGTAATGTTGTTGTGAGGAAAGCTAACATTTTAAAAAGCTTTAGGAGTGTTCTGGAAAGGGAAAATTGCTCGAGAGAGTTACGATGAGACAGGAAATCTGCAAAGACATTCTCACGAAAGCGATAAAATTTGGGCAAAAATAATCATACAAAGGGAAATGTGATGAAACACTTGTGCAGATAAGATTAAGAATTCGCAAGGCAATGAAAAACAGATAATCAGAAGCTCTACAACCAGATCCATACTGGTTGACACAAGCATTTACTATTGGTTACATTATCGAAAGAAGATTGTAAGAGAAATTGCCTTTAAGCTTTGGTTAGACATACGATGGAAAGAATGATCTGGCCTACAGGTGGTATTAGTGTGGTTTATAGGAAAAAAACTTCTTTACATATTCTAATTTTGAACATACATTTGATAAATAAATAAGAAATGGCACGAAGAGGATATACAGAGAAAAGCGTTTCTTAACGGCTTGATGACAAAAATATCCGATCTTCAACGTTAAAAAAGCTGTGAATATCTGCAGAAAATACTGGAGTCAGCAAAATAATTCTAAAATTTTTTTCACACAAATTATGTTCATCTTGTGCAGGGCCCCGCACACCCTCCGCTAAAAAACTGCAAGATCTGCAGCGCTCTAGTGATGAAATCGAAGAAAATTCCGTAACCAATGAGGACTAGGCCATGGGAAAAATTATGGTGAGGTGATCAGCTTAAAGCAGACGATGATGAGTAGAACTACATTTTCTTCTGGAGTTCCAGCAAAGGAGACAGTGATGAAGGATGAATGGATCCATATAATTTTCTATACAACGAAATTTTAATTTTGAATGACTTTTTTAACTAGCTAAAGATTTTTAGGCATCCTTTCACGCGTTATTCAATTACCTTTAAAAGGCGATGACGTCATAAAATGATGATGACGTCATGAAAGAACGTTTAAAAGTAAGTATAATAGAAATTCAATACATCTTTTAAAAGCACTGAATGTGTGCAATTCGAATATGGAACATATTTGACAATGATAGTTGCGAGAAAACAATTAAAAAGGTTCAAAGTGAATTTTCTCCAAGTTGATGACGTCATCACAAAATTTGACTTCCGTTCAAGATATTTTTCATTTCATCTCAGATTTGAAATCTGCATAGTTAATTTAGTGCAAAAATGCAAAAAAAGTTGAGTTCAAGTCTTTGGCCGATTTTTAAAGATTTTTTATCATTTTTTTGATGACGTCATCAAAAACAGTAACTTCCGGTGATAATTTTTTTTGGCCCATCTTGAATTTGGAATCTCCATGGTCGATTTAGTAAGAATGTGAAATAAAATTTGAGGTTAGGCAGTTTGCTAGTTTTTTCTACAAAATTCCCTGTCTATACAGTATATACACAGGCAATGGTTTAAGGAAGAAGTTGGAGTGTTATGTGTTGTTATGCCAGAAAACGTATTTCTTGAGTTAACCTTCGGAATAATCGAATATTGCAAAGAAGGCACTTGAAATTACCTCAAAATTAGGATCATCAAAGAAGTTATAGAAGCGAAAACCGTGGATTGGTTTAAAGATGGCTGCATCAGCTTAGAGAGGATGAGGCCAACTGGATGTTCATTTTTGTAAATTGCATGCTGTTGGACATTCTTAGGACAATACACATAGTCATAAAGTAGCTTCAATTTTCGAATATAAATCTTTAACAACGCTGTCTGCAGTGAAAGCAGTGAGAGCAATAATGTTCAAACTTTACTGAGGTTCCATGCGCGAAAATGATTGCTGATTTCCGAAAATAGCAAACTAAATGCACCGAGGTCAGCAACATTCAACGAAAAAAGGCCTTTATTCCCAAGCACTATAGTAAGAGACCTTGACACCTCTATAAAAATGTGCTGTGAATAGTTTCCTGTTCTTGAGAAAATGTTGGAGGAGCTTATTATTTTTTATCAAGGAGTGTGCAAAATCTTCTCCCAATTGCTGCCAAGTGGCCTGAAAGCGAGTTTAGGAAGATAGATTCAGCGACTACATAGAGAAAGCACGCCAATACTCTCAAATGTTAATTTTTATGCTGATACAAATGAAGTTCATCAAATCAAAAATTACATCGAAATGATATCTATAAATCAGAAAACAGTCAGTTTAAACAAACATGCATTGCCACTCGAAAATTCCCCTTTTTATAATTACATGTAGTCATTAGAAAGGTTTATCCATTCACTACGAGAGGTAGGATGAAATGCTTTTAAATTTCATTTACCTGAAATTTTCGTGCCAAATGGGACAGTGAAAGCTTTTGACTCAAACATTTTTGACGAGTAAATTCTTTGTGTCAATAAATATCCGAAGGAAGTGGGACAGCAAAAATTCTCTTCATTTTGTTGAATATCAAACAGACTATAGCGAGACTAACAAAATAGTCTACTAAATGCCAGGAATTTGCGAAATTTAATAGCACCCAAGCTCGTATTTTTTCTCCCTCAAGCAGCATATTCTGCGGATGGGTCAGCGGCCTTTGCGGGCGTCTATCAGGCAATGTTCCAGACTTTTAGCTATCAAAACTTCGTTCTAGATTAGGCCATTTCAGGATTAGGCCAAGGGAATGCCAACGTCTCTTCATGATTACGTGCTTCAGAAATACTAGAACACCCAAAAAAACAATTGTCAGTGAAAAGTGTGTGTGGAATTCAATAGTATTGTACAGTAATTTCCTTGCTGAAAGGCAATCTGTCTCGTTGTGGATTGGTTAACGAGAACAATAGCTGGAACAATAGCCTAAACACGATTCCAGCGCTGCGCCATATTTTTTACAATGCGATAATTTAAAGGGGGACTGGAAACAATAAAAAATCCCTTTGTTCTTATAATCAATCAACGTCGTGACAGATTGCCTTTAATAGCAACAAGGACTTCATTACAGACGAGACGAGATTTTACTTAGAAAAGCATTTTCTTTTCTCTAAATAAGTCTAGTAGCAAAACAAATGCATGCGTTGCACACAGAAGTCAGAATGAAGAATCTTCACATTTTGGGAAGGGTTCCCATGAATTTGCAGATGATCGATAACATAACTTCATCAGCACCTCCACCAATAGACATGAGCCTAAAATCACGGAACATGCGTGAAATTTCAATGTCTGTGTACCCCATGCCACCCCAATATTGTAAGCAGGTGTCGGGTATTTCTCTAGAAAGGCGCCCTGCTTTCAGCTTGAGCATCGTCGCAAACTTTGTTACATCTCGTCCTTGTACATAAAGCCCTAGAAGGCAAAAGATTCGATTATCAAATTTACATGGTGGTGATAACGATATTCCTGCCAAACGTCTTTGAATACTAACGTCAATTTTAAAGGCCTGGCAGCAAAACTAAAAATTCAATATTACCTGCGAAACCTTGATAAAATTTCCTACAACTGCAAGTGCTATTTTAAGTTGCTTAACCTGTTGAAATCTTTTTATACAAAAATCAACTGTTATACTACTAAAGTTTTCGATCTGCCATTTATAGCTATAAATGACATACCAACAAGTTATTATTTTTGCTTCCATCAAAAACTTGATTCAAACAGCAATCAATCATTTCTTTTTACACTGTAAAGGTGTGCAAGGAGAACTTAATTGAACACAATAACCATAGTCATTTTTCAAGATTAAAGTTAGTAATTCTGGAAATATACGGCTTTTTAAGACCTTAGATTTAATTCCGTATCATTCCAGCAATCTAGATACTTTTCAAGTAAGCATCATAGATCAATGCGAACCTTTCCTAAAAAAGGGGGTGCTCTCTCCCCGATTAGTTTATCTACTGAGAGGGCCCCTCCTCAAGAAATTCCCTGCATGCAGGTCTACCATTTTTTTCCCTACATCCTTTGGTATTTTGTATTGTTATTCTTTGTATTTGTATTTATTTACACCTAATTAGCTTATTTGAAAATGTTTGTATGTAGCGGAACTTTAAAATTATAAACTGAACTGAACTGAACTAGCTTTGGGTTTTCTATTCGCTGTATATTTATATCATCAAAGCAAGTAGTTTATATAATATGTAAGAATACCATGTTTCAATGGTATAAATGAATGGTGCTTAATCAGGGTTGGTGCTTAATCAGGGACGGTGCTAATAGCAAAAGCCAAAGACGCTTATATTCTACTAAGCTGCCAATGAAAAATTTATAAAAATGCCAATGAAAAATATCATTGAAAATAGACTCATCCACATAGGGCTCTGGGGATGCAACCACTTCAATAAGATCAATGTAACAAGACTGGGCATGTTTGAGTGTCTGCACTTATCTAGAATGTCTTGATAAAAAGAGCTGTTCGTTAATGCTTATGTGAATTAATTTAAAAGCTAAAAATTGTGTTAGAAGTGCCGAAAATCTTTGATGACAGACCTACAGAAAATGAAATGCTGAAAATACCAGATGATTCTATTTTGAAAGCCTATTTTTGTTTTTTGCTAATAGTACAGAACGAAAATTTTATATCATAAGAAATAAGCAATTTGAAGAAAAGAGAGGAGTGTAATTTTTATGCACAGCAAGGGAGACTGCATCTAAAAACTTCCTGCGAGAAATTGCTTCTAAAATTTACCTGGCAGCACATTCTCAAGCCCTGGCCACCCCCTCTCTCTCCTCGCAATACGAAAACGTACGTCCTAAACTGTTACGTTGGTAAATAGAAAAAATAACATCCTGCCATACTAAAACGTACTTCCTAGACTGTTACGTTGATAAATAGAAAAAATGTTGGTTTTCTATTTATCAACGTAACAGTTTAGGAAGCATGTTTTCGTATACCTATGGTTGGTGTGATATTTAGGAAAACTAGCATCATTGTTCTGGGGGAGGAGCGTAAGTAGTAATATTTTGGAAAATAAATGAGAAAAAATGCAAACATTGGGTGCAAACGAAAGGGGCAGTGATGCTGTACATTGCTTTTGTCCAGTCACTCTTAAAAAAATATAATAAATATTTAGGAACATGTTTTTCGGTTTCAAGCCCGAAAATCAATATTGGAAACTTTCAATCGGAAATTATAGTAGGATGCATCAAGGTAACACTACGAGCAAAACTCTCTGCTGCACAAACGGCCTGGAACTATCAAAACTCTGCAATACCTGTTGCTCTATAGAGTAGAGAACGCAACAGTTCAACCTCCGACATCAGTTCTGCAAGCCTGTAATGAACCACTTGATTATCTAAGACCGGCTTTCCAAATATTTTTCTCTGACTGCAGTATTGGGCTGTTTCGTTAATGCAGCGTTCCAAGGCCAGGACAGCTACAAAGTAAAATATTCCAATAAGACTTTTCTCTTAATCCTGTAGACTTAAAGCATCGGACTTTGTTTCACAAAAGGACTAGTACCTATTGTCATAATATTTGAGTGCCTTGCTTTTTAATTCCCGATCAGCCTATCTGCTTTGTTATACAAAAACACTAAATAAGCATTCCTCGACACCAAATTTGTTTAGACTGTGGCTTAAATGATTACGAAATGCCGTCTTTATCATTAACAGGTTTATACGTATATGACAACAAGGTTCAGTAATGGATCAAAAGCTTCCAAAAACCAATCCAATTGAACTAAATTTCTGTGTTAAAGAATACTACTGGATTCACTACGAGTAAGTAGGTTTGCTTAATATCCCATTGTCTATTTTTAATATCCTTGAATTGTTAAAGGATTTAACAGTAGAGCACTGCGAGCGTACGTAATACCATGGCTTGAACACAACGTAAATCAAGGAAACATTGGTCTTGAAACAGATTTGTGACCCTGTGAGCGTTAAACACTTGGTGTCCGTTCTGAGCCCTAAAACGCTAGGCAGGCGTTATCGTTATATCTGCCGTTATTGTTAAAGCAAAGTGGATATTGATGAAGACAGATGAAATAGACATAACAGAAGCTTACTGCTTGCTGCTGCAAATAATCTTTCTTCCTGAAATTGAAACATTTGGTACATAAATCCAAATCCTTCTTCTCCAATTCTGAATTTCTGTGGCACCCTGATGTTATCGAAATGTGTTTGCACAGTATCTGATGCCCACATTCCGAGCTTTTCAATCTTCTTCTCCATCACAAAACCTTCTGCGTTAGTTGGTATGATAATGAGCGATTTATTCTTGTGTGGAGGCCCATCACTGGTGTTGGCGAGAATGCACATCCAGTCTGCCTGGGCGCCATTTGTAGTCCACATTTTGCCACCATTTATAATATAGTCATCTAAGAATGAAGAAAGACAGTCACTTATTTTAAGAACAAAAGCCATCAACATCATTCAAATCTTTACCTTAGTTGACTGGCATATTGAAACTAAAGCATATAGCATATTCCTAAGACTCCTATCAACAAAACAGTAAGCCTTACTTAGCTGTAAAATAGCTATATTTGTTGTAAGCAAACTGTGAATAAATAAATAAATGATAATAATGATGTTGATGCATGAACAACGAACGTAATGTTAGCATTGAAAACAAAATTAGATTTCAAAATAACTCAAATTACATAACTACAACATTACGAAATGGGACTTTAGATATTCATCTTACACAAGTAAAACAATAGGTTTTATGTGTTTTATTCCATTGTAAATCTAATGTGAGAAACACATCAAAACACAACTTTAGCTGATATGTAAAGAAAATACGGTCTTCCTCAAAAAGGGCTGCGCCTGAAAAGTCAAATTACAAATGTAGAGATACAATGATTTCATGGCATCAGTTTTGGTTGAATATATAAAGCACATCTTGTCAAAAGACTTGAAAAACTTATGCAAACTATCATAAAGAAACTATGTGTTCATAATATCGACATCTCATAACACTTTAAGAAATCTTCGCATACCCCCGTCTTTGACAGCTTTGGTTCTTATAGCAGCAACGTCAGAGCCAGCCTCTACTTCACTAACACCAACCGAGCCAACATAATCTCCTGATATACTTGGTGCTAAAAACAGCTCTCTAAGTTCATCACTGCCAAATTTCGCTAAAGCTGGAGTACACATATCTGTTTGTACACCGATTGACATTGGAACAGACCCACAGCGAATATTGCCTGTTTCAAAACAAAGAGTTATAATGATTTCATTCTAAAAGATGCACATTTGATAAACAAGAAGGTTTTGTATATTATAAGGCCAAGCTTGCCTTGCATTATACTATGGCAAAAACACAACAAATTTATCTTTGACAGACTAAAGGCAGTTAAAATTTTTATGACTTTGGGTTGGTAAAAAAATTTTCAAACAAATATGGAAAGAGCTTTGATGTCAGACTGACTGGACAAAAATTAATCAAAGACACTTCCTTTCGAATCATTCTGTGGTTCAAATTTTTTGTGATTGCATGCTGGAAGGTTGCATGCTGAAGCAACAACACGAAACAAAATTGCAGAGATCGGCTATCAAAATAAGAGTAAGAGTCAAATAGAAATGATTGTTTATGGCAGACAATCCACGGATATAACCCGGGAGAGATCATTTAACCACTGCTGTTCACCAGGATTGTTTGTTCAGCAGTCTCATACCATGATTAATGCCCCGAGAAACCATGAAGGTAGTAGTATCAAGATTGACTGAGAGTGGTCACAAATCTCAGGCAGTCAGACAACATTGAGCTCATAGCAAGAATTGATACAGAACAAAAGATGGAAGTTGTGGGGTCGGTGCCACCACCTTTTTTCCAGGACTCAGAAAATTTACCTTGAAAATTAAAAACGAAATTGCACAGGAAATAGCAGCGAATAGGCTACACAAGCAGCAAAATATGCTGTTCTTGCCTCACAACTAAATAAAACTTAATTTCTGCTATAGTACAGAACTGAAAGAATACTTTTACTAATTTTTACAATTAATTTTTACAAGGGGCCGAATAAGAAACCTGAACAGTGTTGGAGGGCTGAACCAACAATAACTTTATTCTGTGCGATGCTCATTTCCTCTCAATTTTAAAAAGTAAAAAATTATACTAGAATTCAGCTGCCTCTTGTTGCCAGAAAGAAATAAATATCATGTCAATATTAAAATAAATATATAAAATTATGGTGTTTGTCTAGCCAAAATACCCCTACAAAAGTATTTTCAAAATCAAAGTAACACAATTGTGTATCATGAACATCATAACATTCATTCTATCATATATTTTTCCATTCATGTTCTGGTTAACTATGCACTCCTGCAGGCTGGACCCAAACGTCAAAAGGGCTGGATGAGGCCCACAGGCCGTAAGTTGCCCAGTCTGGACTATACCCTACATAAAGCAAGTCAATATGGATATAAACAGAGCAATGAGCAAGCCAATGATAACCAGTGAATTTCTCAGCAATAGCTGACTTAGAAGCAAAGCTGTGTGAAGAGATATAGAAATACCATCATCTGTATGATTCCTTGCTAAGGGAACATTAGGATTCAGGGCAAGTTTCTAATTCTCAGACAGAGATCGCCACAGCATTAGAGATAGCCATTTGATCTGCGTAAGAAAAATGTCTATAAACATATATGCACGAATCATTGACATCAAAGGCTAGTCATTGACAAGGATGACACAATCAATGCAAAGTATCCATGCAAGTAGAAGAAGTGCAAGTAGAAGTGCAAGAAGAACCTTTCTTTATGGAATTTCTGGGTACTGTGAACATAAAAAGTTTAAAGCTTATCATTTCAAGCTTGAAAAATTTGAAACATATAAGTTTAAGCTTTTGGCATATGCAAAACGAAAAAGGATACCCAGAAAAGCTTACACTTGTCCATAAGCAAACATTATTAGCTTACACCAACATAAGTTTATAAGTTCAAACTATGAACCAGGTTTTAACCTTTATGGGTGTAAATATTGACTTACTCTGCTAACACAGAGAGGCAAGACATTCTGCTTAGAGTTGAGGTGTTATCTAAGAGTCTAAAGTAGTAACTGGAAGAATGGGAGATAAATGAACATGTGAGAGCATGGATAACAGGCATTTAGGCAAGACGGAAGGTTTAATGGAAACTGCAAACAGAACATGACTCTAGAAGTTTGTATATATACCACATATACCATACCACATACAACAAAATACATTACAAAATAATAGGCATATTTTTGGCCTATTTGAGCTGATTTGGCCTAGCCCATATAGAGCAAATACTTTTAAATTGTTTGTTTTTTATATTTAAGTTACCAACAGAAAACAGTAAAGTTGGTTTGTGGTGCTATCTAGCCTCTTGTGTTGATTCAAGTTAGAATAGACAGATTATGAGGCTGTTGCTGACTCCTGGAGTACAGAATCACATCTCGGGCCCCTTTCAGACCAAAAATGATTTTTTCAAAAAAATTTTTCTAAATGTCTACATACATCAAATGAATGAGATAAAGGCTGGTAGTAATTGGTTTCAAAGATACACCCAACTACTGCCACCCCCTAATAATAATAATACCGGATGGGGATGCCACCCCCTAATTATAATACAGGATGGGGGGCTAAGTGGAAAGGGTGGCAAACTACAGATTCAATGATATGTGGTTTGAGTCCCTGACATAATCACACTTTCACTAAGAGTGGGGAGGGGAGTTGCCAACATGGGGGAGGTGGGAGTTGCCAGAATTCCTGGTGTCTTAAAAATACCTTTAGAAGTTAGTTAGTAACAGAAACAAATACTTTATAAAAATAATAACAAAAATATTGTGCCTTTTTTAAAGTTTTAAAAAAGGGAAAAAAGGTTTTGTAGATCAAAGTGCTTCCCTAGACCTTATAAAAACAGTGAAATCATTTGCAAAAGAACTTGCTATGACCTTAAAAATAAGCCATCACCACTTCATGGAGGAGTAGAACAGAAGTTTTTGGCAATTTTAGTGTTTCTAGAGTCGCTAGAATGGGTGTGGTAACCAAAATTTCAAACATCTGTAACTCTGAAATAGAATAAGATAATTGAATGAGATTTTCAGGATTTTTTCAGGATAGGTATCTTAATTTATCTTCCTAATTCACCTTGTATCTGTGAACGGGAGCTGTAAAGTGTTGTCAAAGTGTGTCAATTTGATGTGGAATAACCTATATCTAAATCTTTCTATCAATTTTTAATAGCAATTGGCATTTTCTCCAGAGAGCTACTGTGCTTGCTGAGTGCCCTGTGATCTTCAGACTTTAACAAACAGTTCAGGATAGCCTGCTCAACATTTAGGTAGTATAACAGATTTTAAGGAAAATCAATGTTTTTTAACTGCGCAGCCCAAATTGATTGCGAAAAAGTGTTTGGTAGTGTATTAACAGTTATGCAATGTTTTGCCTTACATCCGAACTGCATTTGCAAGCAAATAGAAAATCAATGAAATTTCAGGAACTTAACTTCCGTGTTTTCCTTTGACTAAAAATACTACCGTTCACATATAGACATTATTTTCAAATAACTCAATTTCAAATTCATTCATGAAGCATGTATAGCTAGTGTTAGTGTACCTAATTCCTCTGCCAATGCAACAGAATACGAGTAGTCGAGGCCTAAACCACCAAATTCTACAGGTTTTGTTACGCCAAGCAGTCCGGCATCCCCTAGTTTCTTGAAGACCTGATGCGCGGGGTATTGTCCATCCTTTTCCCATTCATCAACGTAAGGGTTAATGTCCTTTTCTATAATTTTGTTGAGAGTATTCCTCATTTGCAAGTGTTCTTCAGTGAAAATATGTTCATCACATAATGCCTCCGTGGCAGTTGTTGGCAGCTCATACGCAGCTTGAGCTTTCCCTGAGACGTTCCTGCATAAAGCCCAAACACGGTACGATTTGTTCAACCCTCGACATCGATTTGCGAGTTTTGCAAACGCCATCTTTGACAAGACCAAAACAACTGCAGAAGACTTTGAGGCAAAGTCTATTCGAGCCTCGTTTCGGTTATGTAAGAAAAAGTCGGAGGATAAAGTTCCTAATCGCTAAAAATGGCTTTTTCTCCACAAACGACCAAGTGCGTTCAAATGCGTTCATGCCTAGATAACAAATAAACCCCTGAGGCATTCCCACTTACTAAACAGAAACTCTTTCACTCTTTGTAAAAGGCAAGTTAAAAATGGACCGAGGCAGATTCGCGATATTTGCGAACCTCTCGCGAGAAGTTTTGAAAACGAAATCGAAAAGTTCTGGGCTCGTAAAATTTTTAAAACAGTGACAAAAATTGATTTTTAATACGCTTTTTGAAAAACTGAAAAAAGAGAATATCTCAAATATGTCGTTTCTATGAATGACTCCAGATGGGTTCAACCCTTTGCTAGACCTAACAAGATCAAGAATCGAAAAGTCAGACAAGTTCAAGAAACAAATTTCAATTTTCAAAAGAAAAGGCAGAAGCATAATTGATTGGCAATCTTTATTTTCATTGTCCATTTCCATAACAAGTCCAATCCAGTACTTTCCATTATATGCAAAAACAACAAAGTCTGATTCCTTTATTTTAAGCTTTTGGTCATAGTCAATACCTTTACCTAGAATAAGATCAGATTTAAGACGATATTGGTCATCAGCAGAGACACGTTTAGCACCAATGACTGTTTCTGATAGTGAGGTGAAATGATGAAACCCTCTTGTTCCTGGCAATGTTCTTGCTTCACTAAATCGACCAGTTAAAACATCACGCACTTTTTCCATTTCTGCCTTGGATATAAACATTGATTCAATGTTCTTTATTTCACTTTACAATGCTGGTAAACTTCAAAAGCTGGCACAATTTGATATGAAATTGGTCGCTGAAGACTGACTCTTGCTGTCAGTCTCTTGATGGTTCATCCGATCCCATCGCAAGGAGACTTTCAATGGGATGTTGCAAAAAATTTCCATGCACAACCAACTCCAAATTCTTGCTGATGGAGACACATATAAATAAAATTTTGCAATTCTTGTACATTTTACATTTGAAAAGGAAGAAAATAACTCCTTGCCATTTCTGGATGTTTTGGTTGAAAAATCTGACACTGGATTTCTCACCAGTGTATACCGTAAACCCACATTTTCGGGGTTATACACTCGATGGAGTTCGTTTTGCCCAAAACAAAGAAAAATCAGCCTCATCAAAACGCTCACACATAGGGCACTGATGATTTGTTCCAAGTCTAAACTCGACTCGGAACTTGAAAAACTAACTAAGATTTTTCTGGAGAACGGCTATCTAGAACATGTTATTTCAGTTTACATTAAGGAGAAGATAGGAAATTTCTCGGCTGACGTAAAATTTGGTCCTCAAAAGTGCCCGGTCTATCTAAAACTACCCTGGATCGGTAACAGCTCCCTGCGTTTTGAAAGCCAAATAAAACAGGCCGTAACAAACTGTTTCTTCGCGGTTAACCCACGTCTTGTTTACAGTACAAAAAAGGCCCTTCCGTCCATTCAAAAGGACTGCGTTCCTGCCACAAAAAAAGTTCTGTTGTTTATGAATTTACGTGCCAGTGTGATTCTGGCTACGTAGGACGCACCACCCAAAGATTGGAGGATAGGATAAAACAACACGTTCCATCTAATATTAGATATAAACGTTTTAAACTCTGAAGAGTGTCAGACGAAAAGCTTTAGTTTACTAAATGTTTGCTTTTTTCAAAGCCATTTACAAGTTTTGTACCACCAAAAGATTGTTTGAATTCTTGTACTGTACAGCAACCATCACTGAAATAATGCACCACTACTTATGTTCCCTTTAATAAAATAACCATATCGGTGAACTCTTGGTATGTTTTCCCTAATTGGACAGCATTTATCATCAGCAAAATGTTTTGGTGAGTTGTATAAACACAGACTGAATGGGTACCAGCAGAACCAACAAGAATACACCATTTCGGTCTGAGGCTGCAAAATTTTGAAAACCCGAGTTTCACTTAAGGATATTTATCCTTGAATGCTTTATAAAACGCTCTTAATCCACAAAGAAGAAGTCGCTTTTGCATATGGACTTTTTTCTTGATGCTGACAGAGTCTTTCTTTCTAGGCATCTGGCGGCTATATTCATCATCAGAATAAAATTCAGTAACAAGTGTTTAAATTTCCTTTGGAAGACGCTTTTCACATTTCCTGTCTGGCAATCCCAAGATCCCTTTCTCTTCTGCCAATTTTTTTGCTGTTCAAACTGGGAATGCTGAGACTGAAAAAACTTTCTGTGCCTTTTTTAGGGACCATGACGGTGGAATCATAGTAAGAATTTGAATCTTTTTTGTCCGATTAGACGTTTTCAACTTCTCCTTCATTAAAAAATTAGTTGTTCCAAGTCTTTGCTTCTCTGGACCATCTCTTCCAAATTTTCAGGTAAATGTTCTTTATGTTCTTAGATTTTGTAGATGCTGTTAACAATGCTCCAACTTGCCTTTGAAGGGACAATCTTTTCTCTTCAAGCTTGCCTTTTACTTGATGCATTTTTCTTTTACCATACGGAACCTTAGAATGGCTTACTACTGCATGTAGCTTGATAGAGCTGATGTCCATCTGCTCTAATGTGCTATTCAACTGTTCTCTGCTTTCAGCTTTGCAATTTTTGCAACCATCATCATCATCATCATCATCATCATCATCATCATCATTATCGTCATCTTCAACATCAGGAAACAACCCCTGGGAGTCTGTTGGATCAACCTTCAATGCCTCATTAATCTTAACACGACAACTTGGACACAATTTTTTTACCTGGAATGAGCTTAAAGCTGGTATTTAATGACTTTTTAGCCAGATCCAAGCTTATTTTTCGCAACGAAGACCCCGCAGCCTTTTTGCGTCTCTGAAAAGGATCGCCGTATTTCTTCTGAAGACGAACATACTCTACAGTAAGACTTTCCTTATGAATATGGCATATTTTGTCATCATCCTTCAATTCTGTGCCAACCCTCAAGTCTAACTCTTCCATCAAAGCAATACTTAAACTGCCAACATACTCAAAGTCTGTAGACTTGCATTGTTCAAAAAGCAGCTCACCGATGGAACAATTTTGATAAGAACACACGATTTTCAAGATACCTGCTTCTAAGGATTTCAGTAATACTAACTGTGGAAAGCAAATTCTTGTGAAATGACAAGCCATTGATGTGTAACTATGACCAAGGGTGTATCTTGACGATTTGGAGGGGGGGGTGTAAACGGGTGAACTTACCGACCAAAATTAATCTCTTGCTAGTCAATGTATATACACCAATATTCTATATCAACATGGGTAAACTTTCATCTTTGATAAGTAAAATTTATTTTTTTCCCGTTTTTGTGGGCAAACAAGATTTTTATCAAAAATTTTATATTTTTTACTTTTACATTAGACACATTTGTACAGTTGATAAATTACAGCTCAAATATTTGTTAACTATATTTCTTAAAACTTATTATCACATTCAAAGTACCGACACTTATAACTTCTCTAGGGCGGTAATATCAATTTAAGGAAACTGAAGAGAATTGATTAAAGAAAATATAATTAGATTTTCCTTCCACAGCAAAATCTAATTTGCATGATTTTTCGCTTAAGATTTACTGAAGAGACATTATAATAAATAGCCTAAATGTTGTTAAAATATGTTTTCATGCCATGAAGGACAATGATTGAATAGCATTTGTCTGCAAACGCGGTTATGAATTTTGTAAAAGTTTAGATACCAATAACTTAAAAATGGAGAAAAAGACCATAACAGTTTTTATTTAAGATAAAGTTCAATGTCTCAGGATACCAAATTTGGCTTTAAATGGTGTTGTCGATTTTTTTTATCAAGACTTGAATAGATGTAAGAATATGACATCTGAAGTCCCCAATTAAAGAACAGGGGGCACAAATGAAACTATGGGAGTTAGGTTTGACAGATATGGTGAATTCAATAGCATATTCAGAATCTCCATACGTGAAAAGATACAGTTTTATGGATCAATTCATCCAAACCATAATCCTTCAGGGTTTTAAGGTTTTAGTTCTCTTTTAAAATTCTAACCGGAATTCAAAATGGTGGCCTTGTGCCAATTTTTTGAAAATTTTGACAAAATTAAAATCCCAGTAACTTTTTAACGGTTTTGAATTTTAAGAAAATATTTTCCACATGTGCTTGTGATATGGTAAAGCACTTTTACACAGAAAAGTAGCCAATTCTGAGATGGTGGGTGCCATACCCTTGCTGAGTTGACATGGAATGACACAATGTCCCTAATAAAGTATACTCTCGGTAACTAAGACCCTCGATAAGTGGGACTTTTGCTATATGGGGCAAATTTTTGGTCCCACCTGTACTAAAAACTCCGCATAAGTTCGACTTTAGGAAGTTCATTTAGCATTCTAAAATCAATACTGGATTGCAAAAATTACGAGCAAAGTTCAAATCTTGAAAACTCTTTGTCATTTTCATGTTGTGGCGCGTTCTGTCAATAAAAGATGTCTCATCGGGCAAAAGAAAGATAAAATCCAAATCATTAATAGTGAAATGTTATGTATATACGGAAGAAGTTGATAAGGGAAAGTATCGTAATTCAGTTGCGGCGGAATTTTATCAAACTGGCTAAAAATAAACAAAAATCTAGGGCACAGTAGATTAAAACACATTAACGACGAAATGCCTGCATTTACAATCAAATAATAGACAATTTCATTCTCTTTCTATTTTATCCCACTTACCAGGATATACGCTTAAATGGGGCAATTTGTAAGTGGGATATATTTTCTATTTCCCCTGGAAGTCCAAAACGTCAGTATACTTTAGTCATGCAATCAACTGCATAGTTTGGTATGGTTGGAGCTGCTTTGCCTTGGCATAATTTCTATTTTAGTTGATACAAGAACAACTCTTTGCATTCTTTCGCTTCTTTATGTCAAAACGCCCAGCTAAAAGAGTTCTACTGTTTAAAGCGCAAACGTGCGTTTATCGTCTCCAACTTGAACGTCCATTCCCACTTGGCTTTTACTTGGACCCTTAAAGACTTGGGCAAGTCTACGCAATAAGAACAGAGAAAATTGCGAAAATAACGATCTCTTGCAGAAATAAAATATGTTCTATTGAAAATGTTTCGCCTGCATGCAGTTATCTAGTCGAATGAATTTCTGGCGGAAAAAGTATCAACATCTAACTTGGTGTCAAAATAGAATACTGAAATATTGAAATTCCTTTTTAAGGATCGATTTAAGGATTTGAGTAACTGTTAACCGCTTGCCAATCATGTCTATCTTCTGAAAAATCTTATTTTTATACTTTAAACGGAATGGTCATTGGGGTTCTGTTTAATAACTAAATAATATCCAGTCCATTTAAAAAGTGAAAACTGCAACTTTAATTGAACAAGAGACCCGTCTCGAAATTCCTATAAACTTTTAAAGGGAAAAACCTATAGCAATAATACTCTGGAAATTTCTGCACCAATTTGTATAAATCAAGCCCACAATACAATATTGCACTATATGCGTACATATAGAATTTTGCAAAAGGCAATTAACACATCATTAAAGAACTAACATTCATCCAGATTTACTTTGGTCGGATTTTCAACGGCACACGTTGCCTATTTGACTAACTGACCGGCTGTTCGACACATGTCTCTGACCCAAAACTCAAATATGTTAACGTTGATCTATATATCTAAATCAAAATAATGTTTCATCTTATTTATATTCAAATTCCTCATTACGCCAAAAGATGAGTAATTTGTGAGTTAAAATTATCTATAAAAGACAAGTTATTCAAATTAGCCATAGGTGTCAAACAGTGAAAGTACATTTTCAAATACTAGATAGATTTTTCTCTAGACAGGAATATAATCATCTACTACGTAAATTGCTATTTATATACCATTGCATTTAAATTTAACCGAATCGTCAAAAAGTTTCTTCAGTTCTTGCTTAGCAACCAGTCCCACCTCAGGTATGGTTCCAACCCGTCGACCATTGTCAGGACAGCATAAGAGCGTCTCACAAAGCTGTTTCTTTTTTGCCTTTGCAATGTTCTCAGTTTCATGTTCCCGGTATCAACTTTAATGTTTTCGTTTTCCGGAGGTTGGCGTTTTGCAAAGCTGCGTAGGATAGTGAGGAGGAGGGTGTTAATGTCATCACGAGGTTAGACGAGTGCATCAGTTCATAGGCGTGCATGTTGTAAGAGAAGGGAGTGTGTGCAATATCAATCTTATTTTACACATTATCACTGGAAATCTGTGCTTTATTGATGCATACCGTTATCAATGCAATTTGTAGTCTATTTCTCAGTCAGTGTATACGCAATAGAGCATTTGTGCTGCTCCAGACGTTGGTGGTTCTTTTAAGGTGCATTTTGGGATATCTTCCAGTCGTTTCGTACGTTTATAGAGTTTTGCTTGCTGTCATTTAGCTGTCATCCTCATCAATTGCCATTTAACCATTTACGATTACAGGCCACTGGTTTTCAACCGTGTTAATATGTTTCATTCCACAGTCTCTCAAGTAAACACAACATTGCAAAGACCAATTTTCACAGATAGTCAATTCTCCGTATGTCAGCTGATTGTCAATGAACGTCTGTTGCTTCCAATTTATTGTCAAATTCTCCTTTAACGTTACTAAAGCGAACTTATTCTTTTTTTACAGTTAATGTCCCTTTAATTCAAAGTCATTAAAACGTCTACGTATAAACAGACAAACAACAAGTGTCTCTTAAAAGTAAGTAAATAAAACGTCAGTTTATAACAAGAGCACTCAAACAGAGAAATATTGTTACCTATTCTAAATGTAACACATAACAGAGGATATTTAACACTAGAGAATGTTAGTACTATGCAATACAGATTTGCGTCCAACCCACTGAAATAGTCACTTGACAATACCAGTTTTGTCTATTGATGACAAAACCAGTAGTACAAACAAGCCATACACTTAAAACCTATTCCAGCCAAAACTGAAATTTTCAACGATTCTCGAATCCATGATGAAACAAATTCGGTCTAAGCTTTAAAATAGCTTTTAAAGTGAACATCATCAAGTTGTGAACAAAATTTAACGATTTAGGTTAGGACACATTTTGTAAGGACACGATTTAGGTTTCTGTAAGGTTGTCTTGATAAATAAAACTTTCAATGAGAGTTGACTTGACGGAAAAGTTTAACAAACAATATGTAGTTTCTATAACGCAGTATGATTTGTACATAACAAAAACTATTCACATTAACACCAAACAAAACCTCAATTGCTCAATAAAAATGACATCATAGACGAAAACATATTTAGAAACTGGCTTTTTTCTACAAAAAACAAATTCAAACTGAACATTCATTTGAAGATTGAAATAAGAAAAACTATTATTGTACCTACCTGAGTACCCATAGAAAAACGATTGGCACCCAATACGAAGTAACTCCATTCTGTTAAAGCTCATTCATTTAAAGGGCACATCAGGTGCGTGGTCGCTTTCTAGCAGGGTCATGGGACCTTGGAGGGTCAGCTGGAAGAACCTTCATTCGGACACCCATGACCTCTTCTCCGTGCAATGCATCCATTGCTGATTTAGCAGCACCTTTACTAGCATACTTGGCATAGCCGAAATTTTTGTTCTTTAGCATATACACATCAATTAGGTCTCCAAATCGACAGAAAACGTCTTTTAAAGTTTTATCACTTGGCGCTGTTGGCGTGCATACAATGAAGAGCCTTTCTCCTACTTCAGATTTTGGATCTGCCAATGGCTTTACAGCAGGCAGAGCAGCAGTTGATATGAGTTTGGCAGCTGGTGCTTCGCCAGGGTGCAGCCCAACAACAGTCCCACCATAATCCGTGGCAGACACTGGGTATACATCTTCATCAGGTGCATACCTAACAATTAACTTTGAGCCTGGTGGGTACTCAAAGCCATTCAATTTTTCTTTTGCATATACCGCTGAGCCAACACTGTTATAAACAACAAATGCAATACCTTTAGACTCGCCAGTCTGAAAATTCTTTTTCAAGTCACACAACTCCATCCCTGGTATGAGGTCAAAAAGACGTGCTAAATGATCCTGACTGACTGTAACATTTACCATAACTTGAAGGCGATTGCACACACCCCCAGCTGACCTAGCGTCTGGAAAACCGAGACTCATGGCAAATGCTTGTGGTGCGTACGTTTCTTGACTTTGTCCAGCAAACTGCACTTCATGTTGGGTGGCACCTGATGTAGAAATGTATGGTAGCGAGCTTGGCTCAGACATTGACTCTCGTTTGATCTTAGCTGACTTTGGCTCTGCCATTACAGCCTTGAATGAACGATCACAGCCTTCCAAAGCAAGAGCTGCAAAATAAGGCTTTCGGAAGTTGACATACCCAAACCCTTTAGACTCACGGGTTTTCCTGTCTTTCACTACTTGAACGTAATCTACTTCTCCATATTCCTCAAAAATGCCTTTTAGTTCAGCTTCTTCCATCTTTTTTGGAATAACAATAAATAGCCTAGTCAGTGCAGTCGCATCTTCGAAATCGTCTGTAGATTTGCTCGACTTTGGTTTCGCAATGAGGGCCTATTGACAAACAAAAAGTTTTTCAACAAATTAAACCCTTCATTAGATCTTCTGCATTGAACACCCAATTACGCTTTTAGGGCAAAATTAAAAATTTGAACAATAAGACTGTGTAGGATGCTTAGATGCCCCAAAAGCCATAACAGACCATTCACTAGTTACAATTATCAGACGCATTTGTATACAAGGCATTCATAATCAGGGATGCAGAGAGCCAAGCAGGGCCCAAGGACAGGCCCAGTGTTTGAGACCTTTCCTACACAAAGAAATAAGCCTAAAATCTGGATTTAAAATGCACTAAGTTTTTAAATCGTTTTTAATATATATTGTTAAAGCATTGTTGATCTTTCTCAAGAGAAATTTGATTTGTTTTTCTTAAAATTTCGATTTTATTAACAGTCAGGCCCCACTTTGCTTATGGGCCAAAAGGCAATTTCTCCTTTGCCTCCTTCTCTGTGCGCCTGCACAAAATTTCGTTTCAAATTTCTGCACCTTACAGTATATAAGAGGCATCTAGTTGCTCAGAAAAAAACATTTCTAGTTCATTGAGATTCTGTTGCTCAAATGCTAAGATGATTCTGTTGCTCTGAGCATCTACGATTGAACCTTTGAGCAACTAAAGTAACTAAAAAGTGACAATGGGTAATGTTTCTAACTGCTGTGTTTGTATGGCTACAATTTACAGATCCTTCTTATCTTTACTCTTTCCAAGATTTCATTGATAGTTTGAGCAAAAAAGTGAACAATACTAAAAAGGAATGTTGATTGCAAAGGAAGCATAAAACACAGAACAATTTGATGAGGATGCTGAATGAGTTTCATGTGATAATGCACCATACAGAAATTAGGTTCACTCCCTTCTGAAAATTAATTGTAGGCCCTAAATTTGAAACAAACCACTAAAATTCTTAGCAAAAAAATTTGAAAATGACAACTGCTCCAATATTCAACAAAACTAAAATCTTCATATTTTTATTCTCATTAAGAAAAACAATTATTTAAGCTTCAAGCCTGGTATTAAAATCATAAAATTGATTTTCAATCTATTCATTTGCTCCATATGTTACCTTAATAGGTTTGGTTTCATCGTCAAGAGGTTTGCCATCCAGCTCTTCAACTGCAAGAGTGGCCTCTGACATCTTTGAGAATTTAATATAGGCCACTCCCCTACTTTCTTTTGTAAACTTGTCTCTCACGACCCAGACATCTTCAAGTGCACCATATTTTTCAAAAGCAGCCCGAAGATCATCTGAAGTATGGCTCTTACTACACACCACAAAAACTCTGTTGGAACAAAATTATTATGTTTTTTGTTATGTATGCAAATAAAGAAATAAATTTTGTGCAGATTAATTCATGACAACAAAAAAAGAACAGCAGGCAACATGTAGTATACCCTTTAAAGTTATAATTCTTCCACAATCTTTATGAACAACCTTCTCATGATAACAGAGGAGCAAATTATACACAGGTGTTATTTCTAATATACCAGAAAGCTTCTGACTTTAAGGTTGAAGTGCTGTCTTAAAAACAATTACGGGTAGCAGGGATTTACAGCCAAAATTGTATCTTTCTCTGTAAGCTTTTTAATCAACATCACTGCCCCATTTATCCACTTAAACCAAAATGAGATAAGGCATAACTTTTTACTAAACCCAAGATTCCTTAATATATGTTAGTGCCCCCTACTGAAAATGTTATATTTTTTAACTAAAATAGAGCTATTGTGACACAAATAAGGCCATATGAAAAGGATATGAAACAGGCAAAATAATCAATCTAAAAACTTCAATTTAGATTAATTCAAAAACTAGATTAAAATACAACAAAAAATATCAATTCCTTTTGACTAGCCAGAAACAATGGAATATTTCCCCTGCTGATAAAAAGAGTTGGAAAATTCTACTGGTAGTAGGTAAATTGTAAAAATTAACTTATCCCCTGAATGCTATTAAAAGAAAACTCTCAATTTTTCTTCAACTAAACACAGGTTAATTCAAAGTTACTGTCATTTAAAAGAGACTATGTTAATTTTTAAAAACAGCAATTTCTTTACATTGGATCATTTATTCAAAAGAAAATGAATAATTGAGATTCTCGGTTACAGCTACTATCAGTCTGGCTTAGGCTGTGTGCAATAATTTCTTACAAGGCAAGTCCTCTTTATAAGATTATAGACATTAAATTCACCAAATTAATTCAGGCTTCAGGGCCATTAATAGTCAATATTGGACCAAGTTTACAGGAAAAAGGTTCTAAAAGTAAACAAATATTTCAAACAAAAAGCTTTGCAACCATATATCAAGGGAAGTATATCATTTTATTTCTTATCTCAATAGAAAGCAGACAATAAAAAGCTTCAACAACAAATGATAAACTATATGCTCTGTTGATCAAGCTAAAGATTTGTCTGGTTCTGATTAAGCTGAAGATTTTTTTTGTTCAAGGTTAAAGTCTTAGTTGAAATCCATACTTTGACTAAGGAGTGGCTAACCAAATTCAGCTACTATTTAAATCAGGAAGGCTCGCCCAAGCAAATCTTTCTAAGCTTAACTTCAAAGTACCTTTAATCTTAGACATCAGAATGCTGAACACAATAAGCACTGAAAAGAAGTAAAAAATGTCCTTTAACAGGACAATACAGAACATAAACCTTTTGTCTTCATAGAAGAGACCTTCTCTAAATCAGGATTCTTTATATCTCATATCAAAACAACCATTCGCCTATAGATGGCAAAACATGCTGTATTTTTAAACAAAAACCTTCCAGGTTGCACTGAAGAGCAGAGTGGTTAACTGTTTTACCAGAAACTTTCCCAACAGAACACATATCAGCTACTGAACATATATAAATCAAATTATTGAACAAATTGATGCTAAAAGCTCATCGGACATTTTAAACGTAGTGAACAATACAGAGACATAATATTTACTGGAGAACTTGTAACAAGCATTCCCTAAAACCATTCTTCACTGACACTGCGACTTCACTGAAATTTCCACGATCAGAAATTTGATCGCGAGAAACGGAATATTTACTTTCCTTTGTTAACAGCTAAAAACTAAAACCCACTTCCTTGTACGTCGCTTTCTTTTACAGGGTATTGCAAAACGCTAATACTTTAATAAAATGTAATGCGTGTGCCATATAAGAATATGAGTGAAAACAATATTCACTTGGTTAATGTGGTGATACATTACATGTTTATGTTTGCTAGAGTCAACTAATTGATTCGGTGCATTATCACTATATATCAGTTTATACCGCAAACAGGGGGGGAAAAGTTTCCTCAAACTACCACGTATCTTATGATTTACGGGAAGAATCAAAAACAAGATTTGCCACCATATTTGTTTATTCTTTTGGTGATAAGTGACTCCACTGAATACAATGGCAAGCGATTAAATATTAAAGGAAATAAACTCGCCACGAAAGCTACAATCATTTTGTAGCAGAGCAAAACAATTAATAACATTAATCGAAAAATGGATCTAATGCTGAAAATAATTATTATATTATATTTTTCTAAATCCAAGTATTCTTTTTATCTGCAGAACTAAAAACCTGAAGAAAATAACTGAAAAATATGCGGCTGGTCAGTCAATGGCCATGTGCTAAACATGTTACAGCGACCTGCAAATGTAAAATGTAGGCCCTCGAAAGATACTGTCAAACGAAATACCTTGAAAATGGAGGCTCGTCGTGATTTACTTGACCTGGCTTCGGAAACCCGGCATCTCTCCCGTTACTTATTGACGTCGTAGGCATCTTCACATCTCCGTAACTCGCCTGATCATAATAACTAGATGCCATTACTTGCGCGTTCCCAGCTGCCATGTTTTGCGTGTCCCCTCTTCTCAACGTGACTTCGTTTACCACCGGACGGTGACGCACGCGCAATAGATAAAGGAGGGCTGTCCGTCCAACAGGTTGGTCAACAATTTTGACATCTTTTGATACAAACACCAGAAAACATCTTGAAAATTTCCTTTGGCGCGGTAAAGGCAGTGGCGCCGTTATGCCTTGTTGTTGACAATGGAAAAAATATAAAACAAACTTGTGTTGACACTAATTCTCAAATGTTTATTAAATTAATCGTTACTCTGATAATGAACGATGATGATGATCAGCTTGATTTAACTTGTATTTATGCAGTGATAATATGATAACGATTGACGATGGCGACAGTGGCGGCTCCAACCTGGGATAAGTGAGGGGGCAAACGTTGTGCCAGGGACCACGCCTTCTTTCCCCCTGTTTGAAACATTTTCTTCCGAAGTAAGCACCTCTTGTCTCCCAAGAAATGTCATTTAAATGTGACGGTCTAGATAACGTACATACCCCCCCCCCCCGACGTTTTCTTGTCAGGTTTGCGAGAATCTCAAGGACCAACTTTCTGAAAAAGTGGGGGGGGGGCTAGTCCCCATTCCCATTCCCCCCGGGGCTCCGGCACTGGATGCCGATTGATTGATTATTATATTGAAGATTGAACATTTGCTACCGACATATGGATGTCTATTTAGCATTTAAGAGAGTTGTAATAATCCACGACAAGGGTTGTTCTCAGGTAACATTGCTCTATATGATCTATTTTTCATAATGTCCTATTGAGTATGTATGGATAGGCGGCACTTTTATGATATGATTTTGTCTATAAATTCCTTCTTCGACGAAAGAGTCAGTAACTGCTATCGGGATCTTAAGCCTCAAAAGGGAGGCCGTGTAATCCAGAAAATCTTTAACTTACAACAAAAAATAATTGAAATATCTTGTATGCAAACAATCTAAGTTACCCGATTCAGGCTATAACATTCAGCTTGGTAGCAAAATATTATCCTGAAAAACATACAAGATTTATTCCGCTCTTGCCTTTGAAAACGTAGAAACAAGCGGTAACAGTGGAAAATATTGGAACACAGTCGTGTACGGCAGAGACGTAGCCTTTATTTTCAAAGAGGATTAGCCCTTAGAGGGATTCCCTGACTTGTATCGACAAGGTTTTGCTGCATCTTAGGTCAGAAAAATATACAGTGGTACTCTTTTTTCGAATGGAAGAGCGAGCCACAGCTGTCCCTGGTAACCAGACCTTTTGCATTCAGACTACAGCCATTAAAAAAGAAACTGCCAAGGGCTAGCAAAGCATACCTAGAGTTTAACACGTAAACTGCGGTGGGCCACTATAGTGGCCCAACCAAAACGAGGCCCAGGCCACTATAGTGGCCCAACGCACCACTATTGTTTAAATGAGTCTTGTTTCAAAAGAAAGTTTATCACATGACTATTTTCTTGTTTTTTTAACCAATCATTGCACGTATGTCCTTTGAAAACAACAAAAGCGGTGTCCTTCCTTACAACAATGCTATATTATGGCAGTTGAAATTTGACTTAGGCCAACCGCTTACTAAAGTTCGATCAGCTGATTTTGAATTTTGAATTTGTGTCTTCGCGTGTCTTTGGCAAGAAAATAACAATTAGCACTGAAAATGTCCGATAGCGGGGAAGACAGTGATTATATTCCTTCCGACTTTGATGTGGAAGATGAAGACAGTTCGGAGGAAAGTGGCAGTAGCGACGAGGAGGATGAACTTTTAGGCCTACAGCAGCCATGTTGGCTACCCGTTGGAAATATTGACGATGATATTTCACCAGATTGGCCTTCATTTACTGCTGCAAGTGGACCTAAGCATATTGCCAGGGAGGAAGCAGACCCCCTTGTGTATTTTCAGTACTTTGCTACTGATGAATTTTTCAAGACACTGCTTGATTTTAGCATCAAGTACGGAGATCAGATTGTTGCAAAGAAAGAAATTTCAGCGAAGTCTAGGTTCCGGCTCTGGCAAAATATGAAAGCAGACGCTGACCTAGACACCTATAAGGCATTCTGGGGCCTTTTTTTTAACATGGGCCTTATTCAAAAAGCAAGTTTTGAGGAATATTGGAGGGAAAGTGACTGGTCCCAAGCCACCCCTCAGTTTTCGCAGGTAATGGGTCGTGATAAGTGGATGATTTGGCTGAGGATGTTGCAAACATTCGATGTCACAGATCCAACTGTTGATAGAACTGATCCAGGTTTCAGGGTTATATACCCTTTGAATCACATGAACAAAATGTTCAAATTTCATTACCAGCCAATCCAAACCTTGACAGTCGATGAAGGTTTATGTGGCTTTCGTGGTAGAGTTCCTTTTAGACAGTATATTCCAAATAAGAAGCACCACCAATTTGGGATAAAGATGCAAGAGTTGTGTGACACAACTGGCTATTTATGTAAAGTGCTTTTGTACTGTGGTTCCAAGCAAAAAGTTCCCGCTCGTTTTCATCACAAATATCCAAGTGATCCCAAGAGCATTGTGATGACTTTGGTGAATGACTTGCAACACCAAGGATACCAGCTGACAACAGATAACTGGTACACTTCATTGGAACTTTCTAAACAATTGAAAGAAATTGGGATCACACACATTGGGACCATCAAAAGAAACCAGGCAGCTGGCTTTCCAAAAGAAGTGGTGAATGCAAAGTTGAAGGTTGGAGAAAAGCTTGCATATCGCATGGATGATAATGTTTGTGTTGCAATAAGGGACAAGAAGAGTCAGACAAAACCACTCTTGATGACCTCAACAAAATACTCTGCTTTTTATGTTGATGGGGATGGTCACAAAGTCAGAGAGGAAAACCATGTAGCTGACAAAAAGTACAAATGTCAGCTAGTTTGGGCTTACAACCACTCTAAATTTGGTGTTGACAAATCAGATGAGATGGTATATTCTTATGAGGTGGAAAGGAGAACCAGACGCTGGCCTGTCAAAGTGCTGCTAAGACTGATGCAGAAGGCACTGCTGAATTCATATGTTTTGTATAAGGCATTAGCAGAAAAGCCAATGAAGCGCTTACGCTTTTATGTGAAGGTATTTGAGGGGCTGATGAATCCAGCCAGAAACAGAAGAATCAGGCCTCAGTATTTGAGACCAGACATTGAGGGAAAAATTTGTCAGATGGAACAATTGCCAGGAGGAAAAAGAAAAGATTGTATGATTTGTTCCAGCAGGCAAGAGGGCAAAAGGAAGAGGACAGCATTTCAGTGTGTTCGTTGTCAAAGAGGATGCTGCCCAACATGTTTTCATCAGCATTTTGACTGATTTTGAGCCCTTCTTAGTATATATTTTATTTATCATGTAACTTTTCTTACATTATAAATCCATATTTGTACAAAAACTGTCCTTGAACATGTTTGATTCAAATTCTTACAGAGCAGCTGCCATTGATACTTTTTCTGAATTGCGTCATTACATTACTTTCAAAATTAAATTTGTTCATACTTTCATATACAATTTGAAAGCTAAACTTTGATATTTTGACTGGAAATGTTAGGCAGAGAGGACTTGTTTGCAAATAATATTTATATAATGTCCATAAAGACCAAGGTTTCCATGTTTGTGGCCTTTTGGCTAAGATATAGCAAAATGGTGCCTATTTTTCTAGTTTTTATGTTTATTCAGTTTGCAAACTTTTTTATTTTATTGCTAAAATTTTGTATTGTGATTGAAGATTATAACTAGGTTGTAGCTTGTAAATTGTGCAATAACAAGTCTTGGTATTATATCCTCCTGTCATTTTCTGGCTCTGATTTATAGAGAAATATCTGTTTGTTAGAACTTTTCCTGTCTTCGTATTCAGTATAGTTTCAAAATGGCCTTATTCTCATTTTGTAACAAACAATTTCAAACCAATTTTGGTCTAAACCCTGTAAGTGTAGTCTTAGATACCTTGATATTACAAAAATGGTGTAAATAAATGTCAAAATATGCCCCAAGCTCTCTAAATAGGTAAAGAAAACTTCCGAATGTCTTCATTTTCGTCTTATGTACATTTAAAATAAGGTGTGGCTTTTGTTGCTATGGTAACAAATTTCTTATATTTTTGTTTGAAAAGTATATTTTGATCCTAATGTTCAAGAAAATGTATAGTTTTAAGTAATTCAAGTAGCCTGTTTGCAAGAAATCAATCAAAATGCTATGCTGCAACTTAATTGACGTTTTGGTTCTTCCGGGCTTTAGCAGTTAACAGAATAGCCTTTAGCAGTTAACGTGTTAAGCGTTTTAAATGCGCAAATTTGCATCTTTTCATTAAATCTTTATTCTTAAATCATGATGTAAAAGTTTGGTGTTCGTTATAACAAACAGGTAGTTTCGACCACGATCTCCATAAATCAGAGGCAAGTCCCGTAATTTCGCAGGGAATATTTTTCCCTTGATTTTGATCGCTTGAAACTTTAGCAATAGCAGTTGTGAGACTCTTAATGGAATACTGAAGAAGGGATGCTATAGTAAAATCCTGAACCGAAGAAGCACAGAATATTTGTGTAAAAAAATATCAGAAAAAAATGTGATTTAGGGAGAGAAATCCTTTGGATACCAACATAGAAGAAATTGATACACATGGAAAAAGTCAAAGACGGGTTACAGAGTACAAACAAATTAATTTCAGAACACCATTTTTCTGATCAAGAGCAACTGAACAACTCCAGGAACAAAAATACATTAAAATTTTGAATGCTTGTGATGTAGAACTAAATTATTTCGACTAATTTCTATGACAAATTTAATCTAAGACTATATATACTTGAATTAAAGACATTTTAACACATCACCATATACATAATTATTCTTCAATGAAATATAAATATCTTTAAAGTTGATTTAAATAGCAATCTCCGTAGGAATTTAGAAATGCATTCAGTAGCAGTTTAGAACCAGGACGACGATTTTACCTGAAAAAGGATGAAAAATATGGTCAGCTTTGTGCTGGCAGATAGATTCAATAAACGTTATTTGTTGTTAGAACAGGACGGTTCTAAGTTGTGACTCCGAATTGCTACCTATAATGCGATCATTTTCTATAGATTCTTTTAACGTTAGTAATGTAAAAACCGGCATAAAAGAAACTGCATGCTATCTTTTTCAAGGTTATGTACCAAAACGTAAGAAACTGCAGAGCCTAAATTTATCCAGTTTCTCATAAGAGGTCATTTTGAACAAAAGCTATACAGTCTGACCCGGAAAAATGATACTCTTATATGCAGGTTTTTACTGTAATTTTTATGTTGATTTTTCAATTCTCCCACATCGATTACCTTTAAGAAGGAAGTCGTTTAAACTAAAAATCAAACTACCTGACAAAAAAGAAGCCAATATTGTCAGCTGTTCATAAATTGAAGCTTTAATTGAATATTCCAGTAATTAAAACTAGTTATTAAAAACCAATCATTAAATTGTAACTGTATTTTTGCATTATCGTTTATAAATCATGTTTCATTGTAATTCATCAGACCTTGTAATTTTGTATTGTTTCCCCTACAGTTTAATTTTCCCACTCACAAATAAGACACAAGACTTTGGCAACCACCTAACTGTTTTGTGTATTTTTTACATATTTTGCGATTTCCCCGTATGGTTACGTCTAGGAGAGAGATGCTTTATGTAGCTACTCACCATGGCAGTTTCTAACTGCTCCTCATTATCCACGATTTGTTGTGTTTGCGAAGGAGAGAAATGGACAATGGCGGCAAGAACTTTTGCCATTTGCTGCAAGACAAGAAGAAAGCCTTCTTTCACAAAAGCCTTGAATACAAACAAAAAGGTAGCTGAATCAAATTCAATTAACAAAACGTCCAGCCCTGCAAGATTGGTTTTTTCACAGAAATATTAAAAAATTACCTTTCTCTGACGTCCCATCATGTATTGATAGAGTATATTCTTCAGGTACTACAAACGAAACAGTATGACAACGTTGAAGGCGGAAATTTCATGCAATGATAGCACTATAAGTATTGACAGAAAAATGAAAGACCGACAATAACATCTGGTTGCAGCAATGCACATCAATTATAATGATCTAGAAATTTGATGCTACAAGTATGCGAATTGAATAAGAGAATCCCTACACTGGGCAATACTACGTTAGAATTAAAAAAAGTTATTCAAGAACGCTTGGAGTACACTATTTCGTTTGAAGGCTTAACAAAGAGGACAAAATTACCTCATCTTGCTTATTCCTAGGCATAGGTACAGGTAACATAACTAAAGGTTACGCTTACAGTCACATTTGAGGGTGGTTTTGCTTACGATTAAAGCCAAATAAGATTAAAGTCTCCTTCATTCGTCAAAACCTGATTATCAGAAAACAGAGCTTGGTTTCCGAATCTCAAATTGTTTTTATCTTCTCTTAAAAAATGCTATGGTATTGGAATTCGATAAAATGTGTTCGGCGAGCAATTGAAATGGGTTGTGACTTAAATTTGGCATTTTGATTTCCTTTATTTCAAACGAGGCTCTTCGAGAAACTTGGGTTTGAGTGCAAATGCTTCCGGAATTGAGGGACATAGTTAGAGTAATCAGCATAGTGAGAGAACAAGAATAAAACTACAATCAACAACGTTAAATCAGTATTATGATTGCCAGCCATAACATACCTCGTATTCCATTGGTTCGGGAGTGGATGGTGAGCTGGATACAGAAGTGTTCAAGTTCCCACTAATGTTTAGTGTGTCCGGTCGACCATTTTTCGGCGTCTTTTCGAGCTTTTGAAAGAGAATAAGAGGTATGAGAATGTCAATATGAGAGAATAATTGATCCAGCAACATCAAAATCCGAACATAGGAATGATGCCTTGAGGATTTCAAAAAGCTCAAATGAACTCTTTAAGTGACGAAATCTTTTGGAAACCTAAGCAGCCTGTCGCTTGTTATAATCTTAGGATACAAAAAAAGCACTACCCTTATTGTCATATTCGCGGTCAACCTACTACACAAATTCATTCGATTGTCACATTCATCTCAAGCTTAAATTTCGCTTAATTTCGCTTCGTAATCCATTTTCAAAACTACAAAATTTGCGTCGCCAATTGGCAAGATTCATCCCTTTCGCTTTTCCAAATACGCTAATTTGCACTAGTCGTTGCCTGGCCAGACCTTAGTTGCTATCGTAAGAGAAAATTAGTTTATTTACCTTTTGCTTTAAACTGCGCTCTCTTTCCTTATATGCCGTCAACTCGGCGTTTAGCATGCTGATTTTAGCCTTAAAAGATAGAACTCTTACATAAGATCGTACTACAGAATTGAAGTTAAACGAAAAGGGCGTTTATTATTAGAATTAGTGAACAGAATAGCAAATAGAAAATTAAAAAAACAGAACAATCCCCTTCCATTGCCAAACAAAGCTAAACTAACAAACGCTCATTTAAACTGAAATTATAACATTAATTCAATAGAATAATTTAGCTGACCCTCCACTATACTTAGCACACACATTTTTTTAGTATTTGGACTAAAAAAGAAGAGTCTTTTGTGAGCGAAACTTTATACTGACTTTTAGTAAATCAAATACATAGCCCCAAGAACATCCTGTTGGCTCTTCTCATTGTCCTAGGCAACTTATTGGTTATATTTTACCCTAGTTGTATGTTGACCTAGAATTGTGTTACGTTTGAAAAATTACTTTGCGTATCTCCCCTTATGAAATATTACATCGAATTTAGTAACTGTATTGAAAAATTATTATATTGTAAGTACTTTCCTAATACAAGACGTCTGAGTTTGAGTTTTGAGAAATCTGAACTGAAAAATACCTTCTGAATTTTACAAGCAACACCAAGGTTTCAAACACGCTTACCTTCAAATCAGAAACTGCTCCTTGGTCGGCTTCAATCTCACTCTACAAATTAGGAGAAAATATAATTTGATACGTTAGATAAATTGGTGAATTTAACAAATTATACAGAATGCAATAATACATTATTAACAGGCAACTAGACTTTGACCAGAAAAGAAATTATTCAGTAAAACTTGTTTTCAAGGTGCCTATTATTTTTATGTAAACATATTGTTTTAGAACTACAACTGGTAACTTTCTAGGCGCTGACAAAAATACCTCCGGTATTATTCATACAGCAGCAAGCACAATGGTTTGGATTAAAAACGAAATGGATTAAAAAGCGTAATAAGTAAACTGAATAAACACAATAACTATGTCAAAGAATGTGTTCTAAAAAACAGAAAAAATGGCCCTGAAACAGAAAATGTATTTACATGAAAAGGCAAGGTAACAAAATGTTTTATGGCAATGATAAACAATGAAATAGCGTTTTGACTGACAATTCAACATTGGAAACAAAAACAAAATTTGCTTTGTTAAAATTCCTTGGTCAATCATCTTAAAGGCAGTCTGTCCCCTCAAAGATTGGCTAACATGGACAATGGGTTTTCCAACAAAATGCATCACACTACTCGCTTTGGTTGGCCTAGGTAGCGACAAATATTTGAACCTTCGAGCAAAAAGCTATGGGAAATGATTAGAAGAATTATCTTATAGGAAGTTAATTATGATAAGGGAAGCATTCATATCGCTGTTGGCATATCTGTCGCTCAAACCAAATAGGGAACAAAATTTATTCCATCAACAGCTTCTCTAAAACGGGAACACGGTCGTTTCGTTTCCCGTGCCCAAAGCGCTGGAATATTTGTTCTCTGATTGGTTTAAATCATTTAATTATCGATCAAGCTCAACCATGCGTGAATTTCACTCCTGTGAAAATGAATGTTGAGCTCAATAGGAGACAGGCTGCCTTTAAAAACACTGTATCCTTTACCAAACTGTGAACAGCGCTTAGATACGTCTAAAATCAATGGTAATATAACTCAAACTAACGCCAATTTAGCAAAATAAAGGGCAGTAGATGAAAACAACTTACACTGCCATTATTCAGGTGGCTATACAGCTCCCAATCTTCATTTTCCTTCGTGTTTCTACCTGCAGGCAAAGCGCCTTTCTCTACCAATAACTTCTTCATTTCACTTTGATTTTTCTTCATTTGTATCTTCAGTTTCTTCTCGATATTAGCCTTTTCTTTTCTATGACTTTCTTCCAGCTCTGCCATTTTTTGCAAATGTCTTTGCTCGATCTCATCAACACTACCCTGATGTCGCTCTGTTAAAACCTTTCCTTGTGTTTTAAAGCTCTCAAGGTCATCTTCGTACTTCTTCGCCATTTCATGGACTCTGCTATCATAATTCTTCTCTAAATCCAAAAATTCTTCTTCATGTTTCTCCTGTTGGTCTTGCATACTTTTCTCGATGGTCTTCAATTGCTTCTCCATATCTTCCTTTAAGTTTTTCATATCATCCTCTCTTAATTTCAGTTCTTTTTTAAGTTCAAGTATCTGATCTTCATAATGAGATACAACCCTTTGTTCTTCTTTCTGCATTCGTTCTAATGTATCATCTAGCCCTTCTTCGTGTTCCCGATCTTTGTCGCTAAGTTTTGCCTGGAATTCCTTGATGACACTTTTAACGCGGGATGTGTATTCATATTCTTTGTCTTCTATTTGAGCTTCATATTTTCTCTTCATATCTTCCGTTTTCTTATCAAATTCCTTTTGTATCTTCTCAACTCTTTTATCATTTTCCTCATCAAAATCTGCTTTCTGTTGCTTCAAAGCATCCATTTTCTCGATGGTTTTCTTTTCTAGCTTTTCTATCAAATCATCGATCTTCTTAGATAACTCCTCTCGATCAGTATTCTTCATTGCTAACTCTTCCTTCAGCTTCTCAATTTCTGCATTTTTAAGGCTTTCAAGCTCATCCAGCCTAGTTTGAAAACCTGTCTCTTGATCAGCTGCCTTCTTCTCAATAGCCGTTGTTTCACTATCAATATTTGCCCGAAGCTCTTCCACTGCCGATATCAATTCACTAATTTTACTATCCTTCTGTTCAAGAGTAGCTGCCTGCTGTCGTTTTAAATTCGCTATTTTACTTTCAGCCTTTTTCTTCATGTCCATCAGCTTCGTTTTATTTTGCTCTCCCAATTCTTTCGACTGATCGGACAGCCGTAAATCTAAAGTCCGTTCAAATTCTTTATTTTTGACTACCATTTCCTCCTCTAAACTGTTGATCTGATCTTCAAAATGTTTTTTTTGTTCATCAAAAGTCTTTTCGGCAAGCTCAAGTTTTTCAGAAAACTCTTGTTCTTTGGTAATAAGCTTAACTTCAAGAACACGCTTCTCCTCCATAATATCATGAAATTTCATATCTATCTCCTTACTACTACTTTCCCCAGAAAGAACCTTCATTTTTAATTCTTCTGCTACTGATTTTGAATTCATCAATTCTTTTTCTAATTCTACTAATTTAGATTTATAATCTTCGATCGTCCGATGCAACTTATTTTTCAGTTCTTCTATCTCTTTTCTAAATATTACTTCCTTGTCTTTCCAGTGACTTAGCCCTTCATTGGATTGTTTTTCCGAGTTTACAAGTCTCTCGTGGACCTGGGCATTTTCCCTCTTTAACTTCAATAAAGATGCTTCAAGTTCTTCGATACCATTCTTATAATTATCTTCCATCTCTGACATTTTGTTTTCATAATCAATCCTCAGCTCTTTTTTCTTTTCTTCGTTATTTTTCTCCAGCTTCTGTATCAATGACTTATGTTCTTGCTCTTTATCTGCCAAAATTTTTCTGTATTTACTATCAAGCTGTTCATATTTTTTCTTTGATTCATTGGTACTATTATCCAAAGCTTCTTTGTACTTCTGTTCTTTTGACTTAATCTCCTGCACTAGATTTGATAGTTCCTTACTTGACTTCTGTTTCTCTTCTGAAATTTTCCTTTCTAGTTCAATTTGCAAATCTTTTTCAACTTTAGCGATTTTCAATTTCGTCTCTTCTTGGAGTGATTTTGCCACTGTCAAATCATTATGAGCTTCTTGAAGTTTGCTTTGCAAAACACTAATTTCATCGTCTTTTCTAGATTCAAGGTCTTTCAGTTTCAGTTGCAAATCATTTTCTTTTGCCAAAATGTTATCATTCAGTAACTTAATATCGTTCTCAAGTTTCTGGTTAAGTTCTTCAGCCATTTTCTTTTGCTTGTTCAATTTCTTACTAATGATTTCAGACTTTTTTAAATCTTCAGTAATCTCAGCTGCTTTGGTTTTGAAATCGTCCCTTTCTTGTTCTAAAGCTGCAATTTTCAGCTCAGAATCTGTTTTGACAGACTTCAATTCAAGTTCTTTCTCTTCCTTTTCTTTAACAAGTCTCTCTATATTTTCGTTATTTTTTCGCAAATCTGTTTCTAGCCTACTTCTTTCTCGTCCCCTTTCGTCCTTTTCCTTTTCTAATTCCCTAATTAATTCACCAATCTTTATTTCTTTTGCATGAAGATCATCCTGCATCTTGCTCTCGCTTGCAGACATTCCTTCTTGTGCACCTTTAAGTAGTTCCTCCAAACTAGCAATCTCGCTATTCTTTCCTTCCATTTGTCTTGATGTTTGTACCAATTTATCTTCAGTCTCCTCTAGTTTACCCTGTAATTCAGCTACATGGTTAGCAAGACTCTTTTCACGTTCTTCGAGGTCAGCTCGTGTTTTACTAATCTCATTCATTGTAGTTGATCTTTCTTCATCTAATTTTTTCTTTAGCTCATCTTTTGTGGTTTTTAGATTCTCTACTTCTTCAAGAATATTTTTTACATATTCTTCTCCTTTCAGCTTCTCGCTTTCTACCTTTTCAATTTCCATCTGCATTTCATCTATCTTTTTTTCTAAGTCTTTTCTTTCCTGAGTTTTAAGATCTTCATACTCCTGGGCCTTCTTCTCTGACTCCTTTAATGCATTTTCTAATTTTTCATTATGAGATTTGAAGTTTGAGTTCAAACTCTTCAGCTCAGACAATTCTTCTTCAGATGCCTTGTATTTTATTTCGATTTCTTTCAATTCCTTTTCCCATGAAGCAAGGCCGTTTTTCAACTTTGAAACTTCTTCATTCTGCTTGTCTGAGTTAACCTCATAGTTCTTCCTAGCCTCTTGAATCTGTGCCTCAGAATCTTCAATTACATCTTGCAGCCTTTTTTCTTTTGTTTCAATCTCGAAATTCTTTGCTTCCAATTCTTTCGTCAGTTCTTCAATTCGATTTTCAAATCCTGCGACAATGCTTTCTGAATCGCTTTGCTTCGACTGCATGTCTTCTATGATTTCTTCATGGTTCTGTATCTTAGTTTCCTTCTCTGAAATGTCATTACGCAGCTCTTTAATCATCTTTTTCATATCATTTATCTTACTTTCATACTTTCGCGTGGCTTTGCTAATTTCAACGTGCTTTTGCGACTCCTGCTCCTTCTGTTTACTTTCCATATCCTTCGTGAAACCTGCCTCCATTTCGGCAATTTTAGCCTCGTTTTGCTTTATCATCTCTTGCAACTCATTAACCTTGCTTGCACTTGCTCTTTTAACCTTGTTAACTTGCTGCTGTTGCTCATCCTGCTTGAGTTTCAACTGCCGTGTATGTTGCTGTACCAACTCAGTCACCTTTGCCTGGAAACAATATTAAATCTGATAAGATCATGTGCGACTTAACAATGGCTACACGAAGCCATACAATTTGATATGATCCATCACTTTCAACTGCATTTCATTGTACTGTTTATCGAAATTAAAATTTCAATTTCTGTGCAAAACAACAAATACTGAGCTACAGGTATAAAAAATTATTTCGGCATTTAAGAGACAACGCTCATTATCTACAAACTATATTTTGTCTATCCATACTGCCATCCCCTTGGTTAAAATGATTAGCTAAAAGAATTCACATACTAGCTAGTTGAGAAAGATAACAGAGAAGTTGGCCTCGAGCCGATTATCCAAAATGGGACATAACAAAAGCTGTTTTGGCAAAATTCTTACCTGCTCTTCAGATATTTTTGCGTTTGCATCATAACATTTCTTTTCCCAATCTAAAATAAGAAAAGTTGATTTATAGAAAAGAATTAGGATAATTTGAAACAGCTGGTATCATCTTATGCATTGCCTTGGTTGTACGAGATGCCAGTCACAAATATTGAATTTATATATGGCTAAAGTGATTTTCAATTTGATTTAAAAATTTCTGCGCAGTTCTAACTTTTCGAAACAAAAACGGATTTAAAGCTCTTGAGAGGTTTGATGATTATTATATTGTTCAAACTGTACGTTGTAACACAGTATCTTTGTGTTCACTTGAAACATCCGTGAGAAAAACACCAAGATTAGGCTGATGATTCACCATTGCAAGGGCCAAACGTCTTCTAGAAGAATGAAACTTTTTCTTCATCATACCTTTCTACAGCCGCTGACATCGTTTTCGATTGATCCAAACATTTACATTCTATGTTTTGCAATACATAGGCTTCAATACAATAATAAACAAAACAATCCATTCTAACAATCCTAAATTTGGTGCAAAATGGAAACAAAGTTGAAGCCCAGAAATATTATTTAGATAAAACTCTAAACTCACCCCCTCGCTCTTTGATCAGTGCCTGTATTTTATTCTTAGCGTTCGTATCTTTTTCTTCACAAACTTTCAATTCCTTATCGAGATCATTGATTTTGGATCTAAATTTCTCTAATTCCTCATCTTTGCTCTTCAGTGAATCTTTTTTCTGTTCGATCAACCGTTGAAATTCCTTCACCTTAGAAGAAAACAAGTTCCAAAGTGTTAAATGGCTATTATAAAGAAATGAATAGAGAAAATTGCAATAATCAGACCAAGCAAAAATAGAATTTTCTATATGAATCAGCATCCAAGTTAATATACAATGTTCGTTTATATACCTTCTCCGAAAACGTGACTTTTAATTCATCTTCTTTCTTCTGGTAAATAGCTTGCATTTCTTTCTCGTGCCTCAAGATTGCCTGCTCTAGAATTTTCTCCTTCAGTTCCTTTTCGATTTCCTTTCTCATGCTTTCTTGACCCTTTTGCAGCTTCTCAATTAGCTCACTCTTCTTTTTGTTTTCGTCTTTCTGCATTATTACCTCAGCCTTGAACTCATTCTTTTCAGCAACGAGTTTTTGCATATTCTCCATGATTTCCTGCAAAGCAGTCTTCTTCTCCTGCTCCAGTCGAATTATAACTTCATGTGCACTTCTTAGCTGACCCTGCAAAAATTTTTAATGATATAAATATAACCTCCGGGTAAACATAGGCAAAGTCTACCTCGTGCAACGCAGGTTCGAACACAGATACTGACGTCATATATCCATAACCGAATTCTCACAACCGTCTTTAATCAGAATCTAAATGTAATAACTGAACAAATTCAACACTATATAGCCTTACAACTATAAAGCCTTAAGCCTTTAACGGCTAGCAACACAAAACGTTATGCAAATTTTCACTCGTTGGATTTAATCAAATAAATTATTTTACTTTAATGGTTTATTTTTTTATCCTGGCAAATTTATAACAAGGGGCTCATAGCAACGATAACAGAACCGTACAAAAGCACACCAAAAGCCCTTATTTAAGCAGTGCAGCAAAAATAACAGATGCAGCGAGACAGCTCTATATATAATTCACCTACAACTATTTCTGCCACGACAGCAAATCACCGTATTAAAAACTTTTGTCCAATAAATGTTAGCAAAATATATGTAGCAAAATACTACGCAATAATAAAAAGAATTTCAGTAATCGTTCGCCAGAAAAGATCTGCCAAGAAACAGTTAGCAACAACTTCACATTACCTTGAACTTATCAATTTCTTTATTTTGTTCATCCAATTTTGACTGCAATTCTGCAACCTAGGAGAAAGACAAACTGAATTTTTAGTGACGCTTGTAAAGCCTTCAAATGCAACCAGAAGTCTTTGAACAAAAGTAACCGAAAGACTTTTCATTGCAGCCAAATACTCTTGCATTTAAAAAGCCATATTGCTCAACCAAAACATAAAACATTTCATTATGATTACGTGCAAAATTAAAGTGTACAAAGAATATATTGACTCAATCCATCTTGAAGTTAAAAGAATAGGCAAAATTAACAGTCTATCAGGAAAACAAATGACTGATACTCTGGAGAAGTTTTTGAAACATAACAGCCTGGAAACCCAAGACTTAGTCAATGGCACATGGAGAGTTTAAAAAAAAGGGTAACTTACTTTTTGACTGGAAGCTTCATGAGTACCTAGATTTGGAAAATAATTTGATAAACTTGTTTAGTAAGTAATAAAATAAAAAGATACATATCATAGCTTTTAGTTCAAGAAGGTGAATAAAGCTAACAAAAGGCAATCCAGAATTGACTGGACAAAAAAATACGCAGGAAAAATTTTGTATAGAGATCAATCTTGTGTCTATTAATAGCGCAATTAACTTTTCAAAAGTTTCACAGTTTATTTTTCTAGATTATAATACTGGATAATTAAGTCACATGTGGACAATATCTGGCTTTATTGTTCCATATAAAACAATATCATTGCAGAGAGCTACATAACAATAACAAACATGAAAAACTAGTAAGATTGCTACAAACATGTCTCACCTTGTGTACTTTCATGCGACTGGAAATAGAAAATGTAGCATTTTGTTATCAATTCAAACAAACAAAGTATCAAAATAGTACGGAAAAGTGGAAACATATCATATCATACTAAAGTACTTTTCCTCCCACATTCATCAGAGTATAACTGCGATTGGTCAAAACCAAAGTCAATTGATGCGCTATTCTTCCTCTCATGTTACCCTCCATCCACATCTGGATATAAATATTCTGCTTACTTTTAGACATTATCCAATTTTAATACTTTGACTAGTGTCAAATGAAAAGTACTCAAGTGTGATTTTAATAAAAAGTAACTATATTTTATAAATGCAGAATTCATGTGAAAATTTAGAAGAAAGGAAAATATTTTTGCAAGCCAGTGAAAATTCTTGTAAACTTAGCCAGCATTGGCCAATTGAATGTACATGGCTGATTTTTATATTTAAGACTACAATTGAATTAAAAAATTCAATAAAATACCTATGCAACTGCCTAAGTAATAACAAATCTCTTGAACAAACAGCTTATCAGCATTCTGCAACAGTTAATTAAAACTTGCATTTGATTTGTCATGATTTATGCGTAAAGTACATCCATATATCAGTGAAAAAAAGTAACTGTATCAACCTGATTGTTTGGTATCGCTCCACTAGAATCCTTCAGATAACTAACCTAAAATAAGTTAAAATGCAAGTCAAAAACACATTCTTTTTCTGATCTGTCTGTCTTTGAGTGGAACAGTGCTTATAATACTTTTTAACTTACACTCTACATAACAAACTTTTGCTAAAAATGGGAAAAAATATGCAAAACAAACTAAACATTCTTAAATGAAGATACAACAATATTTTTAGGGTCTGCTAAAATGGGAACTCACAAAACAAAGTTAAAATTGAATTAATCTGTACCTTTGTTTCTAAAACCTTTATCAGTTCATCTTTTTCTTCTAATGACAAACGCATTGCTTCTTCCATGTGTCTTTTTGCCTGTTGCTCTAGCTCAATTGTCTATTGATGATAAAAATGATATCTAAAAGAATCTAAATCAGCTGGAAATCTTAAAACTGAATATCTTATTCATAATATCTTATTTAGGGCAGATAAAAAGATAATTCTATCATTTTATCATGCTGTTGCAATCAGATTTGCAAGAGCAGCACTCTGTACAGACTATTTGAACAACTTTAAAATGGTTATCTAAGAGCCATTACCTGGACAATGGACATTATCAAGTTAGTGAATGATTCCCAAATATATTCTAATGATTTCCAACAGGTACCACAAACTTTTTTCTACTTAAATAATGCATGACATGGAGTGCTAAAATATATTTAAAAAATTACACTCCGATACAATACAAGAAACAAAAAATACACACTAAACATTCAAAAAATTGGCTCCAGAGTCCTCAAACAATTAACAATTTACCCTGCATAGAAAAATATATAAAACCTTTCATAATACCATGCTCAGTCTACAATTTCTTTAAAAACAAATTCAAAACTTCTGTATCCTTTATATTTTAGCAATGGCTGCAATGAAAGCTGACAACTTGGTTGAGAATTGCAATATTCTGTTTTCTTCAAAATCACTTCAATACCCTGCTAAGAGCTTTTAAAGACCTAATCTTTCGCACAATTATCAAAAAGTGACAAGATGTTTACCTCTTTCAGTTCTTTTACCCTCCTGAGTTGTTTGTCTTGCCCTGAAGTTAGGGTGTTCTAAAGAATATAAAGTTGACAAGGCTAACAAGTTGCATAGAATCAACTCATTGTGGTTTTATTCAATATTTTTGGAAAACTTACTTCAACCTACTAAAATTGGACTGAAATTAGTATTACCATTTCATCTTGCTGTAAAATGAACAATAAATAAAAGTTTTTTAGTTCTACCAATTGTATTTCCTTGTTGCAAGATTAAAATAACATCAATAGAGAATATAAACTTTGAAAAAATTATTACATATAAATTCAAAATGGTTATTACCAATTCCATTCAAACAAAACTCTTTTACCTCAAGCTTTTCTTTTTCCTTTTGCAAACCTTTATATGCATCAACAACCTATGAGTATTTCAAAGAAACTGTTATACTTATGCAGCATATAAATGAATATTCAAGAAAGTAGACAGTTAGCTTTTACTCATTTGCAGGTTGAGTGAATTTTAAAAATAATTCAGCTTTAACTAAATGACATGGACTGCCTTTATATTCAACCTTGATCTTCTGACCTAAGCTGTGAAATAATCTGAATTTACAAACAACTGTGCTAAAAATATACATTTAAACAAGATTAAAGTTTTGTTTTTGCCTTTGATAGAAAATCCAGTTATAAACATGTCTGAAGTAGATTCACAAACCTCTGTAAACCTTGTCTTGTATCTGCTTAATGTCTTTTCTTGCTTCCTGTATAAATGCATGAGCTCATCAGGAGTAAGACTGCTAATTGCAGTTGAAGTATCAAGATCCATTTCGTGATCAGATCTCTCGTGAGAGGGAGTAGACTGAGCTGATGACATAGAGAAGTCTAATGCTTTGTGACTCTTTGGTGTGGAAGGAACAGAGCTTGGTGTTGAGGTTTTTGAGTCTTTTCGTTGGCTTCCTGCATTATTTTCCTTTTGCCTCAAATCAGGAGATACAGCAGATGAACTTGAAACTCCAAGGGGGTCAGAAACATCTTTATCCGTACTTTCTTGCTGATCCAAAATCCCATTATTTTCTGCTTGTGCTTTTCCAACCTATCACAACATTAATCCGCTACAAAAATTTGATCAATCAAAATGGGATTCTAGCAAGTGAGTTTGTTATATGCTGCAATAAAACTCTTAATATTCTAAAGCATGTTAAAACGATGAAGAACATCCCCCTCCTCCCAAGTATATACAGGGAAAACACTATGATAATCTATTCTACCAAAATTGATAAATCTTACCTCAAGAAGATGGTGAACTCTAGCTAAAACATCATGAGGAGAATTTCTTCTTGTTGACTTGTCAGAAGAAACTGGTGTACCAGGATGACTTTCTGCCTTATTGCTGTCTTGAGCTGCCTTTTTCTCCTGCGTCTTCACTTGGGGTGATTTTGAGCCTCTCTAAAACATATAACTCAACAGGTCAAAGAAGGAAAAAGCTATTGCCATGCAGTTAAACATTAAAAAAAATATAAATATATTTTACAATTAGAAGCAGCAATCATTCTCATATCATATTGAAAATTTTCTTTTATGCAAAAATCCACATTCAGGTTGTTAATGAGCACTTTGCACTGTGTTAGATTTAATCTACTCCTCAATATTTGCAGTGGAATTAATTTCAATTGCATTGAGATGTTGTTAATTCATCTTTCCTTTGCTTTGATATACCAGCTTTGTATTGTCTATGTTACTTGCTTTGGTAACAAAAGATGACTGGAAATGTGTTAACTGATGAAACATTTATTCCTCGCAATCCACTGTTTTGCCCAAGTGATCAAACAATCATGTGATCGGGTTTGCGGCAGTGCTGACATTATCACAAGGGATCCCACACATCAACTGGAAATGCCTGGGTTTAACCAACTAGATTACTAGCCAGAAACATAAATATTTTCATTCCAAACAAAACCCCCTAAATACAATTAAGATGTTCAAAAAATCTTTAGATAGCAACATCTAGTACAAAGTTGAATAAAGTTGAACAAAATTGAATAGAGGAAAAATTTTACGAAGGAGATCCTAAAGAGAAGCTCTTTCAATTGTAAAACTAATTGAGGAAAGAGCTCCTCTTATAGACAGACTTCAGAGCACATCTATAAAACTCTGAGCAATAACATTTCTTCTTACCTAACAATAACTTCTAAATCTCAAGATTTTTATAGAGACATACATTTCTAACTCTTTTTCTTCTGCTATTGCTTAGAAGAATGCTCTTAAAGCATAGGTTCGTGGTATTCACTTGTTGTTAGAAATTTTGATAAGCTACACACTACACACACACTTACACATTTACTATCAAGATCATTAGGTCTGCGGCACCACCCATTGAATTAATGACAATCTATGATAAATAAATACAAAACAAAAGGAATCGAGGAAATTACTTATGTTGTGGGGTAGTTACCTAAGTGCAAAGAAAATGGTGCTCATATTGTTTTTTGACTGGCACAACTGTTAGGAGACCAGTCTCACGGTTGTACCTGCAGTTTAGTTTTTGTTATCAACAGGACAGCTCAGTAACTTTACTTTCTTCTTTAAGAATGAATTATTGTGTAATTTTCCTGCTCGCTTGAAACAATGCAGTTTGCTGTTATTTCAAATACAATTGAAAAGCAATTAAATCTTGCAGGCCTTGCTGAAAACATAGGCCTAATAGCGAACAACTGACTTACCTCCGGAACACTTCCCCTAAGTGGAGTTTGCCTTCCTGGACTCACACCCTCTTGTCCTGTCGCAATCTTCTGCTTCAGATTTTTAAACATGATGCTGAAGCCACTGCAAATATTTTCCTTATCTTTTTACGAGCATGGAAAAGCCTCAACCTGTATTTTCTTTCCAAGTTGGCCTTCCGCCATGACGAATTTGTTGACACGTCTGCATACTTGATGTTATTAGACCCAGGCTCCTTCACCGGGGCAACGAAAGGAAGTTTGGGTGTCGCTCGCGATTTACCCAAATCGATCAGCTATGCATGAAAAATTATTTGTTTCAAGTCTATAAACCTTCCCGACCCATCGAGAGCAGCCTCCTTGATACCAGAGTTTCATAATGCGAATATATTTGCAAAAACAGGTTGATATGAACATCTAATCCATGTTTTTTTAGCATATATACCGGGAAAGTAAATGCCCCTCAAGGCACACTGATTTTCCATCGCTTATTGTTTATACGTTCGAGACAAAGGCAAGAGAAGAACACCGTTAAAGAACTTGTCTTCTATAAAAATATATTTAATTTTTTCACTTTTTGAGTTTTTTTCTAGGTTTGTAATGACTATATTAGACAGGGAATTTTGCATAACAATCTAGCAAACTGAGTAACCGAAGTTTTTAAAGTTTAAATCATAAGAGTAAAGGCCACTGATCATTTTAAGCCCTGGGAACATTCTGGCAAATTACCGGAAGTTGCGTTTCCGGAAGCATGAAAAATGCACGGTCATCAGAATTTCAATTTTTGAACTTTTCAAATCTGATGATACTACCGGAAAGAACATGCAAAACTGAGCAAAAGATTTAATAAGAGCAATGTGATCTGACCTATAAGCAAAAAGTTATGGCTGTGGAAACTTTTCATTTTGTCAAACAACCTGCTTTCTCGAGTTTCCTGATAGTGCAGACGCATAGCAGTAGAATTGTTCATGTTATGATAATAGCATGAAGTTTAGTACAAGTACACAATCCGATAAGCTATTTTTGGACTGGGGTACTGGTACCCAGTCCTCTTTCTGGTATAGCACTACAACCTTCTTAACATTGCAAGTTATAAAGATGAAACTTTTTTCTGGCGTTATTCGATGTGCTGGATAAAATGGGATGCAAAAAGCTTTAAAAATTTCACAAAAGCAATTTTAAACTATGGTTCTTGTACCCAGTCCTATATTGGGTCTTGCACTGTAACTTTGTAACTATTCTAACTGAAACTTGGTTTCCTGACGTAATCTGAAGTGCTAGATAAAGTGAAATGTAGACCTAGTTTTAAAATTTCACCAAAGGCTTTATTTAGACTGAGGTACTTATACCTAGTCCATTGCTGGCTATCGCACTAAAACTTTATGACTAGGCAAGCTCATAAAACGTTGTAGTTTATCTCTTTGCTTTATAACAGAGGAAAGTAAAAGAACAAGAAAGAAATTAAACGGCTACATGAAGATGATTTAAGGGCTTACTGCATTTAAGGGCTTAACCTAAAACTTACTGCATATTGGTATCTATTAGCTACTCTTTGAAAATATCACCATACAAAGCCGACTCGTAAAATAATACGTGTTGGAAAACCAAATCATAATTGACATAATTGACAAATCATAAAACGTTTAGAGAACTAGGCGAAAAATATGATGCCTGATGGAGATTAAAAGTCATGTTTAAGATTATATTGTAAACCTATATTTTTCTCGATAGTTTCTAAAAATAGAGTTACTTAATACAAACTTATTTTGATAAACTATATTGTGAAATTTCTTCCCACCCGATTAACTCGTTATATGCATACTGTAATAGTGCTAGCGTTAGAATATTGAGTAGCGTATGACAAAAAAGTATTTGTTAGCATCAAATAAGGAAAATTTTTGCGTCTGATATTTGAGAGATTTTGGTCTCTGTCTTAAAAAATATAAACTTCAGTTAATGTAAGGAATAATGATATATGTCAAATTTTAATTACTTCTAATGAAATATTTTTTTAGCTTTTAGGTTCTCTACTATTTCAAGTGACGTTAAATCGAGTGTTTCATGTTGCCCTTTTTTGTAGATATTCCCATGGACAATGTTGGCACTTTCTTGATCCTTAGAATCGCAGTCTTCTTTCTTTTTTATTCGATCAGGCCAAATGTTATTGACCAGGACAAAAGAGAACAGCATCACCAAGCTGACTTCACCAAAAATAAGAAACGTTATCGAGTGTCCAAATTCGTGTACCATTATTCCTCCTGTCAAACCCCCAATTGAAAATCCAAGACCAGTGTGAACTCCACTGAAGACGCTTTGTAATACTGCACCAGATCCAGGCTCCTGGCCGAGATAGGAAACTAGAGCCAAGCGAACAGCTCCTGCAGTCATTCCGTGGGTAATCTCTACCGGCAGAACCAGCCAAGGAGCTCTTAGGAACGAGTAGTAGAAGAACCGAATCGCAAAGCAGAACAGACCAATATATATAACTCTGAAGTGGCCGATGCAGTTGATTATCTTGTCGGAGAGTAGGTAGAACAGCACCTCAGCCGTACTGTTTATGAGGGTGACCAACGCCATCAAGACCTGAATCCCTCCCATCTCGCGCAAATGCCAAAAAAGGAAAGTCGATATAAAACCACTGCCCATTCCACAATAAAAAGTGACAATAAGCAAAGCGCCTAGGTGAATGTCATGGATGGATTTGAGTCCTTTAAAGAAACCTGGTCGTTTCGAGTCAGCATCATATTCGTATTTAATTTGTGATCCAACTAAAAGTGTAATTGTCATGAAAATAGAGAATACATAAAAACAGGGCAAGTAGTTGATGTCTGCTTTGCGAGTGCAATAGTTTGTGATATGAATGAAATTAACGACTATTCCTATCAAAAATGCGAAAAAACCGAACCCAACGGACCCCCATAGCGCTTGATGACCGAAATGATAAGATTTCTCTTTCAGCCTCTGGAGAGTGAATACATCCACCAAAACGAGGCTCGGTGCTGAGACCATCATACCGACGATTGTGATGAGCAACAACAAGACGTAAATTCTCGACGAATCCAGTACGTGTTGATCAGGATCATATGCAGAGTATTTTGCAGTCAAATTAGAATTGTTAGCTTTATAAATTCTTACTATACCGTATGCATCTTTCCTAGGGTGTTTAGTTGATACTTCCTTTGTCTCTCGTGACATTTTATCCAAAACACTAAAATCAAACCATACATCCTCAACATCATCGGTTTCTGCAGTTCGTTTCATGCCCATCTTGAAGCATGCCTTTGGCTGTTCTGCGGGCACGATGACCAATGCCATTGTAGATACAAGCCACGCGAAAATCGCAATAAGAAGAATCAACTTGTGTCTCTGATACTTGTCAGCAATCCCGGTCCAAAATGGGACGCAAATAAACTGTACTAATGTTCTTGATGCAACGATTGTCCCTGCTTGTCTTGGCGTCAGAAATAATTGCTTAAAATACAGGGGCAAATAGGGCCAAAGTGCCCCTAAGGCTGCTTGATAACAAAAGTACAGTAACTTACATTGAAATAATGATCTATTAACCCCAGCAAGGCAATTACGATTGACTTCATTTCCATCTTTTGTATCACTTGACTTTTCATTTTCATCATAAGCTAGTTGACAATTTTCATTGCTTCGTTGAGAATCATCAGTGCACACGCCTGGATTCTCAATTTCTGCTTTCTTACATTCCGTCGATCTTTTGAAACCGTCTTCCTTGTACGTACTTGGAACACCTTCTGCATCTCTAATAACCCCATCTTCCTTTGAAAGTTCATTTTCCATCAAAACAAGCTACAATACAACACTTTTTTGTCCGGATACATCGAGATCCTTTCCTAAAGATGAACCCTGCCTGCTGTGCTACCCCCTTTGCATCTCAGTTCGTTTTCAGCTTGGCGTTTACCCTAAACTCGTTCGCTGATAATCGACGCAGAAATGCCAGCACAATCTCGGCCTCCGATTCTCCTTCACTATCCGGCCACCTGCCCCAGTAGCAAACTGATTTCACAGGTGGGCTTCTCTCCATCACCCTATAGGCAAGCAAGCAAGTCAATACCGGTTTTTTCTAAAACAAAATCTTGAGAAACTTGTTCTTCTTCATTACAAACGGTTTAGAAGATCCAAATAAATTAGATATCATGCAATAATTTTATGTGCTATCTTCATTACTTCTATGACAGGAATTTTTCATATATACCCACAACGCATTCTTCGATTTTGTAGCCAGAAAATCTAGGTTAGGCAGGCGAGTTTCAGGACAGATAGAAAGAAAAATAAATAATAGCGATCTTAATCTTAGTAGCGATCTTAATCAAAGTTTTCATAACCAAGCATATGGCACTAATGCAAAACAAGGCTGACTGTTTAAGATGAATTTGGTAAAGCCACTATAAGCCAATATCGACAGAAGACCCAATGAAACCCATAAAATAATTGCAAAGCCTAAAACTGCAGTAATATAAGCTAATGCACAAACTTTGCTCAACCAAAAAATTATTTGGAAACATATAAGCTTTTTCAAGGAAACCGCCCCATTTCAGAGGAACTCTTAGATTTAAAGTTAACGACACTAAATTAAAGGTTTTCATTAAAAAATGGGGTTTAGCCTTGAAATTTTTTAATTTTTGAAGTTCTCCTTATAACCATACATTTTTCAATTTAGAATGGAATTACCTGGGTGGTTAGAATAGAAATGACGTTTTGCAAAGAAAATTACAAGAGTATTTTGCTGAAGAGCGGAAATTCATACAATACTGTAGCCTATTTTAGAATCGGTGCTGTGCAAAATTCATTTTAAATTCATCAAGACTAGAATCCGCAGCCAACATTTCCTTCAAAATGAAAACAAGAAGAAATTTCCTCATATTTTCCCTTTGTCTCCCCAAAACAAGTCAAATAAAATGATCATCAAAATGCAAAAACATCGTAAGAACTAACAAAGCCGTGATAAATCAAGTCCAGTCCAATTGGCAATTATGAAATCACAGTTGCCCAACTTTCCAAATGTTTGCATCTCATTAAAGGGGAATTTTATTTTTCACAGATTACACATTGCTTTGTTTGCAATACAGTAAAACAAAGTATATTTTCGATGCATGCTTAGCTTCGAGACACAAGTTGCCATGGCTGGAGAGATAGTCACGTGATGAATCTCGCGCATGATCTTTCAATTTGTGAACCCGCACAGGTAGTATTCATCGAAACAGAAAAAGTTTGATTTCTGCAGGTTAGATCAAGTTAAACATAACATTAAAGTTAGAGAGGAGAATCTTTGGATTTTAGAGCTTCACTTCCGTTGTCAATTGGAGGAGTTTTTTAGAAGTTTTCAATGTTTCTCGTGAAAATCAACTCTAATTGGAGCCGATTGCCTTACATGGAAAATTGAATCTGCTATAAAAACTAGGACAAAGTGCATTTCCATATATCAATCTGATCAGCAAACCGTAGAAGCGTCCAGCGACAATAATTCTGCAAAAGTAATTTCGTAGAAAACTGAAGATACTGCCAAAGAAAAAGAAAATAAGCTGCCTTAATTCATCGAGGATCCAAAGAAGAATTTTGCACTCTCATTCTTTGGCAATGTATCTACAAGCTTTGGAAAATACAATATGCTTTCTTTCAGTCAAAGAAATGTTTTAAACTGATTTTTCAATATTAAATTATCTAGGAGGTCGTCAATCAGTAACCATACACAATGGATGGTAGTGAAGATGGAAAGAAACTCCGTTTAGAAGATGAAGATGCGACGTTTCACATGCAAATCGAACATTCTAAAGGAACACACGAGCCAAGGACAGAACACGAAGAAGAGGAGATATTGATTGAGCAAGAAGGGCTGGAAACGAATTTCTATAGTGAAGAACCTGGGGAGAAGCTGTATCTGATTGAATCAAAAAGTGACAGCAAAAATGAAGAGGAAGAAAAGAATAAATGTTGTCCTAACGTAAATAGAAAGTATCTAGTACCAAAGGGATTCTTCTTTTTCTTCTATGCATCAAACGGTGTTCTGATGCCTTATTTGATTTTATTTTTCAAGCAGCTACAGCTGTCAGCAAGCCAAGTTGGCATTGTTGCTGGCATGAAGCCGTACATCGCGTTTATCTTCATCCCAATTTGGGGATACATCGCAGATAAAACGAAAAAAGCAAAATGGATTTATACATTGGCTATGATAACATTTGCAATTGGGTATTTCCTGTTTTCGCTAGCACCTGCCGACCATGTTTGTAGAGCCAAAAGCAACTCAACAAAGCACAAAATAGATATGCCAATGACACACGAACATGGAAAGCGATCCTATCCTACAAAGTATCAACATCATCGCAGCCATATTAACCAGTCATTTGATTATTTGAACTCTGTAACTCGTCGCAACGACAACACTCTTCCATGGATTTTAGACGTTACCAATTCCATTGACTCTGAGTTGAATTTTCAACAACGGGACGATGTCCATGTTGATATTCAGTCAATTTTCATATACCTCCTGCTTGTCAGTATTTTAAAAACAGTATTTTCCTGCCCAGCTTTGACGATTGTTGACACAACTACAGTTCAAATGTTAAAGGAAAATGGAGAAGCTAATAAGTACGGGCGGCAAAGACTCTGGGGAGCTATAGGTTGGGGAACAACTGCTTTTGGAGTTGGTGCTATTCTCAGCACATTGCCTCTATGTCCTGGAACTAATGACGAAATAAACTACTATCCAGCCTTTTATATATTCACAGGATTGATGTTGATAGCATTTGTAATTGGCTTACGTTTGGAGTTTGACGAAAAAAGAGATGACCATCATGCGCAATCTAAGAAAAACAGTTTGCACGAGGGCCTAAAAACGATGAAAAATCCACAGTTCATTTATTTCATCATAACAGCTTTCTACGTCGGCGTGGCTATGGCAGTAATCCGCACCTTTCTCTTTTGGCATCTGAAAGATCTGGGTGGAACACAACTTCTATTTAGTATAATATCAGCAGTCAATTGTGCAGCTGAAGTGTTTATGTACTTCTTATCGGCTTGGTTCATAAACTCGCTTGGACATATCGGTGTATTGTACATTGGACTGCTTTGCTATGCGGTGAGATTGTTCTTTTATGCAATGGTTAAAAATCCATGGCATGTTCTGTTTGTCGAGCCTCTCTCTGGGATAACCACAGCCGCGGTTTGGGCAGCGATGGCATCGTATGTTGGAGTACACTCAGTTCCAGGCTCCGCAACGACTGTTCAAGGTAAGGTCTGATCTTTCAGCAATGTAACTCTACTGTTTATTACGCAATCGACTCAAGCATTTACAATTCATATATTTGTTTAACACAATCACGTTAATGTAAGTATGCTTAATATCAACACGAGGAAAGCAAGCATTGCAAAATTTTTAATCATCGAATATTGTCTTACGTGATTATGCAATACTATTATGTAACACAAACGGCACACGAACTTCATATTTATTTGAAATGAATATTCATATTTGATAATGAAGTTAATTGAAAAAATATATAATTCACATTTCATGTTATGCTACAGTTTATAATTTTCTGAGTTCATTTTATGCCTTATCTGAGTGGAACCAATGCAATAGCAAAATAGTGCTGTTTTCTGGAAAAGAATTACTAATTCTGTTGTTTTGTCCTGAATTCACAGGCGTACTGCATGGTGTTCACTGGGGCCTAGGCCATGGATGCGGCGAGTTGATAGGTGGTTTCATGATAAGTGGAATCGGAGCTGAAAGGACGTTTGGAATATTTGGTGTCCTCAGTATCATTGACTTAGTGTTCTTCATACTCGTCAACGTATTGCATGATAAATGTTGTCCGGAAAAGGAGAAAAGTGTTTTGGACAAAAAAGAGTACAAACCACTTGTGGAGAATGAATTCTGTCAACATTAGGAGTTGTGCTTGATTAAAGTTACCAACGTCAGATTTTGTAAATGTGATGAGAGATGAGAGAGGACTTACTAAATAGGCTGGAAATCCAACAGTTATACCCAATGGAAACATTAACTAGAATAAGTTGATTTCTTAAAAGCAGAGCTTTTCTAGTAGCTTGGGCACACAAGTTCACGTATCTTATTGTGACTACATCAATCGCAGAGCTACTTCTTGCAGAAAGTAGCTTCGTGAAGTTTGTTTAAAATAACTAGAGTATAGATAAATATATTTGCCTACTTTTTTAAGATTTCATTTGAATCTGCAAATATAATAAACAACGAGCGCTTCTTTAATGCTAGCTAATTAATGCTTTTTATGTATTTGAATCGTTTTGTAAAAAGCTGTGCGTCTTTGTTACATTGTGTTATGATTTGGAGAATAACGGTCTCAATCTGTCTTCCGGAAAGATTTTAACTGCGGGTAGTTGGTGAAAGATACCAAAAGACACACCATTAAGACATAAAGGCGATCTTTCGATGTTTGTTCTCTATAATCCCGTAGGAGGGCTTTTCGGTCCTTTTTGACTTTACCCCAGAATTGGGCAACGAAGAAATAAAATAGGACATAATAATCCTTTTAAAGCTCTACAGCCCGTCACAGAATACATTTAGTCCAATCTCAGAACCTCTTTGCGATATTTTCAATCTTTCAATTGCTACTGGTTGTTTTCCTGATAGCTGGATAATTTCCAGAGTAGCCCCAATTTTTAAAAATGATCAACCTAACAATCGATCTAACTACCGACCTATATCTGTCCTGCCTGTTTTAGCCAGGGTATTTGAAAAACTTATCTTTAACCAGCTGTATGATTATTTGGACAAAAAACAAACATCTATCTTCAAACCTATCTGGCTTCAGAGCTCTTCATTCTGTTGCCACTTGCCTTTTTAATAACACAGATGACTGGTATGTAAACATGGACGATGGCAGATACACTGCAAATATTTTCATTGATCTCAAAAAAGCATTTGACACCGTAGACCATGACATTTTACTTGCGAAGTTGAGAAAGTATGGTGTTGAAAACCTAGAACTTACTTGGTTTACGTCATATCTAACCACTAGAAAGCATTTCTGCAAAGTAAATGGGGTATGTTTTAAAACCGAAGATATTAACTGTGGAGTCCCCCAGGGTTCATGTCTTGGCCCTCTATTGTTTCTGATTTATATCAATGATCTTCCGTTCTCTCTGAAAAAAAGTAGAGTGACGATGTACGCCGACGACACAAGTATTTCTTACTCTTCTTCGAGCTTAGCAGATATAAATCAAACTCTAAACAGTGAACGATTTAAAGCAATGGTTGCAAGGTAATAAACTTTCTCTGAATGTTCTAAAAACACAAGCTCTGATTATAGCTCCCAGCCCAAAATTAAGAAAATTACTGATAAAACAGTTGATCATCCACAGTTTTTTATTGGTGACTCTCAAGTTGAAAATGTTGACCGAACAAAGTATCTGGGTGTGATAATCGATAGAAGCTTAAATTGGGAAGAACACGTTAACAGTCTCTGTACCAAAGTTTCTCGTGCAATCAGATTTTTGAAACATTCCAGAATTTTTTTTCCTGAAAACACGTTGAGTAAAATGTATCGAGGTATCGTCGATCCCCATTTTCGGTTCTGCTGTTCGGTATGGGGGTGCTGTGGGGTAACTAAACTGCAATCGTTGCGAAAGCTGAAGAATCGAGCAGCTAGAATAGTAGATAATGGCAGAGTTGATGCGCCTGCTATGCCACTGATTCGCAGTTTGGGTTGGCCAACTATAGATGACATTATTAGAAGCGGAACAGCTACAACAATGTACAAGTCATTAAATGGGCTCGTCCCAAAGTACCTTTACAACCTGTTCGAAAAAAATTCGACTCGAAATGTTAGAAAACTGAGAAATACCGATACCGATCTTTCGCTACCCTTACGGAAAACAAACAATGGGCAAAGAGCTATTTCTTTTCGTGGACCTAAGCTTTGGAACCAACTTGAACCTGATGCCAAACAGGCACCTTCCCTTGCCACCTTCAAGAGAAGAATCAAAAACTAACTATTTATTTTCTGTATTTATTTTCTTACTTATTAATGTTTTTGTCACGGCCCCCTGAAAAGCAGTTCTCGTGGACTAATGGGGCTACCGTGCCTAAATAAATGAAAATGTAAAAAAAATGTAAATGTAAACGATGAAACATATCAAATTGGCAACTGTCAAGATTCTCCTTCAATGTTGTGGTGATGTTGCTACTGCACACGATGTTAGCATTTGCGACTATCATTTTCCCTCTAAACAGCAATACTTAGGAGGGCAAGTGGGAGAGGAGACTGGGAGAGGGGAGGGAAAGTGGGACAGGAAAAGAAAGCGGGAAGAAAGAGTAGGAAAGTTGGAAAAAAGAGTGGGAAAGTGGAAAAGGAGAGTGGGAAAATGGAAAAGGAGAGTGGGAGAGAGGGAGGGGAGAGTTGACATTGAGATGAAAATAGTTGGAACTTATGATAGAAACTACGAAGAGTTTAGCAAATAATTTCCACGAATTGCTCTTGGTATCATACACCAAACAAAAGTTTGATGCAAAAGATTTTGATGCAATATAAAACATTTAATGAGTGATGATGCAAAAGATTTTAACAAGTCAACTGACGATAGGCAGAGATGTCTGCATAGAGATATCACAAGACTGTTGTACTAGGTGAATTGTAGAATGCAAAAAACATTTTTACTCCAATGGTTTGGTTCCATATGAAACATTTCTGGAGGTTCATCTTAAGTTTAACGTTCAATCGTTCAGGTGGTATGACGAAAAAGTCCCAAGCCGAATTAATTATGAAAATTTACATTTTTTAAGATCAGATTTTAAAATTTCATTTTAAAAGAGACAGATTAATTTGATCATGTCGTGCAAGCAGAGTGGACTCATTCTGAAACAAATTCAATATATTTTACAATTCTCATTTTCACCTAAAATTATATACGTTAATCATTAACATACAGTCATTAAGCCAGTCGTTATCATTTACAAAATAACAGCTAAGTAAAGACCTTAAAATGATCGATATGATACCAAAATGTAGCTAGAATGTCAGCATACAACATGTTTACTCTATGCAAACTTTTGTTAATAAATCTGCATTAATGATTGATCCATCCTGGATGTTTAGCAAAGATTTGTCTTCTTCTTGGAATTAGATAATTCTGATTCACTGAACATCCAGAAAATATTTAAAGGGGTGTGGAAAGTTTAACAGTAGATATATTAAATCTACATTTATTGTCACATTTTTCTATAAGATAGAATTCTAGATAAGGAAACACCTTTGTATTTAAGTTGTCGAATGGTAAACATCACTGAACTACAAACGGTCATCAGCACTGGCTAAGCTGAAGCTTCTTTTGACTGCTAAACAAATCTTTTTTACAACGTCTAAAGAAGAATAAGATGTTGCTGAACTATTTAGGAAAACGACTTTCATGGCTATATAATTATTTGATGCCTAAATTGAAACCTAAATTAAAACTCAGCCAGGATTCTCAGTTAAAGTTTTGTTTCCATCTAAACTTTCATCAACAATTGTCTCTTCGTCTTCCGTCTTATCCGCGTCTGTTTTGAGTTTTTCAAGTTTATCAGTTTCGTTAAGTCCTTCTGGTACTTTCAGCTCAATTTCCTCAGTTCCGATAGCTTCTTGCTCTCCAGGACCAAGATCGGATCCGTGTGGAACGTCTAATTCAGCACTCTCATCTTCATCAATCTCTGGGACCTTCTCCGCCTCGTTTCCTTTATCTTGGCCAGGATCAATATTTGCCATGTTTGTTTGCTGAGTATCTTTATCTTTAACATCCATTGCTTCACCGTAAGAGCTCTGTTTAGCCTCTTCGTCATCATCACTTAATTGAATAACGCCTTTTCTCTTCTCCTGGGCTTTCTCCCATGCAATTCGCTCTTCTTCCGGCAAGTTATTAACATCTAAATCAGTCTGCGTTTCATCATCTCTTATCTGGGAACTGTCTTTTTTCCCCCAAATCATATTTATCAAAATATACAGCAGTAAGACTACAATGCAGAGTATGCCAAACAAGACAAACGTTGTTGGCGCTCCATAATGATGAACGAGAATTCCACCAATAACTTCCCCGGCCCCATAGCCAAGACCCCAATGTACTCCATGTAAGATGCACTGCATCGTCGTTTGGGCGCCAGGCCTCGAATTCAAACTAACGTAAGATAAACAGGCAGCCCATACTGCTGCAGTTGTTATTCCAGGCAACAACTCTACTGCTAAAACCATCCACGTGTATGGAATAACAGAGTAGTAAAATAATCTAATTGAGTAGCAGATTAGCCCTAAATATAAAACCCTAATTTGTCCAATCTTTTTTATTAGCTTTTCTGACAGGAAGTACATACTCACTTCTGCAACACAGTTTACTGCAGAAATAACACTAAAAAGCAACTGCGTACCGCCCAAGTCCTTTAGGTGCCAGAATAGGAATGTTTTGATGAACGCCATAAGAAAACCAAGGTACAGCGCTGTAAATAAAAACATCACATATGTTGGGCTTTTCAGGGCACTTAGGCCGACACCTAGAGATGTACCTTGTCCTCCTTTTCCTTCTTTTGTTTTGAACCTGAATCTGATGGCAACGATTAGGCCTAGCGTCATCATAACGGCAAAAACATAAAACGCAGGAATGTAGTCGACAATCTCGCGGTTTTTCTTCATGGAGCATTTATGTGTAGTTTGTAGCGATGCCCCGACTATAAAAGCTCCCATTCCCCATCCAAGCGACCCTGTAAGTCTTTGCCTACCGTACCGATGTGTCTCTTTTCCTAACATCTGTAAAGTTGCAGTATCAACTAATGCAAGCGCTGGTGCTGCTATTAAGGTGCCAAACAGCGTGATGAGGAACAAGCTTGTAAAAGTTCTAGAGGCATCGATTTTGTATTTGACTTGAATCGGATCTTGATCCAGATTAGTTGAAAAGAAATCCATAACCCAGGGCCAGCGGCTTTTGGAAAAAAAGAAGCTAAGAGAATCTGTTTCCGATTCTGCCCCATAAGTAACCATTTTGTCGATTTCCGATCCGGTCATCTGCATAAAATCTGCCAAATCCGTGCGATTGCAATGATTGTTGATAACAACCTTCTGCTGTGCAGGGCCGGGTACGAGGCACATGGCAAACGTTGATGTGATCAAAGCGATCATCGAAACTACAACGGCAAATTTGTGAATGTGGAACTTGTCTACGATGGCACCCCACACAGGAGTGGCGAGAAAGTTCACGAAGGGTTTCAGCCCCAACAGAATTCCTACTTGGCTTGGAGTTAGGAGTAACTGTTTGAAATACAGGGCAAGGTAAGGCAGCAGCGAACCCCATGCTGAGAAAAAGCAAAAATAAAATGCTTTAGGTAGCAAAAGTTTTCGATTTATTTGTGGGCAAGCTCGATTCTGTGCTTTGCGCTCATCCGTGGTGGAGAGTCTATCGCTGTCATCTTCTTCGTAACTTTTGGATTCTTGTTGCGCTTCTTCATCTCCACCCAAGCCCATAATCTGTCTGCATTAATTCTCCTTATAAAGTAATAAAATCCTTTCTTCGCTAGGTTCCAGCGACTCTGCAAAGGGAAGTTTCAACGCTAAACTGCATGTAGCAGAAATAAATGCAATGCTTCGCAACTGCCAGTGCTGTTGGACTGCAAAGGATTTCGTGCTCTAATTACAAAGGCGCTGAAACTTCACAGTTGTTCCATTCTTCGCTGGCATATTTCGGCACTGGACATTGAAATTGTTTCAAAAGGTCCCTGACCTAATCGAAGTTGCTCAAATACCAAGCTCGAACATAATTCATAATCATTGACCATTGACCTTGTATTCACCATTCGCGCCTCTGACTGCACAAATTCGCAATTCATGGTGCTGGTATGACCCATATGAGCAAGGCTATATATTTATTCTTAACTGCATAAAGCGCCCAAACAACGACATTCCTTCATACTTAGTTCATCTAAAGTCACAACATGCAGTGCCTGGTAAGGCATAAATGTTCGCTCATCTACTTGGCCTAAATGTGCGCTTTATCGATATGGTCTAAATGTGCGCCTCATCGGCATGGCCTACGTACTGATTTGATTTGCATATGGCCTAATCAAGTTCCTTACTAAAACAAAACTTTTACGTGTGCATCGATTAAAGTCATCGAGTTCAACGGGGAAATAAAAGCTGGACGTAATAGAATTTTCAAAGGATTGCTAGCTAATAATAAATCAGTGTTGATACTTTTTTACGAAAAGGATTTCTCTGGGAAGATCTGCTAAAAGCAATAAGTTAAATTCTCGAAAAGAGAAATGAATGTATAAGAAGACCATTTAGAAAACCAGTTTTTTATCCACACTAAGTGAAATTAGCATAAAGAAATGAAAGCTGTTATGGCGGAACTAAAATAAGCTTTTCAGCCGTTTTCGTAATTGAACAAATACGTTGCAAAACATTTCAGCCTTTTCGTAATTGAACAATTATAGCACAAGAGATAGCTTTAGTCTTGTTCGTCACATCTTATAGATAGAGATCTAAGAAAATGTGCGTGTCATTTTGCTGCTTTTTGCTCGTCAAATAACACTACAAGATAAAAGGCTTACTTGCAGATTTCTTGAAGTGGTAATCGTTTTTAAACTAAAGTTGTGGAAAACGTGAGCGTTTAGCATATAACTCGATTCGAGAAGTCTAGCAGACATGAAAGTAGGCCTAATTATTTTGACTCGAGAGGAAACAAGCAAGTAATAGAAAGACACGACACATAAAACAGCAAGCAATAAATTGAATACAGTTTCAATTCAAAACAAAATGTCTAAGAAAGGGGCGGACGAGGAAATCTTTGAAGATTTTGTGAGCTTGGGCCTCGATGGCGTTCGTTCCGGCATCTCCTGAGAATTTGAGATTAATAGCCTCGATGATCGCAGAAGTTTAGGCCTGAAAGAGGCCAGGCTTGGAGCTTCCGACTTGGATGAGGCGTAGCTTGGCTTTTGAGTATCAGCACTAGTGAAAGAGAAAGTCCGTGAAGGTTTCTTTGTCAGTCTGGGTTTCGATGAAGAAGCATTTAAATAGCCGATACTCTGCTGGTATGACACGTCGTACCTATTCTTTGACGTTTTCCCGAGCTTTTTGGAGCTGCGTTTATCAGAAATCTGTCTTCCATTGCTAAGGCTCTGGCCAGAAGACGAAGAGTGGATCCCAACCACGAAAGGCTGGTTGAACGTAGAGAGATCTTCCCGTTTCCTAGCGGAGTAATTCTTCTGTCCTTGTGTGGAGCTGAATGATTCTTTGAGTTCATTATGGGCACATGCATGGGCCAGTAGTCTCTCTGGTATAACTCTCGAGCGCCTAACGTCTTCGACTAGAACCTGAATTGGGATTTTCGTAAGTTTTATGAAGTTTAGAAAGGGAGAAAACGTCGCCTGAAGTGATGCAGTAGCACTTTTGCTTTTCCGAACTTGGGCTTTTGTCCATATAAGTGCCGCGTAGAATTTTTTTGCTTCAGGCAGTTGAAGACCCTCTAAGCAGAATATGCGTATAAGCTGTGATTTAGATAATACTACGATGGTGGCTTCGGATAATATTTTATCTGCATTACTCCTAATGAAATTGAACACCAATGGTTCTAGTTCATTCGCACAATCTCGCGCTTGAAAACGTTCAAGTTCAGAAAACACATAGACTGCGTTGTCAAGGTTCAGGTGTTGTCCAAGAAAACTAACGCAAGCTCTTTTGAGATTAATTAGATTGAACTCGTCTGCAGCTACAAAGAGACCAATTACGATTTTAGGTCCAATATCACAAACTCCACAGTGAATATATTCCATCAATGCGCTGAATTCTTCCCTCGTGTAATTTGGCATTCCAATAATGTGAATAATTTGCTTCTGTTGCGATGTGGCACGCCTAAGTTTTCTGCTGTTATATGTTTGAATCGCTTGCAGTTGAAATAAATTTGCAAAGATACTGAAAATCAAAAGTATCTTCAATCAACTTTTTCATAATCAAAACAGAAAAAGCCACGTCATAAATTTGTGCATGTGTGCTTGGTAGCTACTACCCATCCTATCATTTCATGAAATTCAGAGCTGGACACATTAGAATGGGGGTGAATACGGATCACGTCATGTCTGTGTCATTTTGATGTGCAATAAGATACTTCAGTGTTAGTGTACTTTCAAATTTGTAGAAGTATACTTCCAAATCATTACAGACAGTATTTATTCTTGTTTCCCCTTAATGAGAATTTAGCTCAGTAAGAAACTAACGAACCCTACCCTAGATATTGCTAGAAAGCATTACATAAATACGCACTGTATAACTAGACGGATCTAAGTGTACAGATTTGTCTACTCAGCAGCAAGATTTTACGAAATTGAGCAAAACTAATAAACCAGGATGATTGATATACACCTGGAATAATTCTGGTAGTCAGCAATGATAGTCCTTTCTGCTTAGTAGGACTTGTTTAGGTTCTATCACCTATCTCAAAGCTTTAAATACGTGTTGCTAACTGAGTAATGAAAAGTTGATTTTAAAGTCAAATTCTTCTGGTACTCTAAGCAAATCCATCTGCATTGAGGTAATACAGACTTTTCATAGTCCCAAATTTGGAAGATAACAGCAATAAAACTAAACTGTAAGCCAAGATGCTTTTTTCATAGACTTCATTCTTTCATCAAATCAATTTTCAGATAAAAATTGACGAAGACTACGGTTAATCAGGCTTTATAGATTGTTCGATGACGTAAGGCCAGAAAGGTGCACGCTTTCATATGTAGGAAAGGATGGTTCAATAAAAACTTGGGTACTAATAAACATCAGCTAACTGTAAAGTTACCTGCTTCTTATGGACAGAATGGCCTTGATACCATAAACCTCTGCCTTTTCCTCGCCAACGACAAAAGCTACATCACACAGATATGCTTTGCTTTGTAGATTATTTAAAAAGTCTGATATCGGAGATACATCTTCAATGGCGGACGCCATGACTTGGAGAACACTAAAGGAGAAGGAAATTGAGTAGTTTGAAAAAATCAGTAATGCAAATAAAATAGCTGGTCTCGAAGATATTTACTTTGTGAAATTATATTTCTGAAACGACAACCCATCTCTATAACAGGAGAAACAAGACAATGAGAATAACAACTCCTATCTTTGTAGCTATGTTACTATCAAATGTCTACGTCTAGTCTAGACATCATTGTTACATCAACTTCTCGCTGCTTCTCCGGTTATCTTATCAATCTTGTCTCAACTTTTTCGAAGGTTGTAATTCACCGCTGGGTCATCTTAAGCTAAACCATTCATTTTGTCCGTAATACCGCGTGCGAAAGCTCTTTGATCTAAAACAACAAAAATTACCTGAAAGTAACAGGAAATTTCAAACATCAGCTTGCGCTAGTAAAAGCTTTGGAACTTGCTATAACGCTTTTCATACGAGGCAGTTTGCGTGCTTGGTTGTTGCTATAACGCTTTGGTTGTCGAAAATGTGCTTGAAATTTTTGTTTACGTTGACATATACAGCTTGCTGAACAAGAATCGGATGAATATGAGCATCTAGTTGAAATGTTTAAAAATTGATGCGAGTATAAAACAATCAATTCTTGATGCTTGACATATAAAGAATCGATTGGGAAAATTACCGTTGCGGAACTAGCTTTCTAGCAAAGCCTTTGTCTGATTGACTTTCTCCAATTTACACTTTAATTTAATAACCCGAATCTGTCAAGGCGAATGACTCATACCTTTTCAATGAGTCCTTCCTTTCATTCATTCATGTCAACAGCTGGACTTTCGAAACTGACATCTCCAATTCATTCAACAACCACTTAATGTATATGTTCAGCTAGAAAAAGTAAAAAATTAAGAATCGTGATAAGATGAAATACATAGATAAACTTTCGCCAATCATACCAGTTACTCATAAAAGTTAGCTTGATGTTTTGAATACTTCAAACCATCTAAAACTTTATGACAAACAGTCATAGCTAAGCGAAGATATTCTCGCTGAATGGTCTCAGTGCATATTCAGTAAAAAAGGACTAAGAGTTTAGCTAACTGACAATAATGCATTTTGGTATCCTGTTTGAGAAGGCAATCTATTTCTTGTACATTGACGACTTATTCAAGATTTATCTTCATGATGGAAGAATGTGTGGTAGAATTGATCTTTGCAGCACTTGCTTTCAGTCGGTTATAAGGAAAGACTGAGCAGACCTTAGAATACACTAAAACTGCCAGAATACACTGTAGCATTCAGACAAATCATACTCACCATACATGTTTATGAGCGTCCAAATTTGTTGAACTGCAGCCGAAGCCCTAGCACCATAAAGATGTGGTAATATAGCGGTTTAAAGCAAAACCGAGGTCATAACTAGGCACCCTATAGACTTAATAAAGACTGCGGAATAATTGAATTGTTTACGTATCAATAATGGGTCACCGCAAAAACTGAGGATTCATTTTAAAATCCTATTCACAGGCATTTTGTGTTTGGATCAATTATTCCACGTCGTAAACGGCAGCAACAGGTACCCGCTTCAAATCATAACTCCAGTTTTAATATAATGTGACATAGAGGAATAAAGCATTTCAATAGCGTACTGGTGAAAATGAAGGTATTCTCGAGGATAGCAGTCTTGAATTAAAAACACCAGTTAATAAAAGCAGATTCCCACCCAAGCAAAGCAAATTCATGTAGCCTATTGAAGGAAATTTGAGATGCAGCAAAATTGAAATGTCATTTGATATCTTTCAGCGGAGAAGATTTAGCGGAGAAGTTAAGGCAAGGGCGGCAACTTGAATTCAAAACGGAGAGACCTTAGCATAATAACCTAAAGATTATCAATTATTAACAATGCATTTTGCTGAATTGTGTCGGAGGCCATGACCCCCCTGGCCCCGCCTCTGGGACAACCTTTGTTTTAGCATGAATAATCCTATTCAGCACGGATTGTTATCTACAATGCGATTAAGCAGGTAAAAGTTGATAAAGATTTAAAAATAGTACAGGGCTATAGGTTCTTGCTTTGAAAATTCGCACAACCAAATCAGCTCTAGACGCGAGACAATGTTTCATGTGGCAGAGCAAGAAAGCACAGATATATGAAGTAATGTATGCTTTTGAACCAAATATCAATAAAACCAACTTATAGAATCGGAGCATATTATAACATGCCAAATAGCAACAACAGCAACTTGGCTACGCGTAACAATTCATTCGCATGTAAACCTCTGTTAAGGTGGCTGATCATGGTAAGGTGTATCTGCTTAAGGTTTAATTGTATTGCCTAGAGAGAAAATGTATCTGTAGGTGATAAACTGCAGGGCAAATAAAAACAGACTATCAAGTATCTACAATATTTTACTATACTGCTTTTAGCATAATGAAGAACTACACAAGCATTTCTTCCTAAACTGGGATGAGCAGGTTAAAATGAACGATAAAATGGAGGTGAGGGATGAAATGAATAAACATAACAAAAGTAACTAAGGTATAAAATGTTCAAATATTCGCAGGTGATCCGTTGTTTGGCTACGAATGCTTACTAGTCGATTTATTGTCTCGAGCTTGGCTGGTGGGAACATCAACCTTAAAATTGCCAATAATGTTTGTTTGTCCGTTCATGAAGTCAATCAGCTGAGACGGGGGTCGATTTGGGTGAGCTGCATAGTTACTTTGGTTTTTTTGTTGCCTCATCAACTGGTGGATGAAATCTGCCGGACTCTGAGAGCAATGACCCGTCGTGATCGACCCAACAACATGGGAATCAATTGGATTTGAGATTGAAGGCTGAACAAGCGGGCTCTGCAGCTGTGGCTGGCCGCCATTCTGAACCCTTTCTCCGTCAAGTAATTCACTTCGTTGCTTCTGTTCTTTTTTGGTTGGTTTGCTACTTTTCAGATCTTTTGGAGGAGTATTCAATGAATTATCTTCAGATAATACTTCTTTGCAATCCAAGTCTTCTAAACTTGCATCAGAAAAATGGTTCCCATTTTTCCCTCCATTTGCTTGGCCTGAACCATTCACAGGCTTGCCCTTTTTTAAACTGGAAGATTTGCTGGGTATTGGCGAGCTGTTCGACAGCTCGTGAGAACTATCTCTAGATTTCGGTACAGCCCGCTCTTTTGCAAAAGGTTTGGTATCTCCTGGGTCGCTTTTAAGCTTTGCAAGCATCGCCGATAGAGGAACAGGTCTTTCCGTGTCAGTGGACTCCGAGAGCGGCGTTGAGAGCCGGGTTGTTGCAGCAATTAAGCGGTCTCTTCTAGCTGAAAGCTGTTCAAGACGCTTTTCCAAGTCATCATTTTCCGCTCGCAGTTGGTACAAGCATGACAATAGCGACCCAACTACGAAAAGAAGAAAACACATTTGTAATTGGTAATGTTACAGAAAGGTTCATGTTCCCAAAGCTAACTCCTAACAACGGAAAGGGAAGAGGGATTAGGAAGATAGAGAAGAAAGATTAAGCTTAATTATCAAAAGAAAAATCATCGTGATTTCGGGGTAAAACACTCAACCAACCTAGTCTGATTTTGAGCAGAAATTATTAACAAATCTGTTTAAATGATGGAAAAGGGAAGAAATTTAAAATAAACTTGAAAATATACCCAAAGGATTCCGGCCCGTGAGTTTCCGCGAATTTATAATTGCTCTGGATACATAAAATGGCACTTACCATCATAGTGGGTAGCCTTTTGTATGAGAAACTGCGCACCTTGGTTCCACTGAAATTCTAGAAGATCTTGAAACGATTCTGGATTTTTATCCCTGAATGAAAAAATATACATTTCTCTAATTAACTAATATTGATAAAAACGACTTCTATGGACTTACAGAATATACTTCTGAACCACTGAAATTTACAGCTTTCCTGTCACAATGTCTTCCATCTAATCGGTGTTTTTAAGGGTACAGAACAGCACTCGACGTTTGCACCAGGAAAAGGCAAATTGGTGAAAAGTTTTTATACACTTTGACCTGCCGGATTACTAATTGATTGGCATTTTATCCAAAAGTTTCTGTTGATCATAAATCCAAATTCTGATAAATGTTCCTTAAATGCCCTGCTAAAGTTGAAGCAATACCATAAAACAAAGACATGTTTCGTAAATATTTTTGTTAAATTAAAGTTTTTCGAGAGTCTTCTGACGATAGACAGGCAATAATTTTCCCTGTTAATTCTAAAATTTTGATTAAAACTTGAATTTCCATCCGGCTTTTTTAGGATTAACTTGAAGAAATTGGATCAAAAGGAAAAAGTACTAATTACCCTAAGTTTCGTGGAAAAAGCGATGGAATCCGATTATCTTCATAAAGGTTCATTTTGGATGGCCTTGGCAGGACCGAACTTTTCTGTTTGTCCAACTTCCTCTTGGCTTTTCGTTTTTCGTCCACTTTTTTTCTTTTCAGCGCTTTTTCAACGTCTGATGTTGCTGCTTTACGCTTTTTAGCGTCAGACAAAGCGTTTTTAGGATGTAAACCCGTCTTAATGCTTGACGAGGCTTGCTTTTTCCCCTGCTGGGTACTACATTTATCACCATAAACAGATGCACTCTTATGCTTATCATCAGATTTCTGGGCATCCTTGTCCTTCCCAGTTTCTGAAACTGAGCCAACAGACCCAAACGTCTCTACGTCGACAAACTCATCATACCCTTGCTTCTTGATGCTTTTACCCTTATGTGAGCTCAAAATATTGGCCATATTGAACTTACTGTTACAATTACTTTGAGCAATTTCGGGTGATATAAAAGAATTCAACGGGGTCTTGGGGCCGTTACTATTAGCAAAGTAATCCTTTGCGCCTGCCATTTGTTGCAGCATGTTAAGCGACTCCGCAGCAGACTTTTCAGCACTACCAGCTCTCGCTAGACTAGATATTGTGAATTCCATATCCGGATGTTTCTTCCCTCCATTATCGCTCGATGTTACAAGGTCTGCTGTCTTTGACGGCACAGAATTCATACTCTTCTCCTTCTTTTTCTGTTTAGGCCCATTACCGTCATTGCTTGATACGCTGTCCAGTCTTGAGCGCTTCTTCTCCTTAGATTTTCTCTCAGGTTCAGATTGATTTCTTGATCCAAACTAAAAAGTATTTTTCCAGTATACAAACAAGAAACGCCTCAATTAAATTAATTCTCTAGTTTTACACACGACTTGTATCTTGAATCGATCAATTACAAACTGTAGAAGTCTCTAAGTCGAATCAATTTACAAAATCGGATCCTTTAACATAAGACATTGCAACTACGTTGATCAATAATCCCTACAAAATGAGTATCGAAGACACATGACAAAATACACAGAAATTTGACTCTCAAAGATGAAAACAAACCTTTTTGGCCCAATGCTGGGAACAGTAGCCAACATATTGAACATTGCCATAATGCCCTGCTTCTTCACACAACATTCGTTTTGCTTGGGCGCTGGAAAAAAATGCAAAAAATATTAAAATAACCAGATTTACTTTATTCTTACTCCTTATGACTTACTTATGCTGTAAATTTTCATAGAAACTCGCTTTTTATCCTTTGTATTGAACATACACAACATCAAAACTTACCATGTCACATGAAAGTTCAGTTTGCAGCCAGGCTTGTTACAGGACATACAAGCACCATTAGATGTTTTGCTGTCTCGTCCAGCTTCTTCACAAATGTAGCATGTCTAAAATAGAAGACAAATTTAAACAGTTTCTCACAGAAATCTAGCATCATCAAAGAAAGTTTTGTCTGAATTTTGTACTAAAATACGATAATTTAAAAAATTTGCTTGATTTAATAACAAGACCTCAGAAAAAAGACATCTCATTGGAACATTACATTAAAATAAACCAAACATAAAATTCAATCATGAAAAGATAACATCGTGTTTTTTCTTACAAAAATAGTTTAACTCATATGAAAAAAAAATTATATTTGTTACACCATTATAGAAAAATATGGAACGTCTGAAAAAATCTAATACATGGTTATTTATCTCTCAAATGAATAAAATTGGTAGACCTTAAGAAATCTTTCATGTGGAACAGAGGACATTTTTATTGGCTCCATGGTTGTCACATTTCCAAATCTAACTTCTGGTATGTATAGTGCACAGACAACGTGTGCCCAACCTTTAAGAAAAAATGTGAATCAGGATTCAGAAATGAATTTTCAAATATCTACGTTACCTGGAAACAGAGAAAGCTAGGAATGGTTGGAAAAATATTGTTCATAACTTATGGGAAGATATAAAACATTCATGGAGTTAGTGGTCCTATTGACACAGTGGTGGACACTGGGGAAAAAGGGGGTGGTTACCACCAATATTTTATAAACAATGGTGTTTTGTTCTAAAACAATGGACAAATGTGACGTCATCTAATCAAAACAATAGGCTTCCTCTCAATATTTGACCAATATGTGTCTGCCACTGCATCAATCAGTATTCCAGCATCATGTTTTGCTAAAATCAGCCTGTAATTTTCAGTTTAAGACTGTTACAAAATGACAAGGAAACAAACTGCACAAGGTTTTAAGTGTTAGCTATTCAGAGCATTGATAACACATTGCTAAGAAAATCAATTGATATCTACCATAACAGTGAAGGTATACTATAAATACATGCATATAAAATTTTAGGTATTTCCTAACGCAAAAGTATTATAAAAAGAAGAGTTAAAACACAATAACATGATGTATTTTTTTCAACCCTTTCAATGTTTATGGCCTTTCCAATGTAAAAAATTTTCAAAGGGGTTGGGTTGGTAATATCAATGAAATGAAATGAAAGCAATAAAGAAACCTTCTTTCAAGATAGTGGTTTTTAATAAGCACCTGTTGAAAAAGGCGTCCAATCAAAAAATCTAAAAATCAATTATGTGTCCTGGTGCTTAATCTACGATTTACCATGCTTAGCTAAATCATTTAACTGTTGAGTAGCCATTTGGTGAATAGGTGCACAAACAAAAAATTTGCATTTATTTCTGATCCTACCAGTTTTGTTTGTTCTGGAGCTGAGTGAACTATCTGGTTTTTATGAAATTATTATATTTTAAAGGCCATACCAGGAATGAATTTGCAGGAGTGCAGGAGTGGCAACTCAATGGGGTGCAATGGAGTGCTAATTCTTTTTAAGCAAAATACCACATTTTTACCTGTTTTATTATATATAATAAGTAAGAGAGAGATCACTTTGTGCATTATTTAATTTATATAATTAGATTTGCTTTATGCATAGAGTCATGGTGTTGAAGCTCATTTTTACAGTATATTTTACAGTTGTGAATGAGTTCATAAGTAACCATGAAAACATCTTACCCCCATTGTCTGTTCGTTTGAGTGCCCCTTCCTTAAATGGACACAGCTCACATTTCTGAAAGAAAAAGCAAGTGTGCTAAATGACAAAGGTTATTTTAGGTTACAAAGTAATCTAAGCTTCTTTTTCTTTGTTTATCTGTATAAATACTTTCTTTGCATTTGTTTCTACCTAGCATCTGAAGGTAGGACACTGAGAAGCTGATGCTTATCGAGCAGTGTCCTGGTCCTTCCTCTGGATGTGACCACACCTTGTGATTCCTATGCCTGAAATTACAGAGAGCTGGCGACTCTCCTCACTCTGGGTGAAAGTTTGGTCATGTCAGGGGGACTCGACCCACAGTCTGTAGTCAACACCTCTAACAACTGAGCCATCCTAGCACCTTGAGTATAAATACTTCCTATTATTATGGTGATTTGTATCATGTGAAAAGATTTTACAAATAAGGTTAATTATATGCAACATGCAAGCTGGCATCAGGGGCAGCATTTTTAAATACCAACTTATTCAAACATATGCCTTTAATACATTCTCATCAAAATAGAACTATCTTGGCATGCTACAAAGTTATAACAAAATGTGCAAAGGAGCATTAGATAAGCAGTTATGTCAGTGATTTCCTGACCCTGGAATACAGTTTTGGTAGCAAGTATTGAGACTTGTTAATTGGATGAGGCTGCAGCTAGCAGTCACCAGATATTCAAGGGCAATTCTGAATACATTCACTTTGTTTTATGACTGACTATAAAATTGGTTACAAGTGATAACTGTGAGGCTAAACAAAGGATTTTGAAAGCAAAGGTATTCAGAACTTTTCTGAATACCTGGAGAGTATGTATCAGTATGTGTCCCCTTGTAGCTTGTGGTTAGGGAACAAAATATTGCTGAGACCTTTTGCAGGCTTCAAATTTTTGACAACACTATCCAGAATCTCATCTGAATACCTTAGAAATCTATGTGGCTTCTTAGAAAGGCTTTGGGCCATGTTGTGATCTTGGATAACCTTTTATACATTATGTTTCTGGCAGGCCCTGAAATGAGAGGTGCTCAATTGAGCGTGAGCGCCTCCACACTCGCCTCGAAAATTTACATGATTGATTGTTCGAGAGCCTAGCTGATCATTACAAAACTTCTCTCGTTCATTTGTGAATTTACTTGATATAAATTTTTAGTCAATATCTTCCTTGTATCTCTAAAAAAGCAGTGTTGCAGGCCCTTTTGTTTGATGCGAGCGATCACTTGCCATCGCCTTAGCACTCGTGCAAACCGCACAAAAAGGTAAATTGTAAGGAATAAATTTCTCCCAATTAACACATTTCTAGTCTTTTTTGTGTCCAAAGCAAGTGACATAGACGATACAAAGCCGCCATTATATCAAAACACAGGTAACATAAGTAAGATGAATTAACCACATCTAAACCTCAACAGGAAAAGGCATTTGAAAATCAATTCCGCCGCAAATGTTTAGGAATACTATGGGCACTTGGTTTATGAATAACATTAACACTTTGAACACTTTCTGGGCAGATCAAGCATTTTTAAAAAGGTTTCGAACAACTTTTTGTGATCATCCAACAATAACATCTATATGACCTTTGCAATGTACATAAAGTTTATAAATGGTTTCTATAAACATTACGAATGCTTTTACCATTTTCTATTACTTTCGTTTTTAAAGCGATCGCTCGCGCAAGAGAAATCACGCAAGCGCTGGGCTACTCGCCCGGGCTATTTCTTACAAATGTTGACTGTGCAGATTTAAGAAAATATTATCAAAAGACAAAAATAATCTAGGAGCATGACCAAGCGCCTGACTGAAAGGAGGAGCTTGATCAACAAAGCTCCTAAGTTTTGCTCATTTCAGGGCCTGGTTTCCGGTGTGGAAAGAGACATTTGCTTTCAAGCAAAGGTAAACAATGCAAACAAGTTTAAGTTTTCTTGCAACTCAGGCTTTTGTGGGAATAATATAGCACTGGTAAGCAAGCAAATCACTACAGGGTCATTTCATATCAATCATTTCATCATCAGATATTTTTAAGATTTGTAATCCATGGTCTTAGAATTTCTTGATTTTTTTATCACAAAGAGCCATTTTGGAGAAAACACCACATACACCATAGCCCAAAGAATACACTTTCAGAATATAGCAAGCTTCTAATGCTATGATTCCAGCTACAGGACTTTTTTTCAATATTTATATACATCGGTTTGGAATATTTTCAAAACAAGTGATAACCTTTAACACATGACTATCTGCTTCACCTTAGAGAATTGACAAATTCTGATGCAATATTTGAAATCTACAGTAATATTTTCAAGCAAATATTGACAACTATAGAAAAGTTACAGCTATTGATAGAAAGCCGTGCCCATCACTTGGTAAACTGGGTGTGGATATTTGGCTAAAATGGGTCACTTTTGAAACAGCTACAAAATCGCAACCGTAAGAGATATAAGGATGAAATTTTGTATGTGGTGTTTTCTCCAAAATAGCTGATTGTGGTAAAAAAATCAAGAAATTCTAAGACCATGGGTTACATGGGTCTGATGATTTGACATGGAATGACCCTACACACCTAAATTCAATACTGGCATGTTCGTGGTAATTATAGTTGATTTACACTGAAATTGCCATTATGGTGATTATGGTTGATTTACACTGAAACTGCCAACATGACAAAGATACAAGAAATAATTTTGATGAAATTTTAATTGCTAGATTAAATTTGATTGACCTTGAAAAAGCAAGCAAAATGTTTGCTATTTTTTGCTGACAGGCTATTTGTGCAATCTATCAAAACTGTTTAGACATCATTTTAGATGCCAAGTTTTAAATTGTTTTTTTAATTCCCTATCCAAAGGGAATGACATTGAGGATTTATGCTTTGGGTCTAACATTTTATTGGTAGATTGTCGGTACCTTGAACACCTATCTAATCTTTCTTGCAGATACCTAATGTTTGGTATTTTGCTCTCTAAAAAGTTTATGACCAGAGACTATTAAAGGACTAAAACACATGAAAAGGAAATACAGAGTACTAAGTAGATTAGTGAATTGAAAAATCATTAATGCAATTTGCAAACACTGCAAAATATCTTACCACTCTTGCAACTCTTTCTGTTGACTGACATTTACAGCAGAACCAAGGGCCACTTGGTACTTTGACAATTCCATAACAGGCTGCGAATGAAGTAAATTACAAGGGAAGATGATTACCACTGTGTGACTCGAATCGCATGTCAAAATTGTGCAATATTCAGCAAAGAGAACATTAGGACTAGAGACCATCAGTCATGCTGATATGAACTTGAATTTGAAAACCTTGTTTGAAAATGTAGACGTATCAAAATTCTGTGTGCGGAGGTTGGACACTTAATGAATACAGTCATGGACCCAAGCCTAGGAAAATGTGCTTAATTTACAGGCAAGGAACTTCTGGTTTACCCTGACATATTTTAATCAAGTTAGAAATCTTGCAAAAAAATTACTTTAAATTATCCTGCCAATTTTGAAAATGCTTGGGCTGTGAAAAGTTGTGATTAGTGGTTGCAAGCAGAAATTTATCAAGAAAATTAGCTTGCAGATACAACTGGAGCAAAATGGAATATGAAAAATGAAAGATCAGCAGTTATCTGAAAATTATATGTAGCTGATGAGCATCTAAAAGCTGACAGGCAAAGATCAATTTCTGGTATTTCATTAAATAATCTCTTAACAAATCAGGAACAAATCAGTATTTTTGCATGGGAAAATATACTGTCTTTATATCTGACTTGAGTTTGACATGGATTCCACTGTGGAAAGGCTAACAAATGAGAAGTCCTGTTGATTCTGTTGCAATTAAGCTCTTGTTTGTAACACAAACAGGAGCATTAAGGATTATAATTATTTGAATTACTACAAAAATTATCTTATTTATGACTATGACCATTTCGTTAGCTGACTAAATAAAAAAGTGAATCCTAATGAAGTTCTGACGACAGATAAACTGATAGCCAACCCAGTGTTAAGAAAGAGGAGTGTGTAACATATACACAAACTGAAGATATGTAAAAATACCTAGCAGTTTTGGTGGGTTTGGGAAATTGAAGCTTTACAGCTTAGATGAAATCAGCTGTTGTTCACTAGAGGGTACTTATGAAGCCAAGGATAGGGTTGAAAGACCAACAAATTATTTAGGCCATTCCTTATTATTGTTACAGCTTGTAAACAAATTTGTGATCAAGCAACAAATAGTCCAGTTAGTTCAATGAACAAGAACTCAAAAGGGGGATGTAGTATATTAAAATACCTTGATGAACAGCCACATTACAACCACTGCCATCGCAGTAAACTAGAGGATTCTCGTCCCAACCACGCTCGTCTAAACAGACACAGCAGCCGCCAACCATCTCCATTTTGCTCACCTTCGATGGCGCGCGGATGGTACCTGGATTGCCTCCGCAGCGTCACATGGACGCCTCACACAACACAATTTTCACATCATAACTTTTTTAGTAAAATATATTCATTAAACGTACCATTTTATACTAAATAAAACATGGGCTCCGACAAAGGTTGAAAAGTGGAGGGGCCAAGGGAGAATTTAACACCCATAACAAAAGATTATGAAAAAACTCTATTGTTTTGCAAAAAAGTGTCCCCCCGGCCCCCCCCTTCGTCGGAGGCCCTGTAAAACGATAATGGTTGATGAAATCTTTTTAAGAAATTCAGAGAGCAGCATTTTTTATGATAGCAAGTCAATGATCAACAAATCAACATTATCATCATCTTTAAACAGTTTCATTAAAAATTAAAAGGGCAACAGTTATAAATTTTTTTAAAACAGCATCTGTTTTCAAATGTCTTAGTTTTAATGTCCCAGGGATAACACTCAAAGCTGTAACTTGCAGGGGGCGGTGCTACGGTATGGAAGATTTTTTCTAAAAACTAGAGATTTGATTAAAGTCAGTGAGGTTACAACAGAACTTGTTAGAAAAAAGGAACAATATTAAGAGAGATGGGTGTTGATCACAAAGATAGTATAATCGCTACGGTGTTGATTTTGTTGCGACAATGGTGACCTCGTTGTTAGCGTTCTTAGCATCTCCTTCTCGCCGCATTGAATGTGTGCGGAGCAGACAACAGACAGAGTAGGAAACATGCTCATCATTTCTTTAGGAAACATGCTGATCATGCTGATCAATTTCCTTCATGGTTACTGTGTTAAAGCAATGCACAGGTTAAAAGGAAAGGAAGTGACAATACGTTAGTGAGACCTTGTGTCAGTGAGGTCCGTTAGAACTCTAGGTTAAATCTGCGAGTCTCACGGAAAATCCTTGAGAATTGAAAGGTCTGCAGCATCATTGAAATTTTTTCTACAAATTATCAAATCTTAATTGCAAATGGCATGTCATGGCCATTGTTGAAAGGTAGTTGAAAACTATATAAAGCTCCAACAGTTTTTCCTCCATTAGGTTTTCAAGACAGAAGCAAATTATACAAGTTGCCAGATGCGGATAATACATGTCATTTAGAAAGAAAAATAAATTTGCCATGCTCTGTACCCTGTTTTCACAGTCGAAAGCTATGTTGCAGTTCTTTATTTTCATCACGCTTAAGCTCATAATTTTGATGACAAAGACCTGAATCACAATGTCGCCTTTCTCTAAGATATCCTTTTTTGACAAATAAATCTGTGCTGATTTCGCAAAGGATATGCTTGCTTCATATATTTGAGGCTTGATTATAACTTCTCTTGACTCACATAAACTTGTTCCTTATTTACTTTCAAATAAGCTTTTTAAAACCGAGATGAATTAGTTTAAGAATCCGTGACAGTGCTGTTTTGGGTCTTACAATAAAGATGTTTGAAATTCTTTTTCCGTTATTATGAGGGTTCACATTTTCAGTATAGATTTAAAGTACTGTCTTATCTTTTACTGATAGACACAAGTCTCAATAGTGTGGGTGAATATGCAGATTAAAAATATAATATTAAATAACAAATAATTGTGTTATCATCGTATTGTAGTGGCTTTTAGTTATTTCAAAGTCAAAGCCATTTTAACTTTCTATGTACCAAAATCTATAACGTTTTAGGTAACGCTTTAATAAAAGTATCTGCCTTCGCTGAAATTTGTGGTATCTCCAACAGATTCATTTAAATTTACAATTGTATTTTCAGCAACAAGCAAATTATCCTGAATATCAGTGCTCAAACTGGCCATTACAATCAACAATTTGGAAAACTATAAAGGTCGTTAAAGAAATCTCGATACTGTAGAGAAACATTGGAAAGAGGAAACATACTAATCCAAATGTTTCAATTAATATCTAATACATCAAACAAATCTACAATAATGATCATATTAATGCTACTAAAGTATTTCAGAATAAGACTGCAGCAATGCGATGTAACTGCTGTTCACTATATTAAATAATCTAAACTAGTTATACACCCCATTTAATGAAAGAGGAGCCTAGAAAAGCTTCGTCTTGTGTTACATGAAGAACCAAAACATAACCGGTCTGGAAATATACGTTCATATTACCTTTTTATGATTTGCTTGAAAGAGATTCAGTTGCTGAAATCTTTACGTTTATATATGCATAAATAGAATAAATCGTGTATATCAAGCACATGTTTGCAATATATGAAAAAAGTTAGAGAATACAGAGCTTAGTATTTACTTTGGTATCTAAAATCAGGAAGATAACATTTACAGGCTTCTAAGAACAGTACGATTCGTTCCAAGAACTACCAAATGACTAGGCAGGCAGTGGTGCATTTAAAAGTTTACTCTATAACATGGTCACTTTATGTAGATTTTTTGTTTATAAATAGAGATGCAAGTCTGAATTTCCACCAAAAATTTTTTAAAATCTGAAAAAGGGCATATGTAAGGTGAAAATAATACCGAAATTTTTTCGAATTTTTTGAGAACAAGCCTCCATGGTCACAAGACCTATGGCATTGACCTAGCAAGAAGTACTCTTTTGCAGCATTGGACATAAACTTACATCAACGAAGGACATACACTATCCCTACTTTCTTCAATTATAACATTGCAATAATGAAATGAAAAGCAGAACTGACTATGACCATGACACTATGAACAATGATATAGCGGCAATGAGGAATTTGCTGGTCTCATCAAAGTATCGGTTTCAAGATGTTGGTCTTGATTGTGATATAATATGCTGATTGAAAGCACTAGACCTTCTAATGATAATAATGCTATGTGCACAGAGTTCGATGAAACGGTTTTCAAGTAAGCAAAGGAGGAATGGGGAGGCGTCAATCTATTTTAATGCCCATGGCTGATATCACGTCTACAATGCCTGAATTTCTCCTGGTTGTTTGTGGTTGAGAAAAAAGCTCCTCAGCTGTGCATAAGCCTTCAGAAAGGATAAGAACGTATATACAATAAATTCACGACTTTATAAGATCTTTAGTTTATAAATGGCCAACAGTCTTGTCATAAAATACGGCAGCATCTGCAAACTCGTTGTCGGCCATTCCCAGCGTTGGGAGGTGGAGTGACAGGCGCAAAATACGCTTGAACCCTTACGTCAGGTAATCGAGCCTATGGAGAAAAGATGTTTATTAAGAATTGCGGAAAACTTTGAGAGATTGTCTTTAAAATGACTCTTGAAATTTCCCAGAAACAGAACAAGTTGTTGCAGCCTCGTTGGCCGTTTGTCGTTCGAGGTCGTAATATCCGTGAAAGAATCGTAAGTCGATTATCAGCCATTGAACAGAAAAAAAGGTCTTCTTCTCATCGTCTACTTTTAATTACAAAACCGGCCTTATCGCCCGTTCTTAATTACAAAACCCGCCTTATCGCCCGTTATCAATTACAAAATCAGCTTTAAAAAAAACTTTTTGATGCAATACAAAGAAGTCTGGTCTGTTTTCCCTGAAAATATCTTTTCTAAAGTCATAATCAACCTTTTTGTAAATCTGTAGCCTAAATCACTGCGCCGTAAAAACATCCATGTGCATTAAAGGAAATATTCTGCTCTGTCCGGCGAGGCAGCTTTGATCCTAGGTTTAAACCTCGAAGAACACTATCTAAATGACCTATCAAGAGCGTTAACGTTGTAGAAATATATAGAAAATCATTTTATGATACTTTCTCATACGGGCTCTATTGTAGTATATCCTTACGAGTCCCAGAAAACGTAACGGATTTCTTTTGGATTCATAATACCTAAGACACGGCTAACCTAAATATGCAGCAGTTGGCCCTTAAAAAGAATGGCAAGAACATGTTACAAGGCACAGTCAGAATGCAGTTCTAAACTAAACATATGGGCGTTAACTGCTTACTTGCAAAATGAGTTCTGTTACAAACAGTTAAAAGGGTCTCTAACATTAAACGTCCGTTAAAACAAGCTAATTACCAAATAATTAAAGGTTTGGTCAAACAAGATAATTACCTTCAATCGTCTGATACCACTTCTTGTAATCAGATGGCAATCATAAAGCTCAATTCTTTTTAGTGCTTGACAGTGCCTGCAAATATAAAATATTTGCTGAAAAATGCTGATGAATAGAAAATGATTCTTCCAGATATTTGATTTTAAATATAGCTACTCTGTAAGGTTTTATGAACAATTATCAAGGGTTCTATCCTTTTTTGTGTGGTCATAAGTTTCAGAGTATAAAATGTCAGAATAATGATCGAAACTTTTAAGCCATGAAATCAATATATCAAATTGTGGATTGAGTGGTGCTGCTGGCCTATTAAAATATTTTAACCAACGGAAGCCAAGGGTGAAAACTAACTCTTAATAATCCGAACGTTTTCTAGCGTTAATAACAGCGTTTTCTAGTAATTATGGCATAATTGAAGAATCTCAAGGGGAGAGTTTGAAGTGGGAATGGACAAGCTGTTTTATTGTATCCCTAATTGATAAGCTGTGCATCCTATATCGTCTAAGTATGGTTTAAAATGCTTGATTTTTCAAAGCCATTGTTAAATTTTGTACCTTACAAAAAAATTGCCACAAAAGATTCATAAAAACCTTTGCATAGAGACAAAATGCGACTTACATAAGATGATCTAGTGAAACATCAGTAATTTGAGGACAGTTATCCAATTCAATAACTTCTAAGTGTTCTATAGCGCACTGTCCGCCACCTAAATGCCGAATTCCTTCATCCGTTATTTGCTCACAATGCGACAGAGTCTAAAAGGAAAAATAATTTTTTCAAAATTACATAATCAGCCGTTTTTAAGATCTCTATTGTCAAGCAGTAAATATGTGCGATGTCAAATTTACAAACTACCAGACTTTCTAGGTAGATCATTCTTGATAATCGATCGTTTTGATAAGGATTCGAAAAATAACTATCAGTTTTCATATATAGCCAAGAACGTGTTACAGACGAATTCTGAGTTTAAACCAAAAATCAAAACTTCACAGTAGTCTGTGAAATTGTTGAAATGGGCTGCACAGAGCAGGTGCGGACACCGAAAAGAAAACACTTCTAAAGTGATATAAAACAGAACTGATCTTCTGAATAGGCGACTTTGTGCAAGAAAATGTGTGCGAAAACATTTAACGTGTATTAAATCTCATTGAAGATTTCCAAATGTTAAACGAAGTTTTTCATTCACTAATTTAAAAAATGTTTCAGTTCAAAATTGTAAAGAGGAAAAAAACAGGAAAATCAGTAATTAAACGCCAAACATCTAGCTATTAAAAAGATGAGCAATGATTTACAAAACATTTTCTCACTTACCAAAAAAAGCTGACAATTGCTATTTGTTAACATTTCATTTTAAACTAAATTCCACTGATTTGCAAAAGGAACTAAGAAATGCCAAACTTAATGTCTCAGCCCAGAAAAATATAGCTTAAAAACTGACTCTATCGGCATGACTTTAAAATACAAGCTGTTTTAGTTTCAATAAAATTTGCAATGCTCATCAGTAAAACTGTGCCTTAAACGCAAGATTTGCTTTCAGACAAGTAATTCTCTATTTGAGAAATAAATGGAAAAAATATGTCCCTTGCTCATTTTCCGATCATTGTTTCGATCATCTTAATTGGGAAATACCTTTCAAAACCACTCTTGTTTGGCAAAATTTGACTGAAAAAGACGACTAATCATCTATCGTTTTTAGTTCATTAAGTACTGGCTGATAGTGCATCATGTAATTCAGGCTTCTTGTTCATTGTTGATTTGCTTTGAAGTTAGTGAAAAATGCGAAAACTTTGCCCGACATTACCATGAAGAGTTTTATTACTGCACATTTTTACTGTTTATCATTGCACAGAACCAATTTATCACTGCATTAAGTGGTTATCATCGGTCATTGAGTGACCCTCCTTGTAATTCGTACAATTCCAGGGAAATGATCTGGGAGGGTTAACATTTTGGAAGGGGATAATAGCTTCATTTTTATGTTCTTAATTCTGCTTTTCAGTAAAACAATAGTCATCGGCTTTCTTTATTGGCAAAATATGTGTAACTCCTTTCGTTCATTTCCAAGACAGCAACATCAAAAAGACTGCGCGCAGGCTGGCACCCAGAGCGGATGTAACATCATAGTAAAATGAAGATAATGTTGGATGCAAGCAGTGTCCCCCCTGCAACTCTTATCTCAGTGCAAATTACGCAATGTCAACTTGAAAACAAATCAAAGATTAATAATGCATCAGAAGGTAATTTCTGTTTGGATTTCTAACAATAGTTAAGGAAGTTCTCTATCTTACAGAAGCCGAGCAATGTTTAATAGATAGTGCCACGGCGTCAATAACAACTAAAAGAATTGCAAGATTGGTTGCTTTTCCAAAGCATAACTAAAAAGTGGCATCGGAATACAGGTACAAGAGAGTAAATCATTGTCAAAACGCTGTATATCAAAGAATTGCTTTCGGCTTGTTGCTCAAACAAAATAACATCCATAAGTAGCGTTTGTGGCTGGCCCCTTTCATTCCACAACTGTCCACTTAAATGACTATTCTTCTCACGTTTTTTATTTTGAACTGTATCAGGTAAAAATGCGCTATGCGGAAAAACGGTTTTCCAAAGGCGTAGGTAATTATATAACTAGAAATAGCTCTTGCTAGTGCTGCCCGCAAACAATTAGTTCCTTGATAATGATTGTTCTGAAAATTTAGGTCAGGACTTTTGAAGAAGACACCATCTTGGGTTTTCACAGTATTATAAAAACAGCTACTGTAGTTGATGCTAAACTATTCTTTTTATCAAGAATTTTTGGTGTTCAGTTTGCCTTTGATTTAAGTCCAACGCCCTTTTAAAAATCATGAAGTTTTTCGAGGGTTTGACATTTATTTTTTGTTTTCGTGAAGTAAACAAAGACGTATGAAAATGGACACGTGATAGAACGGACACGTGAATCGATTGCGATAAAGGATTCGTACAGCGCAGTACAGGCGATAATCACGACAATCATAACTTTTGCTCGTACGGTCTCGAGTTTTTGGGAGAAAGGTGTGGCATTCGACTGGTTTTGATTCCCAAAACTTCGAATCAAAACTTCCATCCATTACGGAGAACCGAGCTGGGATGCAGCACCGTTTTCGTGCCAAAAAACCGAAGGCTTTTAGCAGAGTCTTCGCAGAGCAACGCTCCGAAGTTAATTGCCTTCCGCAGAAAGAGGTGGCGGTTAACGACCACCTCGACAAAGCCGATTGATTGGCAATGAAATTGATTGACAGTTGTCATGGCAGCAGAAAAGTGACAAAATCTGCTGACAAAGTGCTGACAACATGAACTGAAGCTTCTATATGCTACTTATACGCGGGGTAGACTATAAGCCCTTCACTCGCGCGCTATCGCGCGCGAGTTGCGGGCAAAAATAATAGATCGTATTCAAAAGTATCTTTGAAAATTTATAGTAATTTCCTAGAAGCAATATCTGCAAAACCCTTGACAAACATTTCAGTATCTAGCTTCTAAGAACATGAGATTATTCGGCTTTCAGCATACGGCTTTTGAGTCTCTTTCATCCCATATATGATCTTAGTCGTGTCTTTCATTTGTAATTTTTTTATGAATGGAAATATGACACAGGTTTCTTTACATCCAATGGCTGTACTAAGGGGTACAAATAAGGGTCTGGTCGAAAAAGAAATAAAAGTTAGGTGACTAGTTGCTTTATATCTTGTTGAAAATATAACTGGAAATTATGCTGGATGTTATTTGGCGCATAATTACATAAGCAGCCTTCGAAACCTTATAGATGTCGTTTACGGATATTTTCAATAGCAATAATCCTTAGAAAGACTCTTGAGGTACCCCGTCTTAATTTCCATCCAAAAGATTATAAAGTAAAAGGTCAAAGGAAGGGAAAAATCTTTGATGATAATACATTTAATCATAAAAAAATGTTACAAATTTTAAATAAATTTTTTTCTGGCATACGCCTTTTTTTATTGAAAGCTGTCTGAATCGTTTTCCTTAATTATACATCATCAAATAAGAAAATCATATTAACATTTACATTTCTGATAAATTTTAAATATTTTTTTCTGATCTCGTATCGTTTCTTTGTCTAAGTTCCAGTACGCCTTTTTGCTTCTGATCAAAACGTTATCATATTCCTCGCGCATAAAGGGTGCATTGTTTGCGAATCGCCTTAACCTTTTTAGAGCAGTATGCTTATTCAGAAAATATGTCAAAGTATTATTGAAAACCCAACAGTCAGTGGTTTTTATATTATCTCTGATTGATGATCTGCTTTGCTGAATTGAGAGATAAAGTTCTTTGTCTCTTTTAGTGACAATCGTTGGGCCAGTTATGTTGAATTCTGCGTGATGACAGTGTAATCTAGCTTATGAAAACCAGACAAGCCTGTCACAGATTTTTCAGGAAACACTTTGTTATATTTGTTAAGATTAGGTCGTAACACTCAGGAGGATTACTTCCTAAGAACTTTGGCTCTTTTACTAAGTTGTGGATATAATACTTTCCAAGAACGGCTTCAGAATTGAAGAGTAAAGGACTAGTTTTAAGCCTCCAAGAATGGGGTGTGTCACAGTATTTGTGAGTCAATATTTCACTTGTTTGGCTATTTTATCAGGTTTTCCAACTGCCTATCCTGGTATTCAACTTTTTTACCTTGATTAAGCTATTTTGGTCTAATTTCCAGGAAATCTTTCTGGATTTTCAGATATTCTGACCTTGTTTTCCAGCAATTCTATCCAGTTATTAAGCTATAGATTCTATTTAATTTTATTTAGATTAAATAACTTTACAGTTCAGTATGCAGATGAGTCTAAAAACCCCATGAAACTAGGTATATCCTAAATATTTTAATTCGTGTATCCACTCATGCCCCTTGTCTAGCGTGATAAACTGCTTTTTCAAGATCATTAATAAACAATTAGACAATAAGAGGCAATAATGTGAAAAAGATTACCATACCAATGTTTGAATCCTAGGACAGTTGTATGAAAGAGAGTTTAATGTGCTATCAGTTATCTGCAAGGAAAACATACAAATGTGGTTAGGATAAACTGTGATATTTAGTTATGGATAAGGAACACAATTTTCCAAGAAAAATAAGCCATATCTGCTGTTTTAACCAATCATGACTTGACGTGGTGGTTGGGACGCTCAATATGGATACAGATCCTAAGGACATTTCTCTACACAAGAAAATTTCCTTCTTGGATTCGCCCGTCAGAACTTTGCTGTCGATTGCGTTCCATACCAATTCACAGATGCAATATAACCTTTGAAAAACATCTTGAAGGGAAAACTTTTATGTTTCTGAAAAGGGAACGCCACTGCAATGTTGGAAAGAGTCAAAGAAGACTTGTTAATATCATGTCAGGTTTTATTGGATTCTCGAGTCATTCAGGTTTGTTGTTATTAATGTGAAAATTGAAAGAATTGATATTAATTGAGCCAACCATACTTCTCAAATAAGTATATGTTGTCACGTGGTCAATTGTAAACCAGGTATGTAAACTGAATTGTATAAGAATTTAAAAACAGAAAATAAAGTTATTAAAGTAAGATAAGAAAAATGAGAGCAGGACATTTCAATGTTGTTTTCATCTAAAAAGTTTTCATTTGGTGGCGTATTCATTACAGTATAAAACTGAAATTCTTTCGCATAAACAATTTACCAACTTTCTCATTGCCTTTAGTTCCAAATTTTTAAACATGCTATTTTCTGTGCCTTACTGATATAGTTTATCAGTAACTATACCAGAACAACAGTTTATGGTCAGTGGCGTCCTAACAAAAATAACAGCAACAATTAATGTTTAAATGACGTCATCCAGGGCCTCGGTTTTCTTTTCCCCAGGCCCCAGAAAAGCTTTAAGTGGGCCTGGCCACTTATTACAATGAATCAACACAGGAGATACCTACAAGAACGCATTCTTCAAGGTCCATCCTCTGCAATTCGTGACAGCCCTAATCAAAAAAAAATTTCAATAGAAGGGTGAGAAAATGATGCAATCTGATCTGCGAAAATTTTGCTTTTGACTTTGTTTTTAACTTTTACACTTTACAGCCCCCAAGTACAAACACCCACTACGACCTGATGATAAAAAGGTAAAACACGTTGCAACAACTTGCAGACTGATCGACAAGGCTGTAAAACATTTCTAATGACCAAATTCATCAAAAACCTTAGTAATATTACAAATATGATAAATGTTAACTTATATACTATTGTCGAGCTTAAAATAATGCTTATGCGGCATATATCCGTGCTCTGAAAACCGGCAATACTGGGAAACCATCTCTTCTATGACGTTATAGCTTTTCTAAAATCATCAGCTTTTTGTCCGTTTCACAGGATCACCATGTATGATATGATCAATTTTTGCTACTAACACCGTATCAAGCCAGGGTTCAGCAATTTTTTCTTCTTATGTTTGCAAATTTGGTGATGTTATTGATTCGGTATCAGTATTCACGAAACTATTTGCATTTGCACTGGGTTCCGAAGTTTCCCTAGCCTTTCATTAGACGGGCAGTAGAGATAGCGCGATGGGAGATGGGAAAACATTTGAAATGGTGAATGCCCCAAATAGCAGGTAGAAGAGATAGCGGATTGTCAAGTGTGTGTACTGCTAATTCAGGGCCTCCGCCGAGAAGGGGGGGGGGGCGGGGGGCCATGGTAAAACGTTTACCCGTATGCCGTCGTTAGGTCTTAGAAAGCCGACTATGTCGAAAGTTAAAAAGTAAACGATAGATTGATAAGTGTATTCAGTCTTTATGATTTTAGAGGCTATCCAGGGGAGTGCAGCATGATACTCATAATATTTTGATTTCTTATCAATTTCGGTCTACATTTTGCTAAGCCATCACATTATCAATCAGGAGATCCTGCGGAGAAACGTTTTAAGGGCTAACTGTAAAACTGCGATGAATTAATAGTCAAGTGCTGCCCTTTAAGCAAGTTTAGCTGCAAAGTACCTGCCAATACCCGTTAATATAAAGAATGAAGAAACTTGTAATAAATTCACCAGGTATAGTGCAATGTCTCAGCAATTTAAACCAACATTTTCCTGCGTAATCAAGGCTATATGATGACGATGCAGCGTAGCCATAAAATATTAAGTGCTATCAGCAGTTGGTTATTTAAGTATTAATAGTCTCGGGGATTTTCAAAGTGAAATTCTCTGTTAGTGACTGCTCTAAAATCTAACCAACAAGGAAAGTTATGGCCAAAAAACAGTAAAAAATCCTTAGAATCTAAAAACACTTTTCTTCTAAACGCCTGCTTACTGAGTCACAGTTTCAAATATTATAATCTTAAATGCAGAGAAGGAGTTTTTCTTGATGAAGTGAAAAGGCCAGTTGGATTGAAGTATGATTTCGTCATGAACAATTGGGCGAATCTTCGCAAACTTGTTTTAGGCCGCTCCCTTTGGGTCAACTAATGTACTGTACAACTGCCTAAGGAAGCTGCTTTTGAGAATAGGGAGACCCCTAGGTTATGGTTAGGTTATTGAATTTTAAACTGGATAAATAACTGTAAAAACAAATGGAATCCCAGCTTCCCTTGCAACATAACTTTATTTCGCAAATTTACAAAAAGAAACGATAAAGCCCACGAGAAACTGCACATAATGCAAAGAGCTAAGATTAAAATTCAGTTTTCCATTGGAAAGGCAAAAAACAAATAAAACATCTAAAATTTTGATCGATCTCGAAAGCTTCTTTTGCTGAATTGAAACTACAAAATTGCAAGACCTAACAGGTGTCTGTAGTCCCAAACCAATTATAAATAAGCGTCTGAATACGAGGCCGAGTTAAGAGCGCACAGTAAGATAAGTTTTCAATAAATCATGCTCAGGGAAAAATAACAGTGACCAAACTTCATAATTCAAAGAGAGCTTGATTTCTAAAAATCATTGATATGGTAAACAAGGACTCTAGCTGTGGTTAAAAGAAGATTTTCCAAGCTGAGGGCTAATTACCTCAAATTAAAACTAGGAATTAAAGTGAGATCTTGGACAGTAAACATGCAGTCAAAAACATGAGATTGCATAATGTAAAGATACACAGGCGAATGAACAAGATTTCTGTTCAGAAGTCAATACAGGTACTTTTCGAGAATAGGATTAAAGTTTTGCAATGATTAAAGGGTCAGGCGGCCAAGTTGCAGAATGGATACCTGCTAAATTCGGTCCGTGTTTTATCCCTAGGAAGACGGCTAGCAGCAATATATTATCTTCAAACCACCTAGATGTTTTCAATGTAGAAATAGCAGGTTGAAACTTTTCCGCATAAACATACCGAAGGTTGAGCTTCTGTATTGAACAATACAAGAATTTAAATGCCTTTTTATCCAGTATGCAAAATCTCATGCCTGCTTCTTTTCTCGCTTCTTTTAGACGTTGATAAGTAAGAAACGTATTAGACAAATTGGACCTGTAAATTCACAATATAAAGACCCAATGTTTTTATATATTAAGTTGTTGCCACTTCTTGCATTTAAGTGCTTTTTCTAGCACACTATCATACAATGGAACTGCTCGGTAATCTAGGAAAGTGAAGTCTGGTGAAGAACATACTGATGTCCCTGTAAGGTAGAGAGGCTTGTCGCAGGAGATTCCAGGTAGATAGGAGAGTCTCTGTATGGTAGGGAGGAGAGTCCCTGTAAGGTAGAGAGGAAAGTCCCTGTATGGTAGAGAGGAGGGTCCCTGTAAGGTAGAGAGGAAAGTCCCTGTATGGTAGAGAGGAGAGTCCCTGTAAGGTAGAGAGGAAAGTCCCTGTAAGGTAGAGAGGCTTGTCGCAGGAGAGTCCCTGTTCTCAAATACCATTTTCTGAATTAAATAGGTTTAAAGGAACTATATCTATTTGTTCAATGTCGCGTATTTATGTTTCTAATTTTAGAGTTCTTACCCTGGTAATATATTCTTAGCAAATATTCTTACCCTGGTAAGCGATAGAAAGCCAGAGTCGGTGAACTGTGAGCATCGGGCGGCTTCCAACGTCCTGCAAAAAAGGAGACTCACTCAACATTTTCATCACATCTTCCTATTCAACAGTATAATCAACGCCGTTTTACGTTAAAGGCGACATTGGCAATTTTCATAACAAAACTTAAGGCTTTCTTGAAATCAATAACTAATGAAAACTTATCGATTTCTGTATTAAAAGCATTGGATGAATCAAGAAAGGGATAGATATGATAAGCTAGGAAGATGTTAGGCTTATCTAGAGTGTATCACCTGGTGATACGATGTTGCAACAACCATTGAAATGATTTTGTTGTTTCAGGCTCATGGGTTGATTATATGCAAAACAGAAACACAAAGTAGATTATCATTAAAGTTGAGGATAGAGAACTCCAACAGGGTTTTGTCGTTAGCTATGTCAACTACTGACCAGCAGGCGCATTGCTCTGTCAACGAGCAGATTACCTTTTAGTTTTAAATTGAATTCAATTTACATCGAAAAGATTTGATGTAACAAAACAAAAATTGGACCTGATGTGTTTTAGTTCCGCTACTTAACGCAAGATACGTCTTACAAACATAACCTTAAAAATAAAAATAATAACTGCTATAACATAACGAGCAAATCAAGATCTTATATATGAAATAATTCACGCCACATATCCTTAAAAATGGGATTTATAATCTTTTATTCAGAATGAGCTCGAAGTCAAAATCTTTATCGGTGTTATTAGTGAGGCATGAAAATTATGCGAAGGAGAGAAAGAACACGAACAGGAAAGGAAAGGGGAATCAAGTGATGCCATTAAAAATATTGTCGTTGAAACAGGAAAAATATTGGTTGATTATAGACAGACGGAGACGCAAACTAAGACGAATGTTTTCAACAGAAAGACATTTTCTTCACTTTTCACAGACGGCTCGATATTATTATTGGTCACTTCATTTTTTCGTTTCTGCATAAAATAATAATCTTTTTTCGTGGTACAGAATTTACAAACAAAGCAAACATTTTGAAACATGCTACTAAGCTTCTTGTCTGACACTCTTCAGAGTATAAAACGTCAGAACACTTGCTTTTTTCAAAACGTCAGAACATTTTGAGTTTCCTTTTCTCAAAGCCAATTATAAAATACCTAGGCCTATTCGATTTTTTTCTCTGTATAAAATGACGATGTAACAAAACAAGCTCACAGATTGAGTTTAGTTTGTGAAACAGTAGAAATAGTTCATCAAGAAAGACAAAATGACAGGGGATTAAGTCTGAATAATGTCAGATTCATTTAAGTCTGCGCTCATAGTCACTAAGAGCATATCTAGCCTGCAATATTGGCCACACATTAACACCGACCTATTCATGTGTACGAGCAGCCGCAAGTAGTGAATACGAGCAAGTTCGCTCAGTTGCGTCAACGCTCAGTCGCGCGACCGTAGCGAATCGACTGTGAGACCGCCTCGACGCATTGAATATAAGAAAAGCGTATTGCAAAGGCAACGAAATTACTAGTCTGTATTCAACGAATGTAATGGGTACCTGCTACATTATTTGATTATTTAATCTTTGTAAAAGAAAGGAGCAGTATTTTGAATAGCCTTGAATTCAATAGTGCCTTTATAGCAAGGCGAAATGCCGCATACGCTTCTGATGGAGCCGATTAATCTCTCTGTTTGACTTCAGTGAATTGAACCTTGGGAGACAGAAAAACTTGCACTGGTGACCAATTCATGCAAAATGTTTGTTTGCATTTCATTTCGGTAGACGCGCTTCTGTAACTCAGAACGGGTGTACAGTGGTATATGCATCAGTATCAGAATGGAATGAGCATATATGTATATATATAATTATCTAAAATATATATTTATATATATATAAATTTAAATAGATATAAATTTAAATAGATATATTCAGAAAAAACACTATCGCTTAAACGTTTCGACCGAAGTCTTCAGTAATACTTTAGAAATGAAAAATTTTTTATTTGTAAAGTATTACTGATGAAGACTTCGGTCGAAACGTTTAAGCGATAATGTTTTTTCTGAATATCTATATTATTTCTATTACACTTGGTGCATGAGCTTTTGATAGTAATTATAAATTTAAATATATTTTAATATTATATATGATATTAACTGGAATATCAGGCCTTGATGTATGTATGACGTTAAAAGATATAAAATCATAAGATAAATTAAGGTATTGGCAAATTATGGGAATGCGAACACTAGGGGCAGTTGCCCCTCCCTCGACGAGTTGAAGCAAGTATTGCGCCCTTTTTTTGGAAATTGTGCGCCCCTTTTGAAGAATGAGAATCAGGTGAAAAAGTTTCTGAGACCAATAGGTTAATTTGCTTCAAGGATTACTTTAAAGTTATGTTGTTTATTCCAAAAATGCATCTGAAATTGTTGTATACAGCGTTCTCTCGTCATCAATTTTTGAAAACTTTTCAGCGCCCCCACTATCAACTGCCCCTACTTCAAGTTTGCTCTGGATCCGCCCCTGCCCCAAAGTCCCTCAAGTTCCCCTTATTGCGCCGCTACTGAGTCTATACACACATTTTCTATATAAAACAAACAGCAAAGAACCTGACTGGAAGTTTCTTGACTTCAATGGAAAGAAATAAAACTTATAACTTTTGAGGAGCACGAGCTCCTAGGCACAGTTCTGCTGCACTAATTACGAGAAAGGAACAGAGTTGATGGCTTAATCGATTGCATAATTTCATAAAATTACTCCAATAGATTGAAGGTCAACCTGACTCAGCTCCTCAAGGAAATTTTTTACAAAACGTGGCAATATGATAACAACACTTAACAATTTTGATAAGGACTATAATTAAAAATATTCGAAAAAACATATCTCTGGTAGCATGCACATAGAATGAGTCTTGAATTTACATAACTAACAATTTTTGTAAGGATTGCATAATTAAAATTGGAATTTTGGAATTACCACTGCACTCTACAAAGTTTCTTAGAATTGTACCATTGTTCCAGTAAAGTTTCCAACCATCCTGAGCCTTCACTAGTGAGTTTTTCAAAACGGGGTGTTTTTCAAAGCTTCGTATAAAAATACTTGCATTGAAAATTGAGGTTCTAATAACTGATTATATAATAAATCATTTTTTGTGTCAAGGTTTTATCAAGATACGTTAATACTTTTATTCGATTTATAAGCAACAAAAACACTTTCTGAAAAATTATTTAGAAGCAGTTATAAATTAGTCTCATATTATCCATAAAAAATCTCAGGGGCTTTGAGCGCGATACAAACGAGACATTAAACCAGGCCAATTTGCCAGTCTTTGCCTCTGGAGTAAACTAATGAATCAAATAAACGTAAACAGTTGTTTCCCCCTAATATACATTGTTATTCATTGTCAAAATATTGACAAGCCAAAAACAAAGACCTCAGTGTGTTGGCGATAGTCGCAAATATTTAAAAGCCGAAGTTAGTGCTTACTGTAATGGTCGGACTAGCGGGATTGAAGTCCTGGTGCAGATGTCACGTTCTGAATAAATAAACCAAAACAACTCTTGAAAGAGATACAAAACAAAATATAAGAACTTTCGATCGTCAGTCCATTAGGAAGAATGTTTATTAATATCTAACAGACAATTAGCCAGCAATTTATTCAATAGATTTTGGTTAAGTTTAATAGATAGCGTGACGAAGTAATAATTTATCATTCTTTTCCTCAACAGCCTATTTTATTTAGCCCTAACCAACGAGGGTATTTGCTTCGTGCATCTTTCAAGGGTTTAAGACGACCATGTTTCTTGGATAAAGCAACAAGACTATATTCATATTTCATAAAATCATTGATTCATTGAGGTTTATTTAACTGAACGACTGAACTTTAAGGTGACCATTCAACTCAGGCAATTGAAATTTCAAAATTAAACATATCGAAACCTGATTTTAGTAAGTTTATTGACCTGGCAATATTCCACAAGACGTTATTATTCTTGTGTTGCTATCTCTGATCCTAGAGCGGTTCCATAAATTACACTTGGTCGTTCATATTTGCAATTCGTTGATATTGTGGTGACATCCCCCCGTGCCGGAGACGGAAACAAGAGACGCTGTCAGATAACGCGTGAATAAATGCAAGTATGCAAACGTCAAAGAACGATTTAAAGTTGGCTCTCCCGAAGCTGTACCACGACTTGCTTCGCGACTTTGTTTGCAGCGTCTTTGAAGAACAGCCAGAGGATTTGGTAGATTATGCAGCAGAGTATTTCGAAAATATAAATAACACGGAAAGCCTAAAAACCCGATACGTGATGAAGACCAAAGCTACATCATTTGATGAAGATGGAGATGATTTGGAGGAGCGGCCAGTGATCAAATCACGAGGAAGGAGGCAAGCGGTGGCAGCCCAATCTTACGATCCAACTGCCGATGATGAAACAGAGATTGTTATGCACGACAAATCTTCTCAACAACTCGAAACGCTTAAAAACGACGTGAAAGGAATCCTGCTGTTTAAATCAATTGACAGTGGCCAACTGAAAACTGTTCTAGGCGCAATGTTTGAACGAGTTGTCAAGGAGGGGGAAGTCGTCATCAGACAAGGGGACGATGGCGATAATTTTTATATTATCAGCGAAGGAAAATACGATATTTACGTGAAGGACGGCAAAAATGATAAATTGGTTGCACAACTAGATGGAAAAGGCAGTTTTGGCGAGCTTGCACTGATGTACAACTGTCCAAGGGCTGCCACTATTATTGCAAAATCTGATGGCAAGTTATGGTGTTTGGACCAGGCCGCCTTTCGAAAGATCATTGTTACGGCACAGGCGAAAAAGCGTAAGATGTTTGAAGATCTGCTTGAAAATGTTCCGATTTTATCAGAGCTCACGCCTTATGAGAGGATGAATCTTGCAGACAGTTTAGATACCCAGAAGTTTGATGATGGCGATAGAATTATAGAAGAGGGGGCTGAGGCTCATAATATGTTTTTCATTATGGAGGGTACTATTCGCGTAACAATACGCGATAAAAACAACCAGTCGGAAGAAAAGGAAGTTTTAAGGCAACATGCTGGGCAATACTTTGGGGAACTCGCTTTGGTAACAAAAAAACCGCGCGCCGCTTGTGTTTACGCGGTCGGGCCTGTGACAGTAGCCGTTCTCGACTCTGGCGCCTTCGAAAGACTTCTCGGACCATGCGTTGATATTATGAAGAGAAATTTCGATAGCTACGAGAAAGTTCGACAGCAGCTTGGTATAGAAAATTGAGCGTTTTTATTAAAAAGACCTCGCATACCATACATTCCCTTCTTAATTTGGAAAATAAGCTGTCATGTAGACGATTTAAACGTTAACCCTAATTTTCATTACACATTTTTATTCTGGAATGTCGACCTTGGTGAATCATCAACAATTTTGGTGTTTGTTAGAAAGGCCTTGAAAGAATCATGCCAACTATCAGATTTTTCTTCACAAAAAGTATTCCCATGTCAACTGTGAAAGGCAAACCGTGTGTCCCTTGTATAAAACGGATAAATTGCAAGAAATTGTATTTTCACTGTTAATACATATCACTTTATATGCAATAAGTCACTCCAATATCTCCATTTTCGATTAATTTTTTCTGTTGAGTTTTCTTGAGTCTTTTCACGTTGCCAAGCAATGAAAATTACCTTGGAGTTATTTGTTAAATAGGCAGTAGGTGAAAAACATAAGCTGCATGGCAACTAAGTGTCAGAAAAATTGTTATTTTCCTGAATTTAAATTTTCAGAAATTGGAAATCATTTAACTTTAAAATTTCATTTAAGTAGACTCACATGTTTTCAAAATTACTCCAAGGATAGGAGGACAAACCTTTGTGTAAAAAAATTTAGCCAAGCTTCCTTTCTAGGCAGTGGCGTCACAGTCTTATCGTATGCCCCTCCCCCCTGCAATAATCCTGCACAGGCAGAAAAAGCTATAAAAACAATTTTAGATGTACAACTCCTGCGCCCCCTAGGTGTCTGTGTCCCCTAGGTGTCTGCGCCCTCCTGGAGTGCAGGGGATGGGGGTGTTGTTGTGACGCCCATGCTTCTAGGTCCCCTTTAGCATAACCCCAGAGCTACCTTTGCAGGTACTAGGACTCGTATTCAAGAGATTTTGCTGTCCTTATTAATTGCAACAACATTCCACTTTCCTCTGTAATTAATGCAATAAACTGCACTTCAAATCTGTAAATACAACAAAGAGACATCCATTTAAGCATTGATTTGGAAATTGTGTCTTTAACTTATTGGTTTCTTCCTGAAATTGTTGTTAAAATTAGAATTGAGACGAATTCAAACTTTGACAGCTGTTGAATTCTTCGCTTGGTATGGAAATTCATAAAATATTTGCTGTCAGTTGAATAATGAGTGCAGGTATATGTTTCTGATATCACAATGGGGCTTATTTCGAATGCTTTACAAAACTGATTGGAAAGCAGGCATTTTTGGCAGAAACCAAACTCCAAATTAGCACTCGGTTTCTTAATTTTTTTATTGATATTTCAGTGAGGGTGATTAGTAGTACGTTCGGTATCTTACAGCCGTTTCTTATGAAAACAATGCATGTACACCTGTCTCGTCACTGATGAAGCCCTAAGAATACTAATCACCGGATGAAGGCAGGAAAGGCTCCTGAAAACATCTTGATCACATAGTCGCAGGGCGTAGAGGATAAATTTGTTAACCCTCAAATGTCTACCATCAACCCCTGATCAGAATTTCCAAACAAAAAAGATCTTTCGATGGCCATTTAAACCAGCGCCACATGACAAATTCTACAAAACACATCCCAATTCAGAACAGATTTTTCGGATAAGTGCAATTTTCGTACACGTTCAAGTCTGCACAATTTTGCAAAAGCTGGAGGAAGGCGTTATATGAAGTCACCAGGCCCGTCGAAACCGGGGAGGGGGGGCTGGAGCCCCCAATAATTGTCATACTGTAGTATGTTTCCTTTATAACAGTGTATTGAATGAGAAGGGATACAATGGGCAGCCCCCAATATGAATTTCGTTCCGACGGCAATGGTTACTGAGAAGCGGATGCCCCCAAAGTGTTCACACAGCCCCCCTCCCCATCGACACCCTTATCTCAAAACAAGGGAAGACGTGAAGGAAATAAAGCTGGCTACTCATCATGAAAAACGAATAAGTTAGAGCTTTCATTAATATCAGCAAACATGAATAAACTTATGATGTTCATTATACTAAGAAATTAAGACCATTTGTCGGCTAGGTTCCACTTTCGGCATTAGTGTTTCTGTCCGATTGTCGGCACATCGCAGTCTGAATACTAGCGTTTCTCCGAAAGCCTGGAATCCTTTAAGCCTGGTTCCAATAAAATCGTAAGGGTTTGGGCTACAGTCTGCGTCAGTTTGCGTTGGTCTTCCGATTTCATGGGAACACTTTCTTCCGAACGTTACGACTGCGCCGACTATGAATCGCAATGGTCGGGAGAGATGATCTGAATTCAACTTTCCCGACTCTTACGACTCTTCCGATCAATAAAAATTTTAATGGGAACACGGGAACAATCACTTGGATGTAATTAACCAATCAAAGGAAAGTGATTTGGCGCATTTTTGCTTGCTGTTGTGTTGTTGTCAATGGGAACACTTTCTCTTTGATCTTTGAAGATGGAAGAAGGGATCGGCAACACGTTCCCGACTCTTAAAATTTTATGAGAACCAGGCTCTAAGTAGAATATTTAATGTTTTCAGTAGGCCACGCATGACTTTTGATTTCGGAAATGATTTTTTAGCATATCAGTGTTTGGAGAGTAATTGTTAATAAATACTTGTAAAGCACATAAAAATTTATTCGTTGAAGTGGAAAAGCGTAGGATGCTTCTCTAATTCGATGTTTCTCTTGTAAACCTGTGAACCCCTCTAAAAGAGGTGTACAGAAAACGACATTTAGAGTTTCTAAAAAGTGTCTTCAAATTTAAGGTGTGCTAAATTAACCAAACGGGAAAACCACAAACAGATAGAGCAGTCGTGTTATTTGCAATGGCAGATTGAAGGGGATGCTATGGATCGTAGGCGTAGAAGTGGCAAAAATTTGGGGCATTGGCCCCATTTTTAAAAAACCATTAGACAGAAGCACCCTTTTTTATAAAAAATACTATAATTTTTTTCCAGCATCTACTTTTTTAGAGACTTTCATTAGAGCCTGAATTTATTCTCAAAGTATTCTTATTGTTTTCAACTCTGTTATGGTTTATGGGGAACATCGCCCGCTCTTGAATAAGAACCACATCTTTTTAAAAAACGAGATATGTTAGTCATGCGACTCTGTTATGAACATCGCAAAACAGGGACAGTTGTTGAAAAATGAGACACAAATATGCGAGCAAAGGCTGCGCAAAAATCTTATAATATTCTTAAAAGTTGGATGATTCCATGCCTGAATATTCTTATAAACAATATTCTTATAAAAATTAAGGCATTGGTGATCTTGATATTGTATATAAGAGGCTTGCTATGAGAATCGAGTATTGGATATTCAGATAACAATAGGAAACCCTAGACCGAAGAAGAAAAGCAATAAAGGACCCGTATCATTGTAAAATGCAACAAGATGGCAAAGGGGCGCCATCTAAAGATCTATTCTTAGAACTTTAGAACTCTGGCCCCATAACTTGCAAGGGCAGCACGAAATACTTCTAAATTTGCAAAATCGGTTGAATCCAGTTCAAATGGACTAAGATATTGCCACATAAGAATGGGCTACTTACTCACCAAACCAATAAAAATTGGTCCTGTTTCTAAAACATCAACCAGGCAAAAACAACTGTAATTCGTTAGCAAAACTCATGTCTTTCATAGGCTATATGTCAGTCGATTTTGAACAGTTTAAGCTGTTTTTGCATATTAAGAGGTAATTTGTGGTGTTATTTTAAGAAATGGAATGATAATTCTAAAAATGAAATTTGATGGCGTCACTTTGTCGCTATTTTGTTGTAGTCTGGTCTAACTGAAGAAAACGGTGGACCATACTGAGCCTCAAGACTCTAAACTTCAAAATTCGCCTCGAGGAAATCAGCCTTTACCATTGCAAAGACAACATTATTCGGAGCGGGAGAAGGGGATGCAGTATAAAACGTAAAAATTTTTGCGAAGTATACGAAGATTTTTGGCAGACATGTAGCTGACAAATGAGGAGCACAATGAGGAGAACTTTTTAGGACGGCACCCCTGCACCCACCTCAATACTTGAGGTATGAATACGCTAAATGACACTATTCAAGCCTCATGTAGTTACACGTAGCTGCAGCGATTTGAAATTTACAAATCTGAGACAGATCAACAAATGAAAAATGGAGGATATCTCTCTAGAAGCTCTTGCGCAACCGGCATGCTTTGCGACTGTAATTTGAAAAACCGGCCTAATATCGTACTGCATGAAAACACAAAACACAGTCAATTCATCAAGATAACTGCCGCTAAGCATGCCGGCTGCGCAAGAGCCTTTAGGTATGTGGAAATCTAAGTGGGTTTTGTAAACAATCTGACTAATGACCGATCTCCATTGGGCGAAATTTTTTCGCTTTTTCGCCGGCGAAATGTTATGAGTGTTCGTATTTGAAATTTTTCGCTTCCTGCGCTGTGCGCGACGTTCGCCTTGGAAGTTCAAACTATTTGAATTTTTTCTCTGTCGCCGGCGAAATTAATGTCCTGTACACTTATAGCAAAATGGCTGAGTCCCAAAGCAGCTTAGTGTTGGATGAGGAAGTAATAAAATTTATTTTTACAAGTACGCTACATGTTTCTTTTACAATACTACCAATAGATCTGGGGCGAATCCTATAGCTCATGACAACTGATACATGCGAATCACCAGAAACAAGGTGTTTAAAAGTCACACATAGTCTCTCTTAGCAACTATTGGTTGGCGAAACTCCAATTCTTCATTAGAAATAGAACCATCAAAGACAACAATTGCTCAAACTTTGCATACAAAAATAGATAAAAATAGTTGACGGTCATAACTGTAGATCTATAACAAGATTTCTGTAAGCTCCTTTACTTTCTCGCTCTTGGTAGAATTTACGTACCCCAAACCTTTATTTGCTTTTGGTTTCTTTGTTTCTTACGCTTCAACAAATAAAGCAAAATGAGAATATCTATATCCTCATCCGACATCTTGACATTCTGCTTCTATTTTGCACACAAAGCTATTGTGAGCTGGAGATTGTGAGCCTTGTAGTTTTCCCTTTTCGTCAGCGCGAAAGCGAAAAAATTTTGCCTAATGGAGATTGGCCTTAAGGTAGGTCTTAGTTCTATTTTATCTTGCAATAAGTCGTTTCAAAGCAAGAAGGGACATCTTTTCGAAGATCTTTTCTTTGTTAGTGCAAGGGGGCTATTTCTGTTGCTGCAAACAGGATCTAATTTCATTTGGTGCAAGGGGGTCTTAATACTGTCGGTGCAAGGGGGAAGTTAGTTCTGTTGATGCAAGGGTGAGAACCGAGGTGTAATCCTAATCTTCGTTGAAAACAGGCAGACGGTATCAACGACTGCCCAACTCTTCAGTGAATGTTATCTGGATTTTGAACTCAAACATCATTAGAAAAGCATATTTTTGCTAATGACATAAAATGATTTGCTTCAGATTCGTTGTTCAATTTTAAAATAAGTCATTAATATTCATACCCAAGAATTTCAGAAGCATCTGTATAAATGATAAGCTTTATTCTTGTAACTCAAAACTGGTAAATTTGATCGAGTTGAATCTTCTTGGTACGAAATTTCCAAGAAAATCTTCAAGAAAATAACTGCACCAAAACATAAGAAACCCTACCATAACAATTTTCTTATAAAACTACAGGATCAGTTGCTCTACTGCAGTAACATGATGTTTCGGTGCCGAAGGTGGATCAAAAGGATAATATGGTGCACCTCTAGCCCTTTTATACAGCTAACAACCTTTTCTTTTTTGCTACTTTTACAACCTTGATAATCCACCATTTTGAGCACCAATAATTCGTCTAAGGTGTGTATATCATAGTACGGTGATAAAAGCTTGCTAGGTTCTTTGCCACGTCATACAAGCATAAAATGGCTCCTTTTCTTTAACCGTATTTCCAAGCTCTCTCTATCAACTCCAGCCCCTGGTCACAACAGGCGTTTTTCTAAACCCTACAATCAAGAGCAGAGGCTAAAACCCCGCTATACAAAGAGCCTAGTTGTTAATACGTCGTTTCCCTTCATCAGCAATTACAGAATACCTTGAGGAACTCACAGTGCAGCTCTAAACCATACCAAACAAAGACAATGTCTTAACAATTAACAATCGGCAGGACAAAGAAACGATTAATAGGGCTTGGTGGTAGGACCTAGTTCAGATATAAAAATCTCTTAGCAAGCTAAAAAGGCTTGGAAAAGCAAATGTGCAGATTGTCACAGGGTATATTGAATGTAGTTTCCCTAAAACCTTTGTTTACATAGCAAAAACATCAGTGTGTAAAATCAGATTATCATGCAGGGTAGAGTAAGCACCAAGGAAAAATTCAATTGACTGGGCCAGAAAAGCCGGAACGAGAGAATGAGATAGGCTTCAAACATAGGGCAAGCTTTTACGGACACTGCAGGATTCGACATACGCAGACATAAAAGAGGCAATAAATCACCTTTGAAAATAGTTGTAAGGCACTCTTTCCGAATCTTAAGTACAATTAAATCCTAGCGTAATGAGCTTTGTACTTAACCAGAAAATAAATTCGATGCCAGGAGGTCGCTTCATAGAGGAGGGATTTCGATATGGGGCGATTTTTGCAAACATGCTTTTTGGACAGTCCCAATTATATCACGTGTTAGTACTGCATACTTCATTGTCCTCAAGACACTATCAATAGAATGGATATAGTATTATGTTAGAAATGTTAGATGCTAGATGTTTTTACTCCACCAACAGCGAAAGGGTATTAGACAATCTTCCCAGCGTCATAAAAACAAACAGACTTTTTGCCGGAACTTTTTACCTAATTAGATACCAGCAGCTAGAAACTTAAAAAATGTGTCTTTTTCAAAAAAGGTTCGTGTAGTAGAGATTCTCCAGAGAGAAACTTAGAAGCGGGGAATAAATAAAACTTTTTGAAAAAATCCTCAACACAGGAATGACAAGGCAATATCTCCTAGAAGCACCATTCTTTGGGGCTTCTAAAGATTGTATGAGATAACGGATGAAGCTCGTCGTTTTGAGTGAAGCGAAATATTGGGGGTGAATAGATTTAACAGCAGAAAAAATAAAAAAAAAAACAAAAAATGGACCCCAAATTCGCTCCTTTATTAAATGGGTATGGCATTTTATACTGGATACCACTTATGAATTCGATGAATATAAGCAGACATTCTGAAAACAATTGAGGCGATGTCATCCTCTGGTTCGTATTCTCTTTCCATTCAAGTTTAACGACTAACGGAGAAAATTTAGCAAATGCAGTTGAACAAAAAGTGGTTAAAGACAAGCGATGAAACAATGACAGATACTTCATGGAGTGGCACCGTACCGTCGGTTTCGAAAACAAAAGCCGAATGCGTAAAGCCTGGAAAACGTTTGTTGCAGAAGCTCGATTAAGAGGTTCTAGAGAGGATCAGTAGACCGTAAGATGTTTTAAAGATCATTCATAGTAAGGCGTTTTAACCAAGTATTTGGTAGACACATTAATTGGACTAAAAGTATCAAGAAAGATTTGCTAAATTGTCATGGAAATAAACTATAACGTGGCTTTTAAAAGACTCATGCAGGCCAGTCACCTGGTAACAGTATCTCTAAATCCGCGAGTTCCGGGAGATGTTATCATTCAGAACAACAACTTTTCCATTAATACTAACTTACCATGAAGCAAAACTTTATGAAACCCAAACGATTGAGGGTATCGAATCGATGTTTCACTGGAACAGTAATATTCAATATAAGCAGTAGATGCCTTATCCAACCAATTGGGCAATACTTATTAAATCAAACACATGCTGCATGACTTAAATGTTTTATTTCTGGGAATCTTTTAAATGAGAGAGAAAAATTGCTGCGAAATTGAAATAATGCAAATAGTTTCACAAAAATTGAACAAAAAAAACTCTAAAATAATATATTTAGTGATGGAGCCTGTATACAGCCTTTGATTGCAGCTATTTGGTTTATCTGAGTGTTATCTTATGGGCTGTCAAAAAGCCAAAATGTTAGAAATATTAGTATGATTGCCTCAAAAATTATTCGTAAAAGTTTCACTCAGCAAAGTATAGCATTATTTAAAAACCCCTTCGAAATCAGGAAGTCTTTAACTGAAATATGAGGAAAGTTTACTTTTTTGAGTATATTACAACACATCAATATATTTTTTGCTCGTATTATTTTCATTCTGATGAAAATTTTTCTGCCAAATCTGAAAATTTCTGGAAACCTAGCTCCAGGATCCGAGAACTCTGACGTCCAACCATTCCTACTTGACTTTCCAAACATTAGATAAAAATCGGTCAGATAAAGCTCAGGTTTTAAAGTTAATCATTGAGCAAAATGAAGGAAGTGGAACCTAGAAAAAAGGACAGATGAGGTTCCATACCTGATTATTCCAAGCACGGACAGCTGTCGATGCTAAAGCTCAAAAATATAAGAAAAATGTCTAAAGTTTTCCGAGATCTGAATCAGAAAGACGATTCAGTTAAAACCCGTTCTGTTAGGCCTACACGCGTACAGAATTTGGGATCGCTTAACATCCAGAAAATCAAGAGCAAGGTATTAAGCACAAACTTAACATTTTATCTAAATATTCCGCGCCAATACGTATCTAGAACGTTAAAAGCTAGGGTTCCTTAAATTTAAGAAATACGGAATTTAAAAACTCACTTTAACTCCGGGCAACCTTCTCCAAGGAACTTTAACGTTGAATCTGTCAGGTTATCACAGCCAGATAAACTTATGAAGTCTAGCTCTTTGCACATCTCGCTGACAGTTTTCATCCCTGCATCGGTTATATTCTAGAAAAACCAATGATCATTTGAATTCTAATGCACATCAACACATTTAATGGATATTAGAACATGATACCAAGAAAATGATTGCAATGAAAAAAGTGGCCTAATTAAATAAGATACTTCAGCGAAAATTTTCAATAACACAATCATAAAGGTATGGATACTCTGCTGTAGGACACTATGTTGCAGAACCCCAAAAAAAGGGCGATTACACGGTCAACGTTTGCAAAAAAAGAACAATTAAATGAAAAAGATATGAAAAAGCCACACCAAAATCCCGCCTTAATTTTATTGTTAATTTGAGTAAGGCTGCCAGAACTAAGGGTAATATCCGGAGAAAAGATGGACGCTTTCTTGAGTCTGACTATGCTGTGCCTAACAGAGCTTTGTTGTGCTCAGGGGGTAACACTATAAAGTGCCATAGAGGGGCATATTTCCCCTAACATATTCAGATGAAACTGTCGGTACTTGGAAAATTTTGAAAGGAAAAACAGGAAAATACATCTACGCATTTTGATAAACTTCAAAATTAATATCCTTAAAAAGTGTCAGCAAAAAACAAAAGTCAATCGAGGTCCTATGTAGAGGCTGTTGTACCCTGTGTAGCTAACAGCTAGCCTTGTGGCCTGCCCGCAATGTTGCCTTGGATATCGCTCGACGCATTTCTCTTTCTGTGAGGTTTTCACCATTTAGATGTAATACATAAACATGACCGCTGATGTGACACAATTGTCTGACACAAAGTGACACAATACGAAAAAATTGTCTTTCCCTTAACAGATTGTCTTAAATAGCGGTGGTAGTGAAAAGCATCGACCCCGCTGGGTCAACCTAAACGAGCAACACAAAATTGTTCAAAACAATTTCTACACGAATAAGAACATCTGTCAAGGGAAAATTCTTGTTGCAGATAAGGCTTTGTAGATATGGTAAAATTAGTTTTTGAAATTATGCATCTTATTTTTGCAAATGATTTTTGTATAAAAGCCTTGTGCAAAGGGTAGCTTGATGTTAAAATTTATCGACACTTGCAAAAAGAAATGAACGAAATGAAACAATGAGATACTTTCCGAAGATAAATTCTAACACAAGAAGTTTATGAAAAAACCTATAAATGATTAAGGGAAAAAATGATTGTTTTGAAGTGACGTTACAAAAGAATCATTGAGTCACTAATCTTTTCTTTTGTAACACAGAAAAACAGACCAATATACACGATTATCAATATCGGATTCTTTAATTTCCTCGGTAACTTTTGCATTTCTACGAATTAAGAATTGCAACAATGATATTCAATTTAATGCAACCTCGCTAATTTTCTCCAACTTCTATACAAAAGAACTCATTTTCTCTACAGATTTTCTTTCGCTTCTAATTTACATAAACAGAAATCAATGGCAGGTTCAAAGACTGGGATAACTAATAGCATGATGGTCTTATCTCAATATTAATGAATAGCATTATTAATCAGGTTTCTCAGGCAAATACTGGCAGATGACCTCTAAACACTTTTCCACGTTCTCCTATCTTGTGCCAATTACAGGCGTGTACTGTCGACTCTCATATATAAAATCTATAAAACGGCACATCAGGTTAAGTTTAATTTTATTTTTGCCAGTTTTCATTTGCTGTAGAAAGCGACAGATTAACTAAGTCACTTTCATCGACATTCGTAATGCTCCTAGTAACTAGCTTACTTTCGACATCTTAATATTTTGATATCCAATTCTTGTCTCCTTGCTTGCCCTTCGAGCAATGAGCTTATCATTTTCATATAGCTCGTCAAGTAATACCATCTTGTTGTTCATCCTCATTTGCCTGGAGTTCTTGGTGTGTCGGTTAATATCTGCAATCTTCCACAAAAATTGTGAGACTGCTTTTCCTTCCCACCTCGCAAGAATGCTAAAGTCTGTTTGGCGTATTTACCCAAAAGAAAACCTATCGAAATTATTTTGTAAACCATTCGTAATTTTGACTTCGGCTCCAGATAGACGTATTCGTTGCTCAACCCTTCCACCGTTCCCTTTCCTCCCCCGCCCCCTCGACGCAATGTTGTTTGTTGTGATTTGGTGAAATAGTTGCAAATCATGTGTGCAAAGACCGTATACAATAATAAGATCTCAACAACATTGCTTGAAGGGGGAGGGGATCAAATACAATTCTAGTAGATTACAATTCATAAATTTGTCCTAATTTATCATTGGTCTCAATATACTTTTTGAAGGGTTGTGGCTTGCGTACCTTATCGAACAAATACTACTTCGGTATTGTCCTGCTCCACTGCAAGTTATCAGCTGTGCATCAATCGCTAAAGTTGACTATTATCATTAAAGAGGAATGACCGAAATCTGCCAAAATCACAAAGTTGATGCAGTGCATAAAGCATGGTACCCTGAGTCCAGAGCCTCAAAAATCCAGGGATACTGTACTATAGACCGATTCAGAGGCGAAAAAGGAGAAATATTTCTGAGACTGGATTTGAACAATATTTCTAAAACTAAATTATGGGATTTGAACTATATTTCTATAACCCATGGTAAAGGAATAAAAAGTATTTGGGGGACTTTCGGACATTAAGAAAGACCTCGTATTGAGACAAAAGAGCGTGGATTTGAGCCGAGTTTTCATCGTGTTGAGCTTCTTGAAGTTTAGGGAATTAATTGAATTCAATCATGAAATCGTAAATAACGGACCTGTCTGGTATCCATGTCAATAATCAACGTTAAGATAGTTAAGATATTGGCGATAAGCCCGTATAAGCATGAGACACAACAAGAGCTCGCGCGGGAGGACGAGTCCGCGTTTTTTGAGATCGAAACAAGAAAATATTGTATAGTAGAAAGCTGATGATAAGCATTGCATAAGGTCTGGCAGAGAGGAATAAAAAACAGGTGACTTATAAAAAATTTATCTCCTTCCGGCAGCTTGGACTCATACTTATCACTAAATCGGCTTTCATTACCGTTTCGCTAAAAAATTCAAAACTTTTTAGCTTGCTTTTCCTTTCAAATCTTTTCCTTCCTACTAGCGATCAAAAGCGGTTTCCTTTTTAAATTGAACAAGAGTGCTTTATAATCCCTCATTTGGTTTTATTCTTAATAATCAATTTGAATAATAAGTTGCACAACTTTACTGATGTTTGGTAATTACAACTGTAAGGAATGAAAAATCCAACAATCAAAGGCAATCAAACTGCCAGAAAAAATCAAGGGGAAAAAAGTTATTATCAATTCATTAGCTTTGGTGATACTGACAGAATGCTGAAATAATGCATTTCAAAGTTTCACGCTTCATGCATTCATTTAGGCAACTGCCTATAGGACATCAAACCACATAGCTAACCGGTAAAAAGTTATCTTAATTCAAACAAAAAAGAATTTCGACGAATGAGCTACCCCGGGACATACTGAACTCAAATAGTCTAGCACATAGAAATATTCACCGTCACAAACATAAGGCAAATTGGATTAGGGTTTACTTTCCTTCAAACGTATTTTCGCGCTGCAAATTCAAGCTGAATTGGAAGTTGCTTTTACAATTTGCCTGAACACAACATTAGGGCTTGGGAACTTTTAACCCTTAAAGTACTCAAAGCTACAGCAATTCTGAAGATTCCATTAGTTTCTCATCAAAACTGTATGTTTTCTGATACTGCATTGACTCTTAAAGTTCTTGATAGAAACAGCTTACTGCTCACTGTGAAGCCGCAAATGACAATTCCCTTTTTCTAATTATTACCTACATTTGTATTAAAAGTACTTCTAAAAAAATTGGTTCGCCGCTAAGAATTGAAAAGATCTACACCCCTAAAAGAACACAAATAATCAAGAATCGACATAAGAAGGGTTCACTCACCATACAGCTTTGAATAACTAATTTCTTCAATCCATTGCAAGATCTTGCTACGCTTTGCAAACCTTCGTCCCGAATCTATAATCAAAGGGTAATCTATTTCAAACTGTGTGCCTTTAAGCAAGTACTTCTTTACATTGCAACTATAAATCATAATTCTATGTAAAGCTAAATTCGTTAGAAATAGCAAATTTCACAAGAATACATTTTGGCAGACAAGGCATATCTGAAAAAGGTTTCAAACACAAAAAAAACAGATTTCGTTTGGTAAGTGTAATACAAGCATCCTGTTTACGGAGTTTGCATTTTCTGGCTACAATTCTGTGTTTAAACATAAAATAACTGGAAAAAAAATTGCATCTGCTTAAAACATCTAGCAACTAAGCAATACCGAGACGCTGAGATAAAGCTGTAGGTTTACAGCTAAGTTCAGACATCCAAAGTCCACGGAAAAAGCTGACCAGATTAAGTGAAAATCCTGGCTCCTAGGTCTTAAAGAAGAGGATAATAGCTATGTTTTGATCCCCATGAATACCAGCCTCCTAACCTATAATATTTCCTATCATTTCAACCGCTAACTAGCTTTCCATAAAAAATGAAGCTATCAGAGTTGTATGGTAAGTTGCTTAATTTTGACTGGGTCGTAAAATGGCTAAAAGTTTTTGAATTAGCAGTTGATTGTTGTGATGCAATTGGCAAAAAACAATAGCTTGAAGCTTCCAAACTGCCTCTTTTCAACCCATACGCGCACAACGTAAGGAGGCTGGGGGTTGTAGCCTCCAGTTTTCAATTTTCTGTGACATTTTTGGGAAAATATTATATCAGATACTAAAACAGATATTTTTGAACTCTTTTTGTTTAGAAAATCACATCGAGCATCTCATAATAAAAGAAGGTGACGTATTAATATAGCTGATAATCACGTGAACCGTTAATCCATGTCACTAATCTATGAGTCAACGAAAACGCACGAAAATGCTTGAGCAGTCACCCTGACTAATTTAAGTGTTAATATGGATACAAATTCGTAGAAAGATTCGTAGAAAAAATGTCATTCTTGACTAAACTTTTATGTGTATTGCTATTTATGGCAAGAATTGCAATTTAATGTCAAACGGGAGACAAACTGGGACCACTTACGTTAGTGCAGCCTCTTAGGAGGAGTATTGTGAGCATCGGACACCCATTAGCAATGGCACGTAAACCATCCGATGATATCCTTCTACACCATGACATATTGAGATAACGTAGTTTTTGACAGCCTTCCCTGCAAACGAAAATATTATGCAAACTTTAGGTCATTAGGCTGCCCATAGGACAACAAACCACATAACAGACCGAGGTCTGATATCTATCTGATATCAAACTTTCACAAAAATACAGACATCAACCATTATTTTTTGCAAGTAAACTAGATATACTTCAATAAGCCATTAACAATTAAAGTAGTTAAAGTCACTATTCAGGGTTGTTGTACTTTTTAACATTTATTCTACTCAAGGCAGGGTATGTGTTTCATACCAAAGCAGGTCTTGTGTTTTTCGCGTTTTACACCACATGATCCCAGGTTCATCATAACACCACATTTTATCTTCAAACCGCATTGGCTATATATGCTGTCATAAATTTTTAAGGTCAACTCTTTTAATTTGCGTCTAACGGTCTTTTTTATCTATAGACCACTTATAGACAATAACCAAATCTTTCAACCAAATATTGTAAGCGCCTTTAAAATCATCATTCATTAACTGTTTATTTTGCTTAATTCAAAGACCAACTATTAAGATACCATCATTAATGAAACTATACAATATACTAATTAGATTGACTTCAGATTCGGATTGTGGACCAGAAATTTAATGAACATGTCGATTTTCAATATACTAATCCTTGCGATATCGATAATAAACAAACAACACACATTTTGGAATGGATTAAATTGAGAGTAGCTTTTAAAATACTGATCTTGAAAAGAGCAGCATAACAATGAAACTAATAACCAGCACGGCGATCAAAGAGAGACATCTTGTTCCAGTTTTATTTCATCTATTTTTGCATATTGTTTCTTCATAGTTGTTGTATATTTATATTGCAGGTCCTTATTGTTTCTTTCTTTCTTACCTATATAATATTTTTGCTTTTATCTATACTTTACTCTTTACTGCATACGACTCTAGCTAGAGACGAAACGTTAGTGTTGTATTGATAATGTCCAACCGCTTATTTCGCAACTGTATATATCGGAATAGAATTTGAGTTATGCTCAACTTTAAATGATTGCTAAGTCATATTTTAACTGGAAAATATACACGAATTGCGTCGAAAGATAGCTAAAATAAGATATCTCTCTTTGTCGCCTTGCTTGTTGCCAGCTTTCAAAATGTTTTTGAAAAAAACACTAAATTAAACTCAAAATATCACATTGATTAGAGCTGAACGTTGATAGTGATAAGACTTTAATTCAAAGGTAAGCGAAAGAGAGATAGAAGACCAGGTCGAGCTAGAATAATTTCGAAAGACCAGGTTAAACTGAATAATTTATATCAAATGCAAAATTCCATCCCGCATCCTGTATATTTATGCGAGGAAACAGCAATGCAGGGTCAGATAATGCGATGTCATGAATACACTGAGTAAAAAAGAAACCATGTTAGGAGTGAGATGTAATAATATGCTGTAGATGAAAAAAATTTAATATTACGGGGGCAAGGTTTGAGAGAAAGGGCATCGCAACTGCACCGAAGAATCAAGAATCAATTAAGGAGTAAACAAAATACTGGCCAATCGTAAAATATTTTTGTACCTTTAAAGCCAATTTTCCAAAAAGAAACTTCTACAGGTTGAAAAAGGAGTACTACATGAAGCAATTTACATAAAAATTAATTTGCCAGTTGATTCGATGCGTACGATACAGGTGGATGACTGTTGATTGAAGTTTGAAGATTCACCCCCCTAATCAATCCTAGAACCTCTTTCCCACAATTACAGAATGAATATAGCATGAAGAAATCCTCACCCTAGTTTTAAAAGTCCGTTGTCGTCTATTTCGATGCATGACTCGATATCCAATAGTTGCAGTCTACTCGAATATTTGCTCAGGCTTTCACAAGTTCTGCAAAAAACACTTCGTAGCAGCAAAAACTAATTCAAAAAATGATTGAAAAATATGGATAATCAAGATTCACCTAAATGTTAAATTAGAACTGGTTTCTCCAAAGATTTTCAAAATCCTCACTTTTCATGAAACACTAAATAGTATAGGGTCAGACAAACGTGATCAAAAAAATTCGAGCAACACATTTCAAAATACGATGTCAATGAAGAACATAAGGCTGGATGTCAGCTTTGTGGCCTAGTCTTTCAACATTGTGGCAGATTCTAAAGATAAACAAATGATGCATACCTCTAAACTTTTGAGTCCCGAAAACGTTTACATTTCTAATGAAATTCAACGAAACATAAAACGAAAATGAAACAAAGTATTTCTGATTTAAACTTCAGAGGTCAAAACCGAACTTGTTGTGTCGTATATTTAAAATCCTATAGACTTCACGGTAGCTGGCTTTATGACATTTGAAATCAGCAAATTTAAAACTCTTTAACAGGCGAAAGAAACCATACAGACCATATGAAAGCTCATTAAAGTACAGATAATGTTCAGAAGTAGTCTTCCATCTTTGCTAAAAGCATTTATCAAGATTTAAATGCATTTAGGTCTATTCTACTGGTCTACCAGAGTTTCTAGAAAATTGTCTCCACCACCGTACTCGTTTAATATGTCGTGTATTATTGATACCATCTCATTTAATAGCGTTAATACTGGACACAGTTGCTTAGACAAATGCCACATGCAAAATTGAAATTTATCTAAAGTAAGCAAATAAACCTCTCTCCCAATTAAAAGCTGAGAAGGTGATCTGAACATTAAATTAGGAGAAAGGGCGCAAACTCTTTATATCGTCTATCTAGTGTTGCAGGTTTCTGTTTCTGTCTACCATGACCAGCTAATCAGGTTGTAAACACAATTATTCTTTACGTAATTGTTTAAAAGTTGGGTTGCACAGAAACATCATAAGCCCACCATTGTTTAAGATTGCAGAGTTTTCTTGTACGATTTTTTCCTGCTAGCTTCAATCAGAATTGGATCTCTGCATGTAGCATTCATGGTAGAGCATTTTGGTGCTTTGCCTCGCCTATGCTATTTATGGCAAAGTCTTTCAGTAGGACCATTGACGTAACGCAGTTTAGAATACCTTAGTTCGATAACTACGGGTCCTTGATCAAAATGGGCCCCAAGATACTTTTACATCAATGATTTCAAAACTTCGCTAGAGTTGACCTTGTTTTCATCAACTTGTAAGGTTCGTTAACTGAAGCGTCCAGCTCAGCGTTTCCAATTAAAAAGAAATATCATAATCTACACATCTCACGATTCTATTTAGCATGCTAAACAAAATTGGGTGGGACCTTCTTGCAGTCCATAGACAGAGGTCCCATTTCAATTATTACACCACTTAGTAGAAGCCTACAAAAATCAACGCCATGGTAGAAAAGCTTAATGCAATCTCCGGCTTATTTCTCGGAAAATTTTGTGCCAAAATCATTAATCTGCAATAGTTGGTCTCAAAATGTTTCAAAGAACTTTGCAAATCCAAAGCTGGAAGAGATAACGGTTTTTGCCAGTAGTTATCATTAAATCTGATTTGCAGACAGATCTGAGAAGCGAAAACGACGAGAAGATTCAATCCTTTTGCAAACATGTATTTATTAAGAATGGTAAACAAACAACGTTTCGCAAAACCCAGACAATATTTGGTATCTTACCTATTGGTTAAACGATTACAGTCACGCAGAATCAGCTCTTCTATGTTCTTGCATTGATGGGCAAACGTTCTAAAAAGAAGAGAATTGAAACGTCAAAAAACCCTTGTCGTATTCATTGAAGCGCAGTTCCTTTCAAGAGAGAATGAATCAGAGAAGCTAAATGTGATTTATGCATGTAAAATAAATACCATGCAGCTGTACAGCGTTTGGTGGCAAGTGAACTTTCCTAGCTACATAGAAGACCCTTCTTAAAATATTAAATACAGTGCTAAGATAAATCGGTTAAAAAGATGCTGAACTTTGACAAGTTTACTTTTTAGTTGAGCTTCTTCAGCTTGGAAAAAACTCTTAAAGAGAACCCATTCTAATAGAGAAGTTGATTTATAATTTACAACACGCTTTTAGATTCATTTTGCAGATAAAATACATTTCGTTGCAGAAGAAATTTTCATACGACAGGTTACAAAATTCAAATAGACTCTGGAAAACTTTAAGCATAATAACAAAGAATAATACAGAGCTTTTCGTCCAACAATCCTCAGAGCATAAAGCATCGATAACTGCCAAAGTAAGCAAAAACCTTATCACAGAAGCAGACGGAAGTAAAGTAGAGAAATGAAGCATTTGATCGGCTCCTTATGTTTAACCCATCAGCGACCCAAACACCTCACATACACAAAAAAGTCAGAAACTTAGTGCATACTCCATACAGTGGCATTTCTTGTTATTCCCAGAATAATCATTGCCTATAAAATGCTTGTTACAAGAAAGGCATGTTCTTGGAGCTGTAGTAAAATCAATCGCGCATTCAGTTGAAGAAACTAACTGAAAGCCTGAGCAATGGTTGATACGGCAGACAAAAACAGTGAGAATACGAATAAAACGAATAAAACCCTTGAGTAGGGTGGAAAATATTATAAGCGGAAAGCTTTAAAAGACAATTTTCATCAATTTTTTCTGTATGATAGGGAAAATTGAACTTCCTTGATAAGACAGCATGTCAAAAGTCGCAAAATAAATTGGCAGTTTCGGACTGACAAAAGAGTCAAACAGACTTAAAAGCAAACAAGCAAGAGGAAAGAAAAGGATTTTACTGTATACGAAGATTAATCCCTGGAATAATGTCCCACTCAGTACGCCTTTAACTGACGTAGCTTCTCAATTCAAAACAAACCTTTAAAGGATAACATTGGTATATTTAGCCTGGACCATCACTCAATGGCACATTCATAAAGACAAGTGTTAAATTACAACGCAATTTGAGGAAACTAAAGATGGGTTTCTCATCAATCAAAAACAAGTTGTCAAACAGCGGACTGTTGTGGATTAAATAAACTATCGCTGATTAGTCTGTCGCATACTAATCAAATCCGTAATTGCTCCATTGATTCTAGAGTGATTCTAGGTTAAGCTCTTCGTAGAAGGGGTATGTTTTAACTTTTTTTTAAAAAAGATTTAGAGGAAATATAAGCTTCTTAGGCTGTCCCAGGGCTCTTTGTCGCAGGAAAAGTATTTCTATTCAATTTCATTTAAGCATTTATTCTACTCGGAAAAGGGTTACCAGGTTTACCAAAGATAAGGAAATCCTGGACCTAATAATGTTGCATTTCGATATGATATAATAAAATTCTATTTTAGATTTCATTAAACTTGCAAATAGCTTGAAAGAACACCATGAAATAGATAAATCTGGCACATAATACTTGAGAAATGGTCAGATAAACAAAGGTGCTTTTCTCATCAAATTAATGTCAACTGGCCTTGGTTCTAAAGCTGATGAGCCAGACCCGAAGGAAAATAATCAATAAAGCGAAACTCAGATATTTCACGGACCATATCTCAGTACCTCTGTAACATGCTTAAGGTTTTGGTACAGTTAGAGGTTTTCACCGTGATCTGTATAACTTTGTGGGCAAAGTTCCAGAATCCAATATATCATTATGGCGTCATCACTTGGCCACTCTATTAATATGATGTAGAAATGCAGTAATTATTATTATATTTTCAAAGGTTTTGATTGAAACACGGAACTTCTCAGATCTCATAATGTTGACAAAATTGGCCTATGTCCTGATCGCCCAAATTGTTTAGATTGTAAAGAAATTAGAAGCATGCAATGTGATACGAACTGAATAGAAGAGACTGAGCCTGATAATTATGATCTATATGATACAGAATTGAGTCGCATTTTTCTTCAGTTAAATAAGCCGAAGAAGACTTATCCCTGAATTAACAGAAAGTTTTAAAAACTTCTACATTAGCCGGCACTTTGCTAAAAAACCTTCCAATTGAGGTTTATCAGAAGTGATAAGAATGCATAAACAAGTTAACTTCAAAATAAAGTCTGTGACTGCAATAAGCTTTCCTGATGAAATATACCTGTATCAGACAATTTCCGCTTATTTAAAACAGATCAAATAATTCCAATTTGCAATAATCGAAGTGGCTATCACTATGCTATTTGAAATGCAAAAGTCAAAATCATATTGGCTTAAAGTATCACTACCCAATGACTTTCAAATCGTCAAATTAACGTTATTACATAACCTAACCACGTTCAGCTTTACGTGTCCTTTAAATAGAAACTAATGCAAATTCATTTCTACTTTTTCAATCAGCATTAATCTAGCTGATTGTTTCTTTGTGATATCATCTTGCTTAAAATTGCTCTAGCTTAAGTATATACTAAGCTCAGGGCCGCCAGTGATATTTTGTATTTAATGCTCTACAGGGTGAAACAAAAACTCATTATGACCTCATCCTATGAATTATCGTCTATCTCCAGCAAACATGATTGGCATGCTCAACTAGACCTGAGTTCATATGCAATGTTAGCTTTGAAGACCAAGTTACATAGCCGGTGGGTGTCGCTGGAAGGGTGAAAAATCTAAGCTTGTATTTGCATCCTCCAGCGTACTCTTTGAACTCGAACAGTCTTAAGTTCACAATCACTTTCTATTTACTTGGATGCATGGTTACAAGAAAATACCAACTGCAATTAGTTCGCTGAAATGTGTTATCTAATGCAAGTATAAACGTGTCTGTTTGGATCAGTCGTTTGTTTCCCTCTATAGGCTAGGGTATGCTGCCTCTGGCTACACATTGCTACTAGACTTTTTCCAGTTAGCATCAGGTTACATCCAATGTTGGTTCAGTCTAAACAACATTTTTGGAATTGAGCGTTAAATTTTGCCTCAAGAAGAAATCAAGTCCTTATGATAAAGTTTCAGACCCATGCTTTTGTTTTACTATTTTCAGATTTATCTATATGTTTTTCAATGAATTGGGCGTAGTTGGAAAATAAAGAGAGCAGTAGATGATGTATTGGGAAAAGCAAAAGTGCTCCGAGCAAATTTGGCCCATTTAAAGGCATTTCATAATTGCCTGTCAGGTTATGTGGTATAAATGAAAAAATTCTAAGAATATATTTTTATGACGTCATCACTCAAAAACTTTCTGCTAATGAGTTCAGAATGAATAGAAATAGCAAAAATACCGCAAGGCATCATCTTCAATACTTTGGCATCCTTGTAGGTTTAGCCGCTTCAGAAACCCTCCACATCGTCTTGACAAGCTCTGTATGACCGGACCCTGTCAGTGGAAAGATTTTATGAATAGAAATGATACATGGCAGAAGATGATGCCACCGGGATCAGAAAGATAAGGAAATAGGCGATCAGGAAATTAGAGCAATGGGAACCAGACCCACCTGGTGAGGAGGTGAGTTAAGGCAAAAGGATGTGAGAAAAGAAAGCAAAAAACGAGGCAGAAGACAAAGATGATGTACAAAAAAGATCGATAAGGATTGAGAGGTAGAGAGAAATACAAAGGTATTCTATTTAGAAAAGGTGGGAGAAAATTTAGAAAAAGTCAAAGTTAAATAGCGAGGGGAGAAAGAATTCTTTAAGCAAAAGAAAACGACGAGGAAATAGTAACATGGAAAGATTGAGGATAAATTACAAATTTCCCGTCACTTAATTCGCATAGGAGGTAAAGGGTCAAGAAACAAGGCATAGAAATGTTACGAGGGAAAAATAAAAAAATTTTAAAAATCAGACAAAATCATACATAGAAAAGAAGTATACAAAAAGACAGTAGAAAAAATTAAAATGAATGTTGAAAGAACAAATGCAAGTAAGTAGTCTAAAATTTGAAAAAGAGAAACACAAGGAAGTAAGAGAGGACAAAACGGCCGAAGAACAAGAAAGAAATTTCGAAAAGTAGCTTTCTTAACATTGGACAAATGAAAACGTAAAGAAAAAGACAACATGCTTTAATGTAGTTACTGAAACGCTATATCGAGGTTTATTCTTTTTGACACTTTTGTATATTGATGGGTTTGTTTACGTTAGGTTTATGAAAAATGAATGAGAATATATATGAAAATAGTAACTTAACATGCAAAAATTACATTCAATCAGTAATAACTGGCATGAAAATGCAATAATTTTGTTTCTTAAATATGTATCCATGTTGATCAGAAAAAATGAGCTAATCCTTACAACCTTAACTTGCAATTGTCATATTTGATGTTTAAAGAAAAAAAACTGCGATTCTACTATACCTTAACGGCTCCAAAAGACTGAAAATTTATTATAAACTAGGAAATTTGTTATGGAAAATCTTTGATGTTTACCTGAAAGAATTTAGAGTCATAAATAGTATGGAGGATGGATATGAATGTCATGAAATAGATTTCATTTGGATTAAGACGTTATACAATAGATATCCCTTTAGACACCTAAAACAGCACCATTTACACAAAATATATTAACAATTTAGCGATAGCTTTTTACCTTTATATCCTTTTGAAAGTCAAACAGATCCACTCTCTGCCAATTGCTGCCATCGAGAGCAAGGACATTCCAGGCCTAAACAAAAGACAAGAGGTAGATTTTCAATGTACATTATTGTTAACTTTGGTATAGTTTTACTGTAGGGAATGTAGACAACTGGTAAGTAAAGAAAACAGTGGCATTCTTAGCAAATAAAATTGCTTATCATAACCATGTTGGAAAAGTCTTTTTGAAGTAAAATATGTCGTTGGGATGTTATTAATGGCTTCAAAAAAATTGTATTTTGCAGAACTGTAAAAGACTTGAGCCATTGCCAATTCCTTCCTTTTGATATTTTACGCACCTACAAATTGGAAAAAATTTACAAAAATATTACTCGATACTGTCGCGTTACTCGATGCATTCATTACGAATTCCAGCGTTCTTTTATTCTGTTGAACCTTCGGGATTGAATGAAAAATAGCTAACTCTTCTACTATAAATCGTTTTGTATAATTTTTACGACTCAAGTTTTGGCAAAAGAAATAAACTTGAAAGGTACTCAGCTATGATAAAGATAAACCACCGGTTGTCTCAACATTATATTTTAGAATACAATAAGCCAATAATTAGTTACTGCTGTCGCTTAATGTTTTACCGATCTTATACGGGTTGAAACTACAACAGTTCAAAGCAAATTATCACAGACAATGATTCTTTGTTTTATTAAAGAATAAATAATTATTTTCTTGTTTTTTTGGCAAAGTTGAACTTCCGAATTTTTGTTACTTCTTAAATAACAGTGACACTATCGTTTAAATTAACGAAAGTCCTTGAGCGCTAAATCTGCTCATGGACTTTCGCTAAATTTAACTAACTCAAAAAATGTCGGCCTAAGGTACTCCTTTGATATATACATGAACTACCAATATTTTTCTGGTAGAAAGGATGGGTTTGGTAATATTTGGGGCACGAGGTGAGGAAAGACAAAGTCGTCGGGAATTTTTTCATTGGAGGCAATGACATCTTGTCAAGACATAAAATAACTTACGATGACATACATTCGCTCAGTAACACAATTAAAGGTAGGTATCCTGTCGCTGTGTACGAAAAATACTGGTACTCTTTAGATGCTGTTTTAGAAGGTTATGGACACGTTGAAATAGGCAAATTTTCTTCGCACACGTTTATTTGTTGCTAAACGTTTAGTTGTTGCTACAAAAATATAAGAGATGCGGTGCCCTTCTCCATTGTCAGGTCTGTCTAGAGTCAATAGAATGGAGACCTCATTCCAAGCTAAACAGAGTTGGAGAGGGATACTGGTTCCTAGAAAAAGGGGGTCTTCTCTACAAGTTTTTAAGAGGGAACCAGTAAAACAATGTGCGCTTTACTAAAAAGAGGACGTACCTCCTTTGACTCCGGCATCGCTAACCTCTACGTTTCATATGTTCCATCGATGTTCTTTTGAAAAAACTAGTTTCCTGCTGTATTTTTCAGTTTGCTAAGCTATAAGCCTGAGTTCCAGCCCCCTGACTCAAAGTATCGTGAGTAAGACTCAGGCTATTAAGCTATTAGATAACTTGGCTGTGAAAGTCCTTTGCAGGGATTTTGCTTTTTTTAGTCAAAACCATAAAAGGTTGATAATGTGGCTTTTTTTCAGTGCTATTTCCAGTATTGCCTGAACGCATTTAGGATTCAGTTTGGATGTTCAGTAACTAGAGTGCGTGCGGAGGTAGCTTCAAGGTAGAAGCACAGGGCCCTTATATGCGAAGAAAACAATGACAAAATTGATAAAAGCAATACATTTTTACCAATCAAAACTTTTATGGCCGCTATATCTGTATCTAAAATTTCATGATGCCACAAAGGGTCGATTGTTTTCGCTAAAAGCTGTGCCAACTTCCCTTCTGGCAATGGTTTTTAGGATCGTTGGTTTTGTAAAGAGTACGTGGTCGCAAGAAATAGAACATGCCTTGAAATCGGCACACTAATCACAGGGAAACGGTTCCATAGCGTTTGAAAACAGATCAATCATTATTTTCTGGAATTTCGACGAGACAGAAAACACCGCAACAAGCACCGCGACTGTAATGCTTGGAATTAACGAATGACGGCTTATTTTCTATTATTAACATCAATTCATTAATTTAAGTGCAATATAAGGCCACACACAAAATTTCACATCGATATTCGAAAGAGAAGTGAAAGAAATCAATCCTTACTTTTACCAAATTTATAAGGGCTCAGTATGGAGCAAGTTCCTTTTTGCCACTATTCAAAATGGCGGAAGTAAACAAATTTGCCTCGCAGGGTACCGGTGAGTTAGACATCTAGCGCCTTCGGCGCTTCTATATCATCGGACCCACCACATAGCGTACTCATTCTTTGTACACAAAAAGGCACTTACCTTGGAGACCTGTGCCGAGCGACATAGACTGACTACATCGAGATATGAAAAGACTCTAGAAGCAAGATAAAATTTTCTATTGTTAAAAAGCACTTGTCATTGACAATTGTTAGAAAATTTATTTAGATCGATCAAGTGAATAATATGATGAAAGTCTAAGGTTTGGCGAAGAATGATCTTTGATCGGTATGACTAATGTCATGTACCGTTATCAAGGACTAGCGCATATCAGATGATTCATCATATTATCTATGCATAGGACTGTTCTCGTGGACCACTAAGGAACGAAATGATCATGGGTCATGGGTCTGTCTTGCTCCGTGTGATGACAAGAATATTCATATCTTGTATGAGTGTGATCTCGAAACAAAACGGTTCTATAGCGCCTTGAGGTGAATTGGTTACAATCTATACAGAGACACTGACGATTTGGTTCATGTGTAATTCCAGCAATAACCGGATATGAGAAACAATCCAAAACGAAATCAATCTGGTACCTTGCGAACAAGGCATATATAGGCATGACAGGGTTCTTTCGATCCTCTTAGATTGTATTAATACAAGCCCCCACTCCCCCTTGGTACACAGTAACAGAACACTTTGGTACCAGTGCACTATCGATAGATATCTAAAATGGATAGGTCATACAGAATTCAGTTCTACAGCAAAAGGGTCTGCTGGGTCAGGTCAGAAAGTTGAATCTTATTGTGCCATTAAACGAATAATGACCATAACTAGTATAATTATCTAAAATCTGCACACAAACCAGGTCACTAGTTTGGGTTTGGATAAGATCTTTAACTACAAATGGCAGCAACCCTATATGTTAAATTCACCCTCGACTGATTTCCTCTTGCAAGGCATTCCTTCTAAAAAGAATCTATATATCAAAAAGAGATCAAATTGATTTGCAATATTTTTAAGTTAATTTAAGTTAATTTAAGTTCATGCAATGAACAAGATCTCCATGGAGTGATTCTCGCTCCTCGAGACTGCGGTTGGGACGTTGCATAGAAAATTTTTTGGACCGCTCCTATAATCTGGATGCTTTTTGAAAAATTAATTTTCCTTGCTCATGAAAGCAAAGTTCTTGTAGGTAAATTTCCCGGTTAACATCCCTTTCGTCAAGTCACAAAGTTCAAAGCATGCCAGAGGTCTCGTTATAGCCATCTTATTGCAAATTTTTGATGATTAGTAGCAGCTGCAATTTGGCAAGTCTTGGGTTCGGAGGTCCTCCTTAGTCCTTCCTCAATGCAATGCGATAAATCTACAATCGCGATCGCAAATGTTCTTTACTGATATCGTAAACCAAAGAAGACTGACAATGTTTTACTACTGATGGTCATCAGATAGATTTTTAGGGTCAAAATGATATGATAATAGGCGTGGGTGTCGGGCCCAGTTACTTTTGGAACAGTAACTGTAACCATTACGGAATTGTACGATCACGGCTAATTGAATTTTACGATATTACTACTCGTTTTAGTTCTGTCCCTTTGCTATAAGAGGAAGGGTAGTTTGAAGTAGACATTTGTGCGCACTAAGAGTTGTGTTGCATGGCAATCAATTCTCATTTGTCACACTTTTTGCATGGTGATAATCATTGTTGTTGCTTTACTTGCAGCATATTTTAAATGTGCTTGCATGGGTAGGGAACCTTTTAAAGAATGTTTGATCTTGCAACCTTGCTATAGATTTAGTCGCACAATTAAAACAGGTCTGGCATAATTCTGATATGTTTTTCTGCACGCATCGTAATGTAGCGTGCATAAAAATTATTGTGTCTCAAACCCCAAGCAAGCATACAACTACATTATTTGACCAGCTATCTGCAAGAGATTAAAGGACAACCAAACACAATAACCGAGAGACTTGATCACGAAATCACCATTTGCTATTCCTATTTGCCGGTAACAATACACGTTGCATTCTTATTTGCTGGTAACAATTCCTATAAGTGACAAAATTAACAAAAGCGTAGAGTTTGTAGAAAAGGGCACAAGTCAGCCCAAAACGTGGACACAGACCAGTTATATCAATTTGCTGCATACCCAGGATATTGAATGAAATTTTGAAGGAGATCCAAAAATTTTCGTGAACATTCGTAAAGGAAAAGTCACAAACCAAAACAAATTTATGATACAGCTAGAAAAAGCGAAACGAGCACTTGAAGATGTAGATAATCTCTTAGAAACCTTTTTTGTAAGAAAAACAGGACAAGTAGCAGTGGCAATGAACCATTTTGAAACAACATGACTCTACATTCAACACTACGCATAAATCATTTTTTATCAAGCCAACAATGAATTTTCTGTAATCTCTAGCCACTAATTTCTCTGAGCCTCGTTGACCGTCGTGTAGCTGATTGGTTCATTATGTTCCTAACCCCCTTTTTTCCCTATTTTTCAAAACTCTTGCTTATCTGAATCAACACCTTGCTTATTCGGCACCTGGTATTTGTTACTAATTGGCACAGATTGATGACAGACACTGCACCTCTATCCAGCAAATCATGTGCCTGTTCCCCGCTCGTAACCCGCTTGTGCCCGCCGAGTAATCAGGATGAACCATAAGTTTTACTAGGATTGGTAGTTTTGTGCAGCAGGGAGTAGACATCTATAGATCCCGCCATGAAATTGGCTAGTTCCGTAATGCACGGTTTCCTAACGCCCGATGACTACGTCACGACTGCCAAGTAGTAATAAAGAAATGACTTGACCAAGTCATAAAGAGAGAGAGTGTGTGAAAAAGAGAGAAAGAGGGAGAGAGCGCTGCTGCATGCGCACATTCATGACAGCAACTGGGGCCAACGTCTTTCCCAAGACAACGCCCAAATGGCAAAAAGTGACATCATGGGTATCCAAATCACTGAGGTAGAAAAGGAGACGATTAGCGGCAGCCCGTGGTAATTAGTTACATTTGCTATTGCTCGTTTTTTATAACTCTGCAGAGTGCACACATCTCCCCTATGTTCCAGATATAAAAAATGCCCGTCTAGCAACCACCTTCCCTTTCAAACAAAATCTGTTTCCAGTGGCACTTAAAGCCTTAAAGTTTGTGTCGTTCTTGCCAGGTAAAAGAAAGCACAATGGCTCAGAAGAAAACAATAGAGGAATAAAATGGATGAGTAGGATTCCCAGGCCTGCTAGAATAAAATTAAGGAGGGCTTAATATTTCAATGCTATAAACGAGCATACTTCGGGCACCTGTTGGGAAGCAAACGATAGAAAGCGCATGTAAACAAATATAAAGTGAGGACATCTGACGAACAATTCATTGCAACAAAGGCTACTTCTACTTCACTGCATGGCCAATACGCTGTCTATCAATCTCAACAAAAAACTGATGAATAATCGCATCGAGAGGGCTTCAGTTTTTGAGACTGACTCGCTCGTTGCCATATAGCCGTCACAGGCAAATCTCAATACAACATCTATGATGGTGAGAAACAATTTGATAATTCAAGCCGGATAATGCACTGACTTCTTGCCTAATTGAAATCTTACTTTCTCTTAAATACAAAGACTGGATTTAATGAATAAATAATGACAGGATACCTCAACAGAAGCTCTTTCGGTAATTTTTTGTTGATCAGCCCAGTAACAGTGTCTTCGGTGAAACCCTGTAAAGACAAATTTTTGAATAAGTCAATAAAAGAAAGTTAACAAGGCGATATAAACATCAAATGAGCAAATAGAGCATTGATGACTTATTGAAAATTTTCTCCTGCGTTGTATCAGGACAAACACAAAATTAACGTCGCTTTGGGTATTACCAGTGCAAATTTTTCACGTGCAACTTCAAATATCAGAACATAGGCCTCTTCGTCTCCAGAAACATCGCGACTTCGTTGCAAACATTGCGTGACGTGATATTTGACAAGCTTCATAACAAGCGTGTTTTCAATCGGCAAGTTAGCTTCCGAATAAATCAAAATATCTTTTGTTTTGAACTAAAGCCAACATAAGATGGTGTTTACATATTTGCACGATATCGAGACTTGAAACTAGAGGCTGAAACAAAATGACAAACCTAACAGTATAAGGATTTTATGGATACCAGAAAATGTGTCAGTGAACATAAGCAAATGTAAGGCCAATGCATCAGCTAAAAACATAAAAAAGATATAGAGAAATAAAACTACAAGACTAACGTAAACAAAAATAATTTTTAGTACTCTTGGAAATACCTTAAATTCGTTAGCCCCCCTTCCACGGCATCACTGCCTTACATTTAATTGAAAAGTGTCGGGGGTTATAGCAAAGGGCCATCTTTTTGGAGCAAGCACTCTGTAAAAGCAATACTACTGCAATAGTCTGTATTTCCAAACTTTTATGTTGTCTATTTCCAAACAGAAATTTTTATGCTTTCTAGTAAATTATCTTCAATAGTCAAGAAAAAAATGGCAAAAGACGAGATCAGGTCAACTGTTCCGACATTTGGTAAAACAGTACGACTATAGAACTTTCGAAATGATCTACGCCATTAGGAACATGCTCGTCAAAGTCGAAACACTAAAAAAATTATAAAGCATTGTATAAGAATTTTCTCTAGGGTAGAACTTTAGCTCCCCCAAATTGTCTTTTCTTTCTTTCGTGGGTACAACCCATTTGAGTCTCTTAGAGCTGCCTTAGAGCTACACACACAGCGCTGCGCTTTTCATTGTGCATTATTCATTAAATTATCAAAAAATCCGAGAAGCATTAGGCCTAAAGAAAAAAGTGAACAATGGATTCTCCTTCATATAAACTGAATACTACGGGAAAATGTTTAGAGACGCTTACAAATGCTGCAAGTTCTTGTTTCAACGGTTATTTTGAATTTTGCTATGAAAAAGAAAGTGAAACTTGATTTAAAATGATTGTTCTCTAGTCTCAAGCAACATGGTGAGGTTCTAACATGGACGCTGCAATGTGGGATCAACGATGGGCTGGAGAAGCTCGATCCAGTCTTTTTTTTAGATCAGTGATCCAGTCTATAGGCTTTTTAACAAATAGTACCAAACTACCTATAAGAAACAAACAATTGGAAACAGTCCCTGAATTTCACTAAGGAAACAAATAAACCAAATTCAATTGCCCTTTAAAATTTTCAGATACATCTCCCTCATGCCCTTGGACGTAAAATTCAAAGTGCTAAATTACTTCTTCTTAATACGAATTTGCACAATTCTAAAAAAATACATCAAATAATCTAATAACTTTATAATCTAATATTAACTTTGAAATCGCTATTGTTGCCAAATTCTCGGTTTTTCTTATCAAACCCGATGTTGAACAAAGGTGGTCTGTGGCTTTTTCTTTGGAAAATTTTGCCAACAACAAGGTTTTTTAACACAATCGGTTCAAATTTATCTCGAGACCAAATTTATCTCGAAACAATTAAGTCTGTTTCAGTTCTCTTTCTGAAAGATCTATTTAAATATGCTTAGATCTTCAAACACAAAAAGTAAAATAAAAACCATATCGGAGTGTTTTCATATCTTCATGGATTTTGTTGTAATCATAAACAATTACTAACTAGCTAATTAAAACAAAAGCACAATTATCGTCAATCCTAGAACAAAATTTATTGCAAAATCAAACAAGGTTTCATAAGTGATATCTGTATTTTTCGGAATAATTTTGAAAATTTCATAAATCTAACAAACAATTTAATATGACCCAGACCCCCACACCTAACCTCCCCCATGCTCAAATTGTGAAAATGGTTGATCCCTAAAAATACTCGGGGCTTATTCAAGAATTACGATAAAGATATATGGAGATATAAATTACTATTGATGCTTACAAATGGTTTTCTAGAAAAACAACGGGCAAATTTGTTAATTGCATTCTGTACACAAGCAACACTGACTGCGGTGGCAGCTAAATTTCGCTGATACTGTTTGGCACGTGCGTCTCGAATGTGATGCGTATCATCGATAAAAACAATATGGAACAGTATACCTATATGGCTACACAAAATTTCGAGTGATAAAATCAGTAGCGTCGCGTGACCATTCTCGCTGAGCGGGTGGTGTAGGAGATGCAAAACCATATTTTACCGACAGAAATTATTTTGTTACATTAATATTTTGTTATAAATTTAATTCTACCAACGAGTTCTTTGAAAAATGGGGGGTGTACACCCCCATCCCACACCCCCGCACGTTACGCGCCTGGATGAAATAGCAGATATGAGCGAAGATAGAAGATATCTAGATAGACGCTCCTCCGCTTCTCTGCTCCTATTTTCTATTTCCATGCTAGGATATATGTGGCTCTGGTACCCAGGGTAACATATGGCAATCTGAAAACTTTGAACACAGCAAACACAACTATCGGTGAGTATCTTTCACTGACATCTTAATTAACAGTGCAAGTACATTATGCCTAAATGAAAACAAAATGGTACAACAAAGACCATTCAGTCTAAAAAGGAGCAACTGCATGCCCTTCTAGCTATTCTGTTCCAGCGTTGCATTTACACGGGGCAGGGGCGGTCTGGCGTCAAAGTCGCAGGGTGGCTAGAAAGCTCAAAGGGCCCGGTTTAGGGCGTGGCGGGAACAATTGAACCACACCCACGAAAAATGTTGCCTAAAAATACGATTAATTGAATAAAAATTGACAATAAAGCAATGCACTATACAGCAGCAGTATTTCTAAATTAATTAGTAAATTCGGACAAAATCGGATCCATACCTTTCCTTTCGTGTAATCAGGGTTTAAAATCCCATGTAGAATTAAGAATCAAGATCAAAATTTATTCAAGCTCTCAGAGTTTCAACCCTTTTGCAGAAGAATCAGCAAATTGGTCAATGACTTGCATCAAGCATTTAAACGCGTTGTAGAGTGAAGGGTAGTTGTTAGGTGCATGTTGTATTCACTAATTCCTTTATAATAACAAGCAAATTTAGGTTCAGGCTCACTTTTTTTAATGTTTCAAAAATCCGAGAGTGGATTGCTCTTGATTTTTTCTTAAATTAATATGGTGTAAGCAGTGCGATTGCTAGCTTTTTTGTTCTAGGGAGGTGTTCAGGCCTTATTTGCCAAAAAAGTGAGTGAAACAGCCTTCATTTGACCACACATGGCTAAAAGCACCCACACATGGCTAAAAATCCTCGTTTTTGGGTTGAAATGTTGTTCAAAATTGCATTTTACATTAACTCAACCTTAGCTTGTTCTTAATTTGTTCTCAACTTTTGACCAGTTTTGATGCTCATGTTCTTATGAATTCGCTATATATAATAGAAAATATAAATATAAAAAGGGGCGTCGGTACAAAGTTTTGAATGCGCAGGGTATGCACAGTTGGCAAGCTTCTACCCTTTTGTGTCCTCTTTGCGAATTCCCACCTTGAAGGTCACAGTTTTTATTTCCATATGTTTCTTCTCTAAGAGCTTGTTCCTGGAAGCAATCTTTTTTGGATCTCCATTTCCACCAGTTGTTGTTTTCATTTGAACGATAAGCTGCTGGTAGCAATTTGCAAATGCCAGCAAATATGACATTCTCTAAACGAGAAATCTTGAAAAAAAGGCTCTTATTGCTCTCCTGCTTCATTCTAGCATTGCTAAATCCTGATACATATCTCTCTTCTTCGAGAACCTTCTGTCAGTCCCTCCCATCTGTGTTTAAGTTTGTAACTAGACGGTAGTGATGACCCCTTGTCTTCCTTTTTTGATTCCTTTTTTGAACTTAACATTATTTTTACTTATTGAAGCCCCCTGCCAATAACTGCAGCCTAAGCTTTATGTCCTGTATAACAGTGTACTAAGTTGAAAAAAATACAATTAACAGCCGACCACCCCCCTATGAATTTCGTTCCCAGACACAGCACTGTCTCTGACATTTGCTGTTTTATATAATCATAATATGGATTAAAAACGAAACTTAAATCAATTCATAGCTAAAACATGGATGTTTTTTTAATCAAGCGATTTTTGTCCATTCCAGGTCAGATATCATGGGTACCGGAGCCACATAAATGAAAGAGCGGAAATAGAAGAAAGGAGTAAGCTCCTCCGCTTCTCTGCTTGCTATCCTGTTTACACGCTCGAAATTGTGTGGCTCTGGTACTCAGGGTAAACGTAAAAATAAACACATGGCTGAAATAACGGAAACCAGGGTTTGGGCGGTTTGAAGTGCATGTATTGGGACTTTAATCGCACTATAATCAGTCTAGGGCATTAAGTTTTTGGCATTAAGCTAAAAAAATTTCGCCGCTTTGCCACCCGGGCCAGACCACCCCTGACACGGGGAGAAATTGGAAGGAATGTAAAAGTTTAACGGTAAGCTATCGATCCTTCCCAGTCCATTGCTAACAGGAAAAATGACCCAGATGGCGAAACAGTCGCAATTTCCTCGTTTAATTAGCTGACTGTTTGCATTGTTCACTGTTGTTGCTCATGCGCACAAAGATAAAATAACAGGGAAATAAACGGTGAAATAAATTGGAAATGCAACGGGCTAAGAAACGGCTACATTTTAATACTTAATAATAAACACAAAACTGTACTCTACAATACTAACAAAGATGCAACGGTGCGAAAAACTTCCTCGTATAAACACAGCCTTAAAGAGAGGATTAGAGATGACTCAAGTAACGATCAAACACGCAAGAAGGAGTAATACACATCTGTCAAATACGAGTACCCCAGTTTCCCCATCCCCTATTTTTCAAATAGTTACAGCTATGGTTTATTTCATGATCGGTTGCATCGCAACGCTGACAAGGACCCCAATAGTTCGTCCAAAGTAGTTTGAAAACATCTTTGCACCCTTTAATGGGCGTTTCTCAGGAATAAAATTTAGAAAGCCAGTCAAACGCCAGTCTTACATATGGAGGATAACCCTATTTGGGAGATAACCAAGAAAATCTTCTGAGTGAGTCATCCTCCCTTCTTTTGATCAGAGCAATTGCGATATGGTTAAAAGAGCAAATGTAACAAAGATTTGGTTCAATGCACATGCTCTCTGATCGTAACATGGGTGATCGTTGTTCCATTCATTAGAAGACTTTCTTTTCTCCAGTACCAAACAAATTCTTGTAAAGTGTTATACAA